ACCTCCCAAACGATAAACTCGGCTGCCACTGACCATGCATTCATCCCCTTGGCTCATTCCACCTTGATATTAAGGATAGTTTTTTTAAGAAGCTGTGAATCTCTCCGTCAACAACAACCAAGGGTTGCTCTCACGGTCTACTCTAATATTAAAGTTTTTTTAAATGCTCTATATTTTGTTTTCATAATAGGTTAAAAACCAATACATTTTTCTTTTCATACAATATAATCCGTTAAAGTATTTAACATTTATTTATCACTGTAATGAGTATTCTATTAATATGTGCAAAGGCACTTTTTAAATGTTAGTATAGATTTCTCAGAGATGAGATATTTTCCCGCAGTAAAAGGTATCCTAAATGTTGACCCGGATGACCAGCTATCATTATACTAAATTGCAACAAAATCTGTCCAGTGGTTTTTTTGTGATGCGGTCAAAGACAGACAAATAAATATTCTAAAAAGTATACATTCGGTATCGATACTAATGACTATTTCAGTAAGATTATGCAAAAAATATTTAATGTACAGATTCGACTCAGAATTTTATTATATCTACTAGCGGCTCATCGTCGCGTCGCTTCGCTCGGGTTCGTCGCTAGGTACGTTTTAAATAGATATAAATAGTTATTAGTTAGCCTTAGCCATATACATTTTAATTTTTTTTCGTTAATTTTTCATTTTTTTTATTTCATAAGAACCTTCTCCTGACAATAACAAACACAACAAAAAAAATAGTTAAATCGGTCCAGCCGTTCACGCGTGACAGCGTGACCAAGGGAAATAGGGATTCATTTTTATATATATATATATATATATATATATATATATATATATATATATATATATACACACAATTTTTTACTTTTTAGGCTGACTTTGGTTTGGTTTCATGTTTAGTTCTATGACACTCTGATGATATTGTGCCTTGGTCTTAGACCTTGTTGTTGAAAAATTATTAGCTTTGTGCAACCGAGTCATTATTGGCACTACAATATTATATTTGTTATTGTTGCTGAATAGTAATATTAAACAGCTAGGATATTTGTTTTGAGTAATCCTAAGTGGAAACTATTTGTTTATGTCGTGTTTGTCATTCATTTATAGTGTAAATATTTTTAAACATTACAATATCTCGTCAAGTAAAAATATATTATAATTCTATGAAAATAAATTTCAGTCTGTTTTTATTCATTACCTAATACCTATTAATAATCTATACTTATATAATAATGTAAGGCAGTGGTAGCCCAGTGGTAACGCGCTCGCTTGGGAAACCGAGTGAAGCGGGTTTAAATCCCGGGTCTCGCACCTCTGATATTTTCATGTGCGAATCATTTCCAACATGTCTTAACGGTGAAGGAAAACATCGTGAGGAAACCTTCATGTCTGAGAGAACCTAGTAAGTTTTCAAAAGGCATATGAAGTCCGCCAACCCGCAATTGGCCAGCTTGGTGGATTATGGCCTGATTCCCCTTGTACTAAAGGACTTTCAATAAAACTTTTCGAAAAATATTTAATGTACAGATTCGGCTTAGTTACAATTTTATTATATGTATAGACTAGCGGACCCGACAGACGTTGTCCTGTCTACGTCTTTAATTTGAAAATTTCAAACTTTTTTTAATAATTTTTTTGATGAAAATTATTATTCAAATTGTGAATCTAAACCATTCCCAGATCCCCTTGAGCACACACAAAAAATTTCATCAAAATCGGTCCAGTCGTTTGAGAGAAGTTCAGTGATATACACACTCACAGAAGAATAGTATATATAAAGATATAAAATACACATTCACTTTAAAAAAATCCAAAAATGTATTTTATCTATATCTTAATACTAGCGGCTCACCCTCGCTTCGCTCGGGTTCGTCGCTAGGTACGTTTTAAATAGATATAAAAAGAAAAAATCTTTCTTTCTCACATTTTAATTATATGTTTTAATACTTACCTATTCCGGACTAAGAGAAATCCAAAAATTAAAATATCATAAAAATTGGAACGCGGTCGAACGGGATAAAAAGTATCCTATGTCCTTCTCCTGGCTCTAAACTACCTCCCTGCCAATTTTCAGCTAAATCGGTTCAGCCGTTCTTGAGTTATAAGCGAAGTAACTAACACGACTTTCTTTTATATATATAGATAGAAACTTCCGGTCTCACGATGTTGGTCCGCGATGAACTCCGAAACTACTTATCCGATTTGTTTTTAAATGTGTGATTTGTTCCAACTTAAAAGATAGGATAATTTTTATCCCGGTTATTTCCTTTTTTAATGGAAAAATTAAATATTAATCTATACATATATTAAGGTTTTCATATCTGGAGAAGACTTCCGGAGAGAGAACCTAAGAAACGGCTACTCTGAGCTATAAATTCTACCCTCAAGCTAAAGTAAAAAAACAAATTATAAGTGTGCCACAGCAACGCGTGGCCGGGTCTGCTAAATAAATATGTTGGAACATTAACACACAGCACCATCTAGTTCCATGGTAAGCTACGGGACTTGTGTTATGGATACCAGATAGTTGATACACTACACATTTATAACTTTAAATACATACATATTATAAATATAAACACCCACGACTGGAGTACAAACATTCATGCTCATCACACAAATGAATGCCTCCAGCGGGACTCGAACCCAAACCGCTGACACAGCAAGTAGGATCACTACAAACTGAGCCAAACGTGTCGTCTGTATAGTATGTTTATAAATATTAAAAATTAATCTTTGTTTTTAAAATAGAGGAAAGAAACTCTCTACTGTAAAATACAAGACGTATACGTAGTTTGAACAAATAAGCACTAAGGCGATAATATAGAGAAAATTGGCAAAAGTCACTTACGAATTGTTGCGCAATATGCCCATTAGTATGTTGTTAATAAAATATTTTCTATTCAAAATTGAGGCGTTTGTATTATTTAACTTTTTTTTTTAATTTCAGCCATTTTCAAATTAATTATAAAAATGTTTTATATTTTAAGAAATTCCGTATAGACTACCTCAAAACCTATAACAGTTATTGTTTTCTTAAAATCCATACTAATATTATAAGTGTGAAAGTGTGTTTGTTTGTTTGTCCTTCTCTCACGTCGAAACGGAGTAATGGATTAGCGTGATTTTTTGTGTGGAGATAGTTGGGGGGCTGGAGAGTAACGCAGGCTACTTTTTACAGTGGGAGATTATGTCATTTCCACGGGAAAACACGTTATAATACAACTCAAAAAAATATTTATGACCAGAATTACTTGGAACTTGGTAGGTATAAATGCCATTAAATAAATACATGTTTTAGAATTTTTCGAAATTCATCCCTTATGGGGGTAAAATTGGGGATGAAAGTTTGTATGGAACCTACTTTTTTAGAGTTTATTCGTAGTTTTAACGCGAGCAAAGCCGCAGGTTCTGCTAGTAAATACAATATAAAAATCGTAACGATAAACGTTTACTTCGATGATCGATAATGTTTGAAGTTAATATACTACATACATAGAGTAAAAGTCATATTAATAAAAAGTATCTACATTAACGATGGTACGGAACCCTATGTGTGCGAATTCGACTCGCACTTGACCGATTTTTTCTAGATTACTAACAAGTGTTTCATTTGTCTCTACTAATATTATAAAGAGGTAAAGTTTGTGAGTTTGTGACGTTGTAGGGGGTAATCTCTGGATCTACTGAACCGATTTAGATGAAATTTGGTGAGAAGATAGTTTGAGACTCTGGGAACGACATAGGATACTTCTTATCCCGAAAGTCAACCCTTAAGATTAAAATTGGAATGAAAGTTTGTATGGGGAATCAAGCTAGGGACGAACCCGAGCGAAGCGAGGGTGAGTCGCTAGTAATGACTAATTGCACTGGACTACATAGATTTAAAGCTGTGGTTGACATCGACCGGACTTATCCATACAAAGATATGAAGAACTGTTTTATTAAATACAAACCTATATGTAATTGTGTGAATAAATAACAAAAAACATGATTTATCCTGCTTTAAGTTCGTCATCTACGTAGGCAAGTATTAGTCATTGTAGGGTAGCCATAAATATATGAAAAGTGAAAATGTCTATTTGGATACGGTATTTGTATGTATGTATGTTTGTTACATTTTCACGCTATAACGACTAGGCTGGTTTAGATGAAATTTAGTAAACGTAAACCGTGGAATCTAATTATAAGTATATAACTGTCAGTCAGATTTTGTTGTTAAATAAATAAATATGTTGGGACATTAACACACAGCGCCATCTAGTTCCATGGTAAGCTACGAGGATTGTGTTATGGATACGAGATAGTTGATATACTACATATATATATATATATATATATATATATATATATATATATATATATATATAAACATAAACATTAAACACCCATGATTTGAGTACAAACATTCGTAATCACCACACAAATTAATTCCCCCACCGAGACTAGAACCCGTGAATTATAAATAAAAAATCGGACAAATGTGAGTCTGACTCTCACACTGAGGGTTCCGTAGCACGAAACATTCAAATATTTTTTTTTCGTGATAAAGTAGTAATGTTCACGGTTTTCGGATTTTTCCCTTTACTTGTGCTGTTAGACATTACTTCTTGCCAAATGTCATCAAGACCGTATGTTATGATTGTGTTCACATAGAAATCTGATTTTTCCATAGATTGCAGATTTGAGTATTTCATATTAATTTCAACTTGATTCCCCTCCGGTTTCTGAGAAAAATGGTCTTGACTAACAAACAGACAGACGAACAACGAAGTGATTCTATAAGCGTTCTTTTTTTCCTCTTGAGGTACGAAAACCTAAAAAGCACCGAGGGGATGTACCAGATAATAAATGTGCGAGCAAAACTGTTAACAAAACTTAGCAACAGGAAAAGTTTTACTAAAAAAGTAGTAACACTACATAATTTACCATGTTTTATGAAATTAATATTTGCCTCTATTTGTTCTAATTTTCGCTCATTTGTAAATTTTATATATAACAATGTACTGTTATGTGTTTGTGATAGTGATACTTTGTGGATTATCCCGCCAACAAAATGATATTCAAGGTAATAATTAGAATATACTTTAGTACTTAGTTAATTACTAGCAGAATCCGCGGCTTCGCTCGCGCTAAAATTACAAAAGAAATCTCTAAAAATATAGGTTTCATACAAACTTTCATCCCCTATTTCACCCCTATCTGTAATGAATTTGGAAATATACTAACACACGTATTTTTTAATGCATTGAAGAGCATTAATACCAAATTTTAACTAATTCTAACCACAAATATTTTTTGGGTTGTTTTCCCGTGGAAATAAGATAATCTCCCGCGGTAAAAAGTAGCCTATTTCACTCTCAAGTCCTCCAACTATCTCCTCACAAAAAATCACGCCAATCCGTCATTCCGTTTCGACGTGAAAGAAGGACAAAGAAACAAACAAACACGCTTTCACATTTATAATATTAGTATCGATTATTGAGCACATTTAACAGTAGATACTTTAATAAAATAAAACTTTTTTTATTACAGTTCAAGGGCCGAACAACCGGAGTAGTCAAAATGACCAACGTAAGTAATAAGACCTATAGTTGTTAAAAAAACCAGTCCAGTTCTAGTTCAGTTTCTAAGACAGCTCAAAATCCGTCTCACACTTGGGCATTTTTATATTCATTCTTATTTCAAAAATCGGCACTATTATCATTCTAAGTACCGTATATAATTAATGGTATTTATAAAGCAAAATAAACTAAACCAATATTATATTTATTTTTAGTTTGTTTTGTAATCAAATTTTTAAATCGATTAAAATCGATTTAAAAAGTCTTAAAGGACACTTCTGACTGTCGTATCGATTTTAAACTTTGTAAATAAATATATGATCCCAATAGCAATACAATATTTTATATTTATTTACAATAAAAGAAAATACCTACGTTAAAAACAAATATACTTAATTATATACACAAAACAAATGAACACTTAAATATTACAAGTCACACAAAATCAGTTTTCCATATATTTGTTCAAAACTTTATAGCACGCACGGCTCTTTCGCAGTTCATCGCGCAAATTTCATAACATATTCGATAAAACAGTTTATTTAAAAAAAAAATATTATTGTTAATTTTTTTTTTAAAACCGCTCGACCGATTTCGATAAAATTTATATAGGACCTGGGAAGTATACTCTTTGAAACAAAAAAAAATCCAAATCGGTTCAGGCGTCTTCGACTAATCGGTGAACATACATCAAAAAAAGATTCCGACGAATTGAGAGCCTCCTCCTTTTTGGAATTGGAAGTCGGTTACAAACGAACATCTTCATAAGTTATAATGTGAATTCTAAAAAAAAACACCTCTAAAATGCACTGTAGTCGTTTCTTTAAAACATGTAGCAAATCTTCAAAACAAGCCGCTGTAATTGATTTAAATATGTATTCAGCCCTTTTTAACGTCCCACTGTTGGGCACGGGCCTCCTCAGTACGAGGGGGATCAGGCCATAGTCCACCACGCTGGCCAAGTGCGGGTTGGTGGACTTCACATGTCTTTCGAAAACGTGCTAGGTTTTCTCAGACATGCAGGTTTCCTCACGATGTTTTCCTTCACCGTAAGGCAAGTGGTTATCATGTTATAAATGATTCACACATGAAATTATCAGAGGTGCGAGAACCGGGATTTGAACCCGCTTCACTCGGTTTCCCAAGCGAGCGCGTTACCACTGGGCTACCACTGCCTTTTTTGATTGATTTAGATATATTTCTTATGTAATAGAATAATTGAGGTTATCTTTTATACCCTTGTAATTAAAATTAACTTTTTGAATATTTTAGTTTAAATTATAAAAATATAACTTAAGCATTATCAGATATATGAATTTTAAACATGTGAAATGGTCTAAATATAAATTTAAAATTTAAAGAACCCCCTACGCAAATTAATTGTCATTTAACGATTACACTGGCACGCGTGAAGCACTTAATCAAGTAATCATACGCCAAAATGCCATAAATCATTTTGGAAACGAGCTGATACTCTTACACGGCTGGATCGATATTAACCAAACATAGCTAAGAACCACCGCAATGAAACTGGATTTCAAATAAACAAAATCGCATGGAAATCGGTCCATCCATTTGAGAGGTACGATGCCACAGACACACATACACACACAGAGACAGACAGACATGACGTCAAACTTATAACACCCCTCTTTTTGCGTCGGGGGTTAAATATGTATTCATAATATTTTGATGCGTAGTGACGGGGTTTAAAACATGCAGGACTTATAATACTTAATATTATCGATAATTTTTGTTTTGTTTTTAATAAAACAATTAATGTTTTTTATATTTGTTGATAAAAATAAAAAGGATTTAAAAAACTATATTAGGTGCAATAATAATGTAATTTTTTCGACAAATATGATATTTAAAATATTTAAATAAAGTGTAATTTTGATAAAAATCTATAAACTAATATTATAAAGATACAGAGTTTGCTTGTTTGATAAAAATTCTTAAAAAAAAGTGTGAAAAATTCTTTTTAGTCCGTCCGTTTATTGGAAAGCTATAAATACATTTTTGATTATTGAAACTTAAAGAAAAAAAAACTTTTATTTTTTATTTCAGATCAAGACCAGAATAATAGTCAAAATGCCCAACGTGAGTAAATGATATCTCGTATGTATAACACATCATTGGTCTAGTGGTTAGCTAGGTATGGCTGCAGACCCGCAGGTCTTGGGTTCGAGTCCCGGTTTGGGCAAAGCTGAATAATTGTTTTTTTTGTAAAGAAGCTCTCAATAGCAGACCAGAGTTGGAAATTATGTTACTCCTGTCACCATGTAAAGTCGGTCCTGTGCCTAATTTTGTACTGGCTGTCTCAAATTGTCAAAACAGACTTTGATAGTAAAAGGTATAGAGAGTGCACTCTTGTATGGATATGGCCACTATAAGAGGTTTCTAGTTTCAGTAAAACAAAAAAAACAGTAAGTTACATAGGCTAAAGTCGATTAGGACCATTTATTATTATAGCATATACTAACAAAGGTATCTCTAGAACTACTGCCTCGATTTAAAAAATCTTTTTGCATTTTATAACTCGATAGCGTTTCACCCTCGCTTCGCTCGGGTACATCCCTAGCTTGATTCCCCATACAAACTTTCATCCCCATTCTCACCCACTTAAAGGATGATTTTCGGGATAAAAACTATTTCATTCACTCACTTTTCATATTATGAGATTTAAAAAAATCTTATTTAAAAAAAATCTTTTAATTTTCTTCATAAAAAAATACGTTAAAACACGGGAATTTATTATATATGATGTATAAAAGCTAGGGGCGAACCCGAGCGAAGCGAGAGCGAATCGCTAGTAAATATTAAAATTCAATTTCATAATTATGTTATATACAAAATTATTTTTTTTTTTCAGTACAAATAGTGCATAATGGAACAGGTAAGGTCTATTTAAAATTGGATAGATTCGGCAAAACAAAAAATGAAAAAAATATTAAAAAAAAAACCATTTAAATTTAACAAATAACATAACGTAAATAAATCAAAATATAACACAATAAATATGCTAAGATAAATTATTTTAATAATACAAATTTCATTTTTTTTTTATTTGCTATCTTTCTATTTTTACTATAATATATAACTTTAAGCGATATAAAGAGAAGTTATAACTTTTTTTTTTCAGAAAATTCGACGAAAGCTATTTTTGGGGAAGATATGAGTAAGTTATTTTAACAATTCCAAGTTATTACGGAAGAATAACTCATAAATTAGAATAACACATAGGCTACTTTTGATCCCGGAAAAATGTACGCTTCCCGTAGGATAGATTTGGTTTTGTTCTTCTATATAATATAAATGTGAAAGATTGTGAGGATGGGTGGATAGATGTTTGTTACTCTTTCACGCCAGAACGGCTGAACGGATCTGGATCAAGTTTGGCACAGAGATAGATTATAGTCTGGAATAACACATAGGTTACTTTTTATCCCGGAAAAATGTACAATTCCAATTAAAAAATGTACAGTTCCAAACAGTCGGAATTAAAATTCGTTTTTAATCTATCGTGCAAGTTATACAAAATAAATAAATTTTAATCGTCACATTATCCATTATAAAATATTACCAATATTTTATAATCGATAATAGCAATAGTATTTATTATATATGAAACTGGTTTTACGCAGATAAAAAATTAATTTCACGATACTACTTTCAACACCATCTCCTTGTCAATTGTAAACCATTTCTTATTATTTTAATTTTTTGGAAGAGAACTTCCTATACCCAAAAGACACACTGGGAAGTGGTCCACTTCGGTGGGCGCTGTTGTACCATGCGGGTTGCTCCTGGTACTTCTCTGATAGCAGAGTGGACCTTGGAGCAACCCCATGGTTGTTGTGGTCTGCTTCGGCAGACCTGCCGTCGGGGCGTCGTGGTTGAGTGCATAAATGATCCTGCGACGCCCCATTAAGACAGGAGAGGTTCTGTTGGGTTTTAGTGGGTAGTACTGGCTTTTCTAGCCGTTGAGTCCCAGATAACCACCTTTATATCTACAGGTTATATACCTATATGCATTTCCCAACAAGAGAAAGAAAATTACCACCCTTTAGGACATAATTACTTTTGCGTAATTTTAACTGTTACTGCTTACTGTTTACGTTTTCAGTTTAAAAGTAATTATTAATTTTTCTATAGCTATTCAACTTGGCTAAGCCATATTGTCAAGTTATTATTTTTATCTTCAGGTAACGGAAATAAAATATATAAATATAATATTTATGTATATTTTTTACAGAAGCTACATACATGTATGTCGGAATTGGCGTCGCCGGTTTGCTGATCTTGTTAGCGATACAGACTTTCTTTTTTTGGCACTACAAAGGTACATAAAGAACATCATATGTAGCTTATATATAACTACTAGCAGAACCCGCGGCTTCGCTCACGCTTAAACTACAAAAAAATCTCTAAAGGTAGGTTTCGTACAAACCTTCATCCCCTATTTTACCCCCCTTATAGGGCTGCCTTATAGGGCGATGGTGATGAAGAATTTCGAAAAATACCAGCTCTCCAACTATCTTCACACCAAATATCACGCCAATTTGTCACTCCGTTTCGAAGTGAAAGAAAGACAAACAAACAAACAGACAAACAAACAAAAAAAAACAAACAAACAAACAAACAAACAAACACACTAACCAACTTTGACTACCGCACCGCTTTTTAACAAAATTCATAAATACTAAAATATGAAGTTAACAAAAGATTTATCCATACTAATATTATAAATGTGAAAGTGTGTTTGTTTGTTTGTCCTTCTTTCACGTCGAAGCAAAGTGACGGATTGGCGTAATTTTTTGTGTGCAGATAGTCAAGGGGTTAGAGAGTGATATATTATGCATCTTTTTACCGCGGGAGATTATCTCATTCCCAACACGTTATAATACAACCTAAAAAAATATTTATGATCAGAATTTCTTGAAACTTTAGTACATATTAGTTCTCTTCAATATAATTAAATAAATACGTGTTTTAGCATTTTTCAAAATTCATACCATTAGGGGGTAAAATAGGGGATGGAAGTTTGTATGAAACCTACCTTTTTAGAATTTTTTGTAGTTTAAGCACGAGTGAAGCGCGGGCTCTGCTAGTTATACTATATATTATTATTATTTTATTAGAAGTATAATATGATTAAATTTTCAGTGAAATTACGCCGTGTCAATGAGATTGCGAATAACTTGTTGAATGTAGCAAATAATGGAGCAAACGATACAGGTAAAATATTTTTTATTTTATTTTTTATTCTGTTATTTTTACCCCAAAAAAGGGTAATTGTTAATATTGTGAGTTTGTGATGTTGTAGGGGGTAATCTCTGGATCTACTGAACCGATTTAGATGAAATTTGGTAAGAAAATAGTTTGAGTCCCTGGAAAGGACATGGGATACTTTTTATCGAATATTTTATATTTAATAGTGTTGCGTGACAGTGTGAGTCGCTAGTCTGTAAATAAGTTTAGATATAAAAGTTTCTCTATTAGTTTCTTAACATGTTTGATTGTTTCTTATTGAATCACGCTTAAATTTTAGAACGGAATTAAATGGAAATTGGCCCACTGATAGAAATTTCTAGACTATCGCAAAGGATATAATTTTCCCAGTAATATATACTAATCTGGTAATGTAACTTATCGATTAGGGTGGCGCGATTACAAACTGTCATGTATATATAAAAGTGGGCGTGTGTATTTATGTTCCCTATGGACTCCAAAACGGCTGGAGCTATTTTGATGAAATTTTCTGACAATCTTCAAGTAAGCCTAAGCCTAAGAGTGACCTAGTGGAGTTTAGTATCTATCGGAAGTTTGAACGCGGGCATAGCCGCGGGTATTGGTAGTCTATACTTAATATTATAAAGAGGTAGAGTTTGTTTGTTTGTTTGAACACGCTAATCTCAGAAACTACCAATCATTTGAATACTACCAAGACCAAGACCAAGACTACCAAGGATTTGAAAAAATATTTATGCATTAGATAGCCAGTTTATTAATTATAGGCTATATATCATCATGCTACTACCGAAGGAAGCGGAGCAGTAATCATAAATGTCAACAAATCAGGCAGACTTCCATACATTGTTGTAAAACTATATATTTGCAAATTAAATAGGGACGAACCTATATATTTTGTAACATTCGTCACAAATCTTTTTACATTACAGCGCGATACAGCAAGCATCCTATTAAAGAGAAGACAAAGAAAATAAATCATAGAATTGATGACGATACAAACGAGTATGAATGTCTGGCAGACATACAGAGACGTAAGTTTTTTAAGAAATCTTATATCTTTAAACGAGCAATTCTTGTATATATGTATATATATAATCTGAATCTCGTAAACGGCTCCAACGATGTTCATGAAATTTAGTACACAGGGGGTTTCGGAGGCGATAAATCGATCTAGATTAGTCTTATGTCTGGGAAAACGCGTGTGTTCGAATTTACAATAAAACACAAGATTAACAATCATAGGTGTCCGGGTTCGAATCCCGGTCGGCTACAAAGGTATAATTTGTTTTTTTTTTTTGTATTTATTCCAGTAATTTTTTTTTTGTATTTATTCCAGCAAAAATTAATTAAATAACATTTCATATTCAATTATAAAACTAATTAAAATTATAAAAATGTTTAAAGTTATAAAATATTGTAACATACTTGGTGCAATTTTTCATTTTGTTATTTGTGGGTAGGCTGTCTGTAACAACTATATCTTCGAGACACCTAACACCTCAGTCTCTCCCCTGACTACTTGTTTAATCTGTGCCCCATAGAGTATATTGCTACATACTGTGCCCTGACCATGATCGCTGTCATCGGGAACCAAAAATCAAAATAAATCCGCGAAATAATCCGAAAAGATAGTTTTATTTAAAATGTCAAATATTCGCGTAAATCTAAGAAAGTTTGTTGTTTTTGTTTTCAGCACCAACTCCTCCATCACTTGATTCGTTACCAAGTAAGTACTTCATTTATATTCTACTAACAGAACCCGCGGCTTCGCTCGCGCTAAAACTACAAAAAAAAATCTATAAAAAGGTAGGTTTTATACAAACATTCACCCCCTATTTTACCCCCTTATGGGATGAATTTCGAAAAATGCTAAAACATGTATTTATTTAATTGTATTGAAGAGCATTAACACCAAGTTTCAAGTAATTCTGATCATAAATAATTTTTTGGGTTGTATTAAAACGTGTTTTCCCGTGTGAATGAAATAATCTTCCGCAGTAAAAAGTGACACTCTCCAGCCCTCCAACTATCTCCACACAAAAAATCACGCCAATCCGTCACTACGTTTCAACGTGAAAGAAAGACAAAAAAACAAACACACTTTCACATTTATAATATTATACTAATTAACCTCTTAGCGCCCAAAGAAAATTTAAGGAGGTTAGATTAAACACCCAATGTTCGTCAACAAGTACAAAATTAAGTATAGTGATTGCAGCCCAAATATAAAAGAGCCATAAAAATAATGATACAGTGAATTTTTCAACGCAATTTTTTTAACACCTTCATACCATAGAATGCAAAATATTTTTACCACCCAAAACTAAAAAAAAATGTCCTTGTCGAAGAACATCGGGCTACTATTATTATAGAAGGTATATTCTTCATGTCTTCTGGTAAGCACATTGGGCTATTACATTAATAAAAAAACTGAATAGAAATTATTGTATTTATAGTAAATATTTCACACAGTTTTATTACACAAATCAATCATATATTCTTAATAATAATACTAGTTCAGTCTCAATATTGTTTTGCTTGGCTTACCACTACAAAAAAATATTTTATCATTTTATGACAAAAAATAACAACAAAGTAAATTAAATTTTACTAGTACTCTTGAATTAATAACAGAATTTATGTTTTTAACTCTTAAAGAAAATGTAGTTTTTTTCATACATAACAAAACAAAAGCGCTTATATTATATATTATGTAAGCAAAAAATTTTAAAATTAATCTGATATCAAATTAGAAACCTCAAGCAAATTTTATCTTTGGATTAATCAATTTTCACTCTCGTTGTCGTCGCCGCTTGAGCTGAACGGTATATCTTCTAGCGAACCCATAAAAGGGGGATTGTCTAAATCTTCTTTGAATAGCAAATAATCTTCTAAGTCTGATTCTTCCAACAAGTTTTCAATGTCTTCCGATTGCAACCCTAAAAAAAAAGTATATCTTAAAGACCAATGTTCTTCCATAAGAACATAAAATTATGAAACATACGCTCGCTGTTCTCACACAAGTACATATTGTTCAAGAGTGAAAAAAAAAACACTTTTTCAAAGGATTTTTTCTAGAATATTAAGACATACATGCAATTTAGTGTTCTAAATTACATACTTACTTTTAAACTTATTAGTCACTTGATTACATGCATAATAAGAGATTAAAACTTACCTTTGCCAAGTCTGCACTCCATGTTCGCCATTTTGATTACCTATGGCAATTTTTTTCTGATTGGATCAGCTTAGTGTCGTATGATTATGGTCACTAACATGGTCACTAATCAAAGAGCATTTGAAAAATATAGCCATGCACGGCAAAATTTAAAAATATTAAACAATAACTATTATGTTCTTGTGTAAGTCCACTGGGCCGTCAAGAAAATGTTGTATCATATTTATCTGTGCGATAATCAGGTTCGATATTATGTCCTAGTCCGAGGTCTGGGCCGGACTGGAGGATTGGGCCTCACGAGGTTAATTAATTAATAGTATGGATATTTATTACGATATTCAAAAAGTTAAATCAGATACGTAGGTACTATAATACCAGACTAATAACTATCCCTTCCCTAAATAATAGTGAAAATAACATAAAAATCCCTTACGTTGCTTAGAAGAACTAAACAAAATCACAGACGAAACCCACAGAGGGTTTCGTCACTTCAGTTCACTAGATATGATAAAAATTAAATTTCACGCCACGCTGAGCTTGTTTGTTCGAGCTAAGCTCAGAAACTGCGGTACGGATTTTCATGCTGTTTTCACCCAATGGAAGAGAGTTTCTCAAAGAAGGTTATAGGTTTAACTTGTAAACATTTGAAATATAAGTTTCCAGTATGTTAGTTACTGTTTTTATAATAGGAAATAGCTATTATAGAAATAATTATTTTATGTTTTCAGGAAAACCCTTGTCGGTGACTCCTTCGCCAACTTTAACGAGCCAAAGTAAGACGATGACATATTCTATATTAAAAACTTTATAGACTAAGATCTCGCTGAAAGATTGCTACGTTCATAGCGTATTTAATCAAAAACATTTTTTATATACAATAATAAAAGGGACAATATGTTTAGACCGGGGTGCCTATTAAAATGTGCCCGCTAGTATGTTTAATTAAATAAATAATAATTGACTTTTGGGAACAAAAACGATGCATTTGTTATTAAAATGAATTATACTCCACTGCTCAGAAATATATGTAGATATCTTGAAAAGTGATAGCTGCCGTTGCGCACTTGGCCGCATCCTCTTCGCAGCCAGGTGTAAGCAAGTCATATTTTGTTACATTTATACGTTCATGGCGTATATTCTTCATTGATATATCAAATTAAAGCTATTTTTTTCTGTACCTGATAAACTACGTCTGCCTATGTAAAAGTACTGTAACTGTCTCAGACAGGAAACCTTTCCTTCATATATTATTGACGACACGTTTGGCTCAGTTTGTAGTGACCCTACTTTCTGTGACAGCGGTCGCGGGTTCGAGTCCCGCTGGGGGCATTCATTTGTGTGATGAGCATGAATGTTTGTACTTCAGTCATGGGTGTTTATATTTATAATATGTATGTATTTAAAGCTATATATGTGTAGTGTATCAACTATCTGGTATCCATAACACAAGCCTCGTAGCTTACCATGCAACTAGATGGTGTTGTGTGTTAATGTCCCAACATATTTATATATTTATTTATTTATATAAGGCAAGTGTTATTCATGTTGAAAAGAATTCGCACATGGAAATACCAAAGGTCCGGGATCCAGGACTCTGGGACGAGAGCGCTAAAACTACAAAAAATCTCTAAAAAGGTAGTTTCATACAAACTTTCATCCTCTTTTTTACCCCCTAATGGGAAGACTTTCGGAAAATGTTAAAACACGTATTTATTTAATTTTATTGAAGAGTTTTAATACTAAGTTTCAAGTAATTCTGATCATAAATATTTTTTAGATTGTATTATAACGTGTTTTTCCGTGGGAATCAGATAATCTCCCGCTGTAAAAAGTAGCCTGTGTCACTCTCCAGCCCTCCAACTATCTCCACACAAAAATCACGCCAATTCGTCAGTTCGATTCTACGTGAAAGAAGGACAAACAAACAAACAAACAGACAAACAGACAAACAAACACACTTTCACATTTATAATATTAGTATGGAAACTAGTTATTTTACTATATATGATGCGTTATTTTCAGAGAAAGAAGCCAGAGACCAAAACTCAATAAAAAATCGAGGACGTATTCCGCTTCCACACGAACTACCGGAACTTGGTAAAACATTTTAAATTAATTTGTAGAATTTCTAATATATAGTACCCATAGAATATCTAAATATAGCTGCCTCGTTGGTCTATTGGATGCAGATCCGGTGGTCCTGGGTTCGAGTCCTGGATCAGACTTGACTTTTAGTGAATAAGGTTTTTCTGTCAAGGAAATCTGAGTTGGAGTTGTCAAGATTTAGTTCCTCTGAAATTTACAAGTGAAAGAGCAACTGTTGAGTTTCAAAAGAGTTGTTTAAATTTTACATTTTCGTCAAAAAAATGTTTAAGCTCATTAAATATATAAGCAGAAGTTATCCATAATAAATAATTATATTGGCGAAATATCCCTCATCATACAAACAAAAACATACTTACGGTTGAATGTTTCGCTCAGTCTGTAGTGACCCTACACGCTGTGCCAGCGGTCGCGGGTTCGAGTTCCGCTAGGGGCATTCATTTATGTGATGAGCACGAATGTTTTTACTTCAATCATGGGTGTTTATATTTATAATATGTATGTATTTAAAGTTATATATTATATGTAGTGTATTAACTATCTGGTATCCATAACACAAGCCTCGTACCTCACCATGGAACTAGATGGTGCTGTGTGTTAATATCCCAGCATATTTATTATTTATAGAGACTTCTATTACGTTCTTCCATCTTTGTCGATAAAAAGTAAAGCATCTATTTTATAAAACAACTTTTACAGCATTTTTAAAATAGTTACTCTCTTAGATTTACACTAATATTGAGACCTTCTTCACTTGGTTTCCAAAGCTAGCACGCAACCACGAGGTTACCATTACCTTTTAGCAAAATATAAGCTCGAAAAAAGCGAAAAATTTTTTTTTTTTTTGGATTTTTTAAACTTAAATTATTTGTGTCATAGTGTATTAATATGGTAGGTTATGTTTGTACATACATACATTTTTTTATAATACCCGTCTGTATGTCTGTTACGTGCAATAATATAAATAATTTATAAATTTTCTTTTTTTTTTCAGGTAAAAATATGAATTCGTTACCTACAAGGAAGAAACCAAAGATACCGCTACCTTATGAATCTATGCCAATGGGTAAATATCAGTATTTTAATATATTAAGCTTTAACTAACCATCAAGTACGTGTTATAGAAATTTCATACAAAATTTTGTGATCTTTTTTTGTATCATCCATACAATCCTACGATATAAACACAACACAAGCAAAGCTATACCTATTTTTAATAAAAATAAGAATAAACATTATCTGGGAGCACGGCAGTGCCCCCGCCAAGTCGAGCAAAAAAGGGCACGACAGTACCATCCTATTCTCGAAGCGATTCTGAGTCGAGTCTGTACACTAAACATTTTTAGGAAAACCTTATTGAAAAAGTCATTATATACAGAGACCGAATCTATAGTTTTTAAAAATTTTGTCTGTCTGTCTGTCTGGGAATGCATCACGAGAAACCACTGGACAGATTGAGACGAAATTTGATATGATAGCTGGTTATCCGGGTCAACACATAGGATACTTTTTATCGCGGGAAAATATCTCATCTCTGATATACGTATAGGTACTAAACGTGAATATAAAATATTATTATAACTTTTATTCTCGGACTAAGGAATATTATTATAGACAGAGTGTCATAGAACTAAACATGAAGCCAAACGATTATGTTTTAAAATAGTATAATAGTGATAAAAAATATCCTAAAATTAAATAAGCTAATAATATGTTATCGCTCTTTCAAAGGAAAAAAAAAGAAAGCTTAAAAATGAAAAAAATTAAAAAAAAAATGAATTCAGTATAATTTTCATTATTTGTATGTTATTCTCAAAACTTGTATATTAATTAAACCATACGTATATAAAATTTGCCTTATTCTTTAAAGAAAGTAAACGATCCGTTTGGCAAAATCGAGAATAGTAGCATAAACAGCAAATCACGCTACTATTTTTGACTTTGACATTTATTTTGACGGACTCCGTCTGTATAATACTTTAGTCTGACGATAAAGAAAGTAGCTGAAGCCACTAACGTTGTTTAAAGTTAGGCGAATTATTTGCAGTAACGACACTGCCATCGAAATTAAAATCTACGAAACCAACCGTTCCGGTGTTGATAGCCACCACCGCATTCAATGATCCACGTGAGTGTATTTTATTGTTAAGATAGTTTTAAAAATTATATATTAACTAGAAAAAAAAAACAAATCTATCCCACGGGAACCGTACATTTTTCCGGGACAAAAGTAGCGTATGTGCTATTCCAAACTATAATCTATTTCTGTGTCAAAATTCATCAAGATCCGTTCAGCCGTCGTCATCCATGTAAACTTTTACATTTACAGTATTAGTAAAACTATTATATTATCTCCCGGTTCCTTCTATGTTGAAAGTGTTTTCTGTCTTTAAATTTTATGAATAACTTAAAACTTGTTACTTGTCCCTAGATGCCCTTCGCATTTCTACATAATGCTAATATTATAATAAATACGTAAAGTCTGTGAGTTTGTGATGTTGTAGGGGATAATCTCCGGATCTACTGAACCGATTTAGATGATATTTGGTAAGGAGATAGTTTGAGACTTTTTATCCCGGAAATCATTCCTTAAGGGGGTGAAAATGGGGATGAAAGTTTGTATTGGGAAGCAAGCTAGGGACGAACCCGAACAAAGCGAGGGTGAGTCGATAGTATGTAAATAAGTTATTACTCTTGACCTTATGACCTTCCTAGATAATGCCTCTTTCTACTGGTGAAAACCATATGAAAATCCGTACAGTAATTTAGCCCGAACAAACACAAACTCAACGCGGTGGACGTTCATTTATAATATATAGGTAGTGAAGCTAAAACGATTAAAATAAATTCGCGAAAAAATCCGAAAAGATAGTTTTATTTAAAACGAGTTAAAATAATATTCAATGATCTATAATATTCAATGTTCTGATGTACATACAATATTTACATAATTTTAATATAAAATATTATATTACAGCTAACAATGAATTGATGGCAAAATTAAAGAAGAGAGCTGAGAGTAAGTATCTTTTTAATGTTTTTTATTATTATTACAAACTAGCAGAACCCGCGGCTTCGCTCGCGCTAAAACTACAAAAAATCCCTAAAAGGTAGTTTCATACGAACTTTCATCCCCTATATTACTCCATTATGGGTTGAATTTCGAAAAATGCTAAAACACGTATTTATTTGTTTTTATTGAAGAGCTTTAATACCAAGTTTCAAGTAATTCTGATCATAAATATTTTTGTGGATTGTATTATAACGTGTTTTCCCGTGGGAATTGGATAATCTCCCGCGGTAAGTAGCCTATGTCACTCTCCAGCCATCCAACTATCTCCACACAAAAAATCACACCAATCCGTCACTCCGTTACGTCGTAAAATGAGGACAAACAAACACACTTTCTCATTTATAATATTAGTACGGATACATAGTTCTAACTTCTAAGTATCCTATACTGTATCTGTCTAGCTGACAGCAGCAAATCAAAGCTATAATTTCCTCATATTTCATCTCAATGCTTATATATTTATCCAAAGGACAAATTGACCGAAAAAGTTTTAAATACAGAATTGGTTACTTTTACTTTACAAAAACCCTATAAGATGTATTTTGTCAACCGACTTCAAAAAGGAGGAGGTTCTCAATTCGACTGTTTTTTTTTTTTAATATATCTACTAGCGGCTCATAGTCGCGTCGCTTCGCTCGAGTTTGTCGTTAGGTACGTTTTAAATAGACTAGCCAGCGTTAGCCATATACATTTTAATTTTTATTTGTAATTTTTCTGATGTTTTAATAGTTATTCTGCTATTCGGGGTTAAAACAAAGTTAGTTTTCACCCCATAAGTTAAGTAGACCCGCTATCAGAAAATTGCAGAAATAACCTTTGTCATATATATATACATTATTTAATCTGTAGATAATTTTTGATTCAAAGTAATCCTTCGTTATGGCTATATTTGATGCTGTCTATAAATATTAATCTATTATTATAATAAAATTCTAACTGAGCCGAATCTGTACATTAAATATTTTTTGGGAAATCTTATTGAAACAGACATTATTATCGATACAATAGTTTTTAGAATTTTTGTCTGTCTGTCTGTGACCACATCACGAGAAAACCACTGGACAGATTTTGATTAAATTTGGTATGATAATAGCTGGTTATCCGGGTCAACATATAGGATACTTTTTACAGCGGGAAAATATCTCATCTCTGAGAAATCTATACTAAACGTTAAAACGTAAGTAGGGACGAACCAGAGCGAAGCGAGGGTGAGTCACTTGTATATTTATGTAAAATATACTAACGACTCATAATACTACGTACGTTCATCATCATCGTTACATAAGTACCTGAAGTTAGTTCTGAAAATAGCCACTAGTAAAGTCTAATCGGACATATATATTTTTTTAATTTTCAGAGAATGCACTATTGGAGGAAAGTAATCGTTCTCCGATACAAACGAATACTTCAGGATCACAACGACCTTTAAAATTCAAGCCAAAACGTAAGTAAAGTTATAAAAAACCATTTAAAACAAACTTTTATTTATAAACTAGTATCATGCCCGCAATTTTGTTACCAAAATAATAGTATGTTTTAATCGAACGAATGAAACTACCACAAAGGCTATCTATACTAATATTATAAATGTGAAAGTTTGTGAGTATGTATGGATGTTTGTTACTCTTTCACGCCAGAACGGCTGAACGGATCTGGATGAAATTTGGTACAGAGATAGATTATAGTCTGGAATAACACATAGGCTTTTTATTCTTGCTATTACTTCTAGAGGCGAACCCGAGCGTATTGAGGTTGGCAGTGCCCACAGTAGCACAGTAATTCATTACTCCAGCTCATAGCTTATCTATGTACTAAATATCATCCAAATCTGTCCAGCCGTTTCAGCGGGAAAGAGTAAGAAACATACACACATACAAACTTTCAGATTTATAATAGAAGTGCTATTAATATTTCATCATAATTATAATAGTTCTTGAACAATTTATTTAAAAAACAAATTCAAGATGTGTACGAGTATATGTATACATATTATTTCTTACGTTCTGTTTCCATTACAGCTACTCCACCGCCGCCGCCTGTAAGACAAACTCATTACGAAGATCCACAGAATTACGATCCAAGAGGTATTTATAACTAAATTATAGGTTATATCTGTAAAAAAAGCAGTGGTTAGTAAGCCCAGTGATAACGAGTTAGGTTAGAAAACGTTAAAGGTTTATTATTTTTCGTTGTAATAGTAGGGGAGCCCAAGAGGGGATTTTTGTAGTTACTCAAGCGCGGCAGATTAATATAAAAGAGGTTACCTTGCACTCTATTGAGTACTTTAACCATAATATAAGTCTTGTATATAAAGGCGCGCGTCTAGGGAGCCGATCAAAATATTTAAAAAATGTTTTGATAAGGTAGAAATACTTGAAACCGTCAGATTAACGTGTGGTAGGCTAGTCACATCCTGAAAAGTGTCCAATTCAATAATCTGCCGATTTGCACAAGCCGAAGAGGCAAAAATCATCATAAACTTTATAGTCGATTTTGTGTCTGTTTGTAATGTTAAAATAACAGAAAAACAATACTTTAAATTTTTATTTGTCTGTCTGTCTGTTTGTTCCGGATAATCTCTGAAACGGCTGAAATGTTTTTGACGGGACTTTCACTGGAAGATAGCTAATATTATAGGAAGTAACGAAACGAGGGTGAGTCGCTAGTATATAACAAAATTCCACAAAATGTCCTAGAAATACCTCTTAAAAATTTAAAGATAAAATTAAAAATATTTTATTGAGCAAAAACACTTGAACATTTGAGCGCGCTTTTAATATATTTTTTCGTAAAAACAACTTTAAGCATTGCATTCAAGGTTTAATTTACATTGTTATATATTAATTTCAACTAGAATAATTACCTAAACACAATTGGTGACAGTTTTAAGAGAACTTTTGCATGGTATCGTGTATCTAGTAGCTTTTTGATTGATGATGTAAGTGACAAATAGAATAGTAGAAGTTATGAGCGACTTCTAAAAGGAATATTACGTTTTTTTTTCATGTATAGTTGTATAATACATCAACGACTTATTTTTATAGGGTCGATAAATTAAAAAAAAAGTTATTTATTTATACTAAAAAATATTTACATATTAATTGACATTAAAATTTTTACATTTTAAATATTTAAATATTTACATATTAAATTATTTATTCGCGTAAATCTAAGAAAGTATTATAAGAAAGTATTATTTAAATATTTAATAATTTTTTTTCAGATTCGACTTCTTCAGACAGCGAGTGGACGATGGAACCTCTCCGACCGTACAATATTTATAATATTTAAATAAAAATACATATTAGATACAGATCTCATTTCCAATTTTTGTTAATGTCAGAGCGAAAATGACTTTTGCACTAGGCAATTTAATTTTTCAAATATTTTAGAAGATTGTACAAAACGTATTTTTTTTATTTTTTTTAGAAATAAATTATTAATGTTTAATTTGAGTTTCATTTCACAAATAACAATTTATATTCTGTGGGACAATTTTTTATACCAACTTTTATTTTCCACTCTACTTTCTAAATTTCTTTAATACAAAATACAAGAAAAAAAACCTTTTTAAATTATTACGTTCATTTTTTAAATGAAAAAATCTACCAAATCTGCTTTTCAAGGAATTTTATAATAAAACAAAAAAAAATCAAACAAATTTATTTCATATCATCTTCGGTCAACTCTATTTTCTTAGTATCTGTAATAATTTCGTCGATGCGATGCAAGTCTTTGAGGGAGAGCTCTCCCGTCCCTCGTTCCATGGGCTGGGGTTGAGATGGATCAGGTTTCCATCCAAGGAAGTTTATTATCTGGAAGGTGGCCGGCACGCCGCGTTCACCACGGTCTGGCATTTCCTATAAGTTATTTTCTTTAAAAAATCTATTTCAAAATCGATATCTCAAATATTTTTTTAAATTATGAATCGAGTACATCCTCCTCGGATATTTCCTACAAAAATTGTATTTTCGTTAAAAATCGATTTCGAAATCGATTTCTTAAATAATATTCAAATTATCCACCAAGTACATTCTCCTCAATCATTTTCTAGAAAAATTGTATTTTTGTTAAAAAACCGGTTCGAAATCGATTTCTCATATAATATTCGAATCAAGTACGTACTCCTCAAACAAACAAACACACGTCCACATTTCTATTAATAATCCGCCTTCTGTTTATCTGTTTTCGTGTGTTTATGTATTATTGTTTGTATTTATGTATTAGTAAGTTTGTTCGAATCTTTCAAAATTATTTTAGAAATACATAAAAATATTTTTTTCATATATTGTTTTGTATCTAAATCGTTCAGTAAATTTGTGGGTAGGCACTGTCTATAATAGCCATATAATAAGCCAACTTTAAGACGTCTAAAACCTTAGTCTCTTCAGTGACCATGTGCGCTGTAAAACATTCGAAACGTCGCGTCGGGAACCAAAAATCAAAATTCCTACATCCGCGAAAAAAATCGACATAATAGTTTTATTTAAAATGTCAAATATTCGCGTAAATCTAATAAAGATTAGATAATCCATTTGATTTTTTCAAAGTGATTTGTATATTGTGTTACCTTTCCATACATGGCATCGTATATAGCAGCAGCGGCAAACTGAACGTCGGTGGATATTCTCAGAGGCCTGGAATACACCGCGTTACCCTCTCCCAGCGCTCGCATGTCGTTCATGACGTGCCATGCCGACGGGTACCATATACTTATGGTATCTATATCTACTGTCTGCAGAGTGAAACCTGCGCTGATATTGTAATATATAATAATCACCACATATCATAAAACAAAGTCTGTATCTCTGTCTGTTCGCGATAAACTCAAAAACTACTGCAACATGCTAGTTATCTTATATCTATACAAATAAATAAAAATGTAGTGTCAGTTTGCAATGTCAACATAACAGCTCTTTACTGAATACATATGAAAGTATACCTACCTACACGGTACAAAACCATTTTTATAATTTTTGTCTGTCTATATGTTTGTTCCGGCTAATCTAAGATTTTGACGAAAAAAATGACGAAGATATGTTATAAGAAGTAACTTAGGTACTTTTAATTTAGAAAAAGAATTAGGGATCCTGGAAAAAATATTAAAACCCATGAAATTGTGAACAAAACCTGCGTACCACAGACGCACCCAAACGAAGCTAGATTATGTCAATTATTTATAAGTTCAGTTTTGACCATTACAAAGGAACATTTCTCGGAAATGGCTCTAACGATTTCGATCAAATTTTATATTCAGATAAGATTTTAATAATTTTCTAAAAAAACGCAAATTTTACATCTATTTCGAAAATAATAACAATCCAAGCTTTATCGCCTTAGTACAAGGAAGGAGGATTATATTATATGAACATTTTACGAAATACGCTATCGATACGACAATTTTTACCTACTCGTATATACAATTTTTTAGGGCACTTAAAAATTAAATACAGTAATTAAAATACAATTTTTGTTCGAAAAGTTGGACCAACTTTGTTTGAAAAGGACTCATATTTAATACTTACGCATTAAGTAAACCCCCTATATCCCTTATCCTGGTAAAAGGTGAGATATGAGTGAACATTCCTCCTAAACGCTCCGACTCAGCTAACTGTAGTGACTGACGCAACTCCATTAGTGTGTCTCCACCGAAAACACACGCTATGAAGACCTAAAAACAACAATACCCTTAAAATAACAGCTTTGTACTAAATACGTATGAAAATATATACAGTACTTATAAGAAAACAATAATTTGAATAAAATTGTCTGTCTGTCTGTTTGTTCCGGCTAATCTCCGAAACGGTTGGCCTGATTTTGACGGGACTTTCATTGGCAGATAGCTGATGTTGTAAGGATTAACTTAGCATTTTTTCTTTAGAAAAAGAACTAGAGTTCCGCGAAAATATAATAATATATCGTACTAACTTAACGTTAATATACAAATATTCATAAGATAGTTTATTTATATCAAAGTAAAAATATATATCTCACCCCATCTGGTTTCAAGCAATCCATAACTTTATCGAAGCAGCCCGGCAAATCATTGACCCAGTGCAGAGCTAAGGATGATACAAATAAATCTACGCTGTTCGGTGGGAACTGGAAGAAATAACACAATTTATTATTTTATATGTTCAGAAGCGACTCACCCTCGCTTCGCTCAGGTTCGTCTCTAGGTACGTTTTGACGCTTAATATGTGATAGATTTTTTTTATTTTTTTTGTGAATGTTTTCGATGTTTAAATAGTTATTCTGCTATTCGGAATGAAGACAAATCCAACAAAACAAAGATCATGAAAATCGGTCCAGCAGTTCTCGAGTTATGTGTTGTAACAAACCCGACTTTGTTTTATATAATTAGGTACATATATATTTATTTATTTATTAGGTTTATTTACAATCACTTACAATAATACACACAATATAAAAAAAAAATAGAACTAAAAACTAGGAACTAAATGTAGTGATTACTTACAAATAAACATAATTATATAGATATACATACATAATATACATTATATATATGTAGATCCTGATGTTATAAAGAATATATTACTTTTATTTTAGAAAAAGAATTAAGAGTTCCTTGCCCAAAAATTTAAACTCATGAAATAGTAAACAAAACTCGCGTATCTACGGACGCATCAGAGCGAAGCGAGGGTAAGTCGGTACTCATTATTATAATCTACACATATAATAAAATTCTAACTGAGCCGATTCTGTACATGAAATATTTTTTGGAAAATCTTATTGAAATAGACATTTTTATCGATTCAGAGGCCGAATCTATAGTTTTTAGAATTTTTGTCTGTCTGTCTGTTACCGCATCACGGAAAAATCGCAGTTCGGATTTTGATATAATTTGGTATGAGATGATAGCTGGTTATCCGAGTCAATATATAGGATACTTTTTACCGCGAGAAAATATCTCATTTCTGAAAAAAATACAAAACTGCAATGTAAGAGTATAGTAATAATATGTAAAACCTAAGAATTTGGTTTTTGGTCATCTGAACGCGTTCAGAGTTGTGGGCAATGCTAGTATAATATAAAATGTTGAATTTGACTAAATGTATTACCTCATATCAAATGAAGCTTTCTACTTACGTACATCAAAATTTTCTTCATCTACCATCATCTTTTCAAATTGAACACCATCACCAATTATAGCTTTGTCCAAGTGTGTTTGTGATGAGTCACATAATGTTACTTTCTCCACACTATCAGGAAGAAAATGACGGGAAACATATCCACGACCAGCTCCTGGAATATAAACGGGACTAATGTAATTATTACTTTACTACATTTTCTATTTTCATTTTAAAAGTATAAAAATTTAAAACATTTGATAAATACTCATATATATATATATATATGAGTTCAATTTCATTTTATTAATTAACAAGCTAACTAGTTAAGGAAATTCTCAGAAGGGAATATAATATAAATATTAAACCACGTGAAAATCCATACAGTACATGCTAAAATTAGACCAAACAAACAAACTCAGTGTCGTGGGGGACTTTAAATTGATATTTGATTGATATACAGTGATATTTTAATAATTTTTATTCATTATGTTACACTGTTTTAAGTAATTCTTCCACATTAAAATTAATAAACATAACATCTCAACTAAAAAACAGTAAACTTAGACAATATTTAAGCTTCTTTCTTAATGAAAATGCTTCAATGCACATTATGTAGAATTAAACTAAGTAATACATTATACCTAATTCCACTGCATTTTTAAACGTCCGTTTTATATCAAAAATTCTATCTGCAGTCCTCCAACCAACTTCTTCTTTTATATACTCAGAAAGATGATAGTTATCATCTACAGCCGCCCTTTCTTTTTGTAGTATCTTAGCTTTTCTATCAAATATATTCATGGTTCGATATACAGAACTGGCAGTCTTCTTTTTCGTAGTTGTTGTACTTTCATTTCGTAAACATAGTTTACTGTGAATACTATTTGGAGAATTCAGAATACTTTTAACAAAATGTAGTCGTATTGCACCTAGCAATTGTGACTGAGACATTTTTCAATATATATAAATAATAATATTAATAATAAATAATTACGAGCTATATTCTCTATTATCTAACATGAAACATCGCAATAAATGTTTTTCTGATTTCTCATTTTAGGTTATATAAATTATAAACAGCTGACTGCTGACAGTTGTCAAGATCTTGTAACTTCAAAGTTCAAACTTGCACAGTGTAATAAGCTGTACCACGAATTGTGGTTAATTCGTTCATGATCAAAATTTAAAGAACTATAAAAAATGTTTTTTTTCAAACATATTTTATCATATTATATTGCACAAATAATGAAAATCCGAAATTGGCTTATATAAGGACTTTTCTTTTTATGTTCTTTTTATCTCTATATGTGGCTGTGGATTTTAGTTTGAATAAATAAATAAATAAAGTATGATTTTGTTGTTATTTTTCATTTTTTTTTTCATAAAATTTTATCATATGTATACTAATATTCATTTCAAAATATTTAAATGACCTAAAAAAAGCAAAATCGTTCTTTTTTATTGAATTTAAGCCTTAACTGACAACTGTCAAATGTCAACAGTCAAAGTCATATTTTTCCATTTTCCAATCTCGAAAAAACACAGAAAAGTTTAAGTAAATTAAACATTAAAATTAGGAAAAACTTAATATTGATAGAACTTAACTTAATATTCAGCTAAATATCAATTCAAATAAAGTTTATTAAATTTATTTTAAACAAAATAAAAGGTATGTTTATAACTTAAAATTTTTTAAAGGTATCATTTACACTTCTTGCTATTACATAAACTGATAGCACAATTTTTAACTACATACTTAAATTCTGAATTTCTTTGTGATACTACAGATGTGGCCTATAATATTGCAATTTTTGCGATCGAGAGCGCCGTACATAACTTTTCCGGTGGCGGCTATTGTCGGCGTTATCGGTTATAATTTAGAAAGTCTTTTATCAGATAGATATACACCATACACCAGTGAGTATAAGAAATTTAGTTCAATTTATTACCTATTACTTAATAATCAAATTCACTGTCCAGAGCTCCCTCCTTAGGCACTTTGAATTATATGCACCTACAAGATACCCCAGAAAGGTTAAAAATTTAAACTTTAACATATGTAATCATTTTTACCATCTAATTATTATATTTAAGCAATACATGTATTTACCTGTAATTGGCTTTGCATTGTATTTTTTAATGTCATTTCTTATGTATTTGTGAAATGTAAAGTTATTGCTGAACCTAATAAAGAGAAATAAAAATATATAATAAAATAATAATAACAATAAATGTACATTCTGAACTAATAATATCATGAGAAAGTGTTTAGGTTATTGATTTACTCTTTATTCACATAGCAACAGATAGGTTTGTGTTAAATTAGTTGATGGCTTTGTTTCTACTATGAAGATGTCCTGTAATTACTGCTAGTATTGTCATACATATTAATGTAATTTTGGTTTTTAACTAAAATTTAAAACAGCTTTTGAATTTTTTTTCAGAGCCAGTACAAGACCAAAGACTTGAGAGATTAGAAGAAGACATTCTTAAAGACCCAACAAATGTCCAAAAATTAAAATACCAAGAGAATGTACTTGGAAAAAATGTTTCACCATCATTACAAAATAACTAAGTTGTGTAGCTTAAGTATAGAAAATTATTTTTAGGTATTAGTATTGTATAAAAATATTTAATACATAAAGGTATGGTGTCCAAAAAACATACATAAAAAGCAGATGAAGGTGTATGATTAACTGACAAAGCACCATAAGTTGAACAAAATGGTCTTAAAAATCAACTGTTACGAATTCAAAGTTAAACTGGTTAATCATAAAAACTATAGCTAAACTTTCATACTATAATTGTGTACAGTTAAATCAAAATATGTTAAACTATCAACAAGTGCAAATTCTAATATTATTTTTGTCAATTTAGAAAATGTACTTATTATAGGCATAATTTATTTAAAAAGCAAATGAAAATTGTCTATTTAAAAAAAAAAAACATTTTTTATGACAATCTACTTTGCTTTAGTTTAGTTTGTGTTATTTTTTTATTTAAATATAAGTTTATTTTGTAAAATTAAAAACAGTTTTAGAAACAGTGTTACCACTGCAGAAATGTAGTATACTGAGTAATAAGTAAATAGTTGTTGAATTTGAAATATGTATTATTGAATATTAACATATTTTATTTAAGAAAATATAATTCCTTTAAAAATTTCATTTAGGATTTTGTAGCCAAAAGGCAAATGCAAAACTAAGTTTTCATCATGTCTTTCTCTGTCAATCATATTACATAGTTTTGTTTCTTTTATTAATCACACTAAAGCTCACCAATAACTACTAAAATTGGTTGATAAAAAGAGGAGAACAAGGTAGTTAATTGTTTTGTCTTTGTCTGCTTATATATCAAATTCCATTACATGCTTTAGTTGTGCCATTATTAAATTATAAACCTAAATAATAAATGACGCTAGCAATGCGTCGTTACGTTCATTTTTTAATGATTTAATTGAATACAACCGAACATTAAGAAAATAAGTTAGAGCGCTTTATATCATATGACAGAGTGCCTAAAAGTCCTGGGTTTGATATCCGCAAGAAATACATTTGTTAAGACTAAAGAAATTAGAAAACCACACAAATTGAAATATGTATTTTTTTAAGTTTCAAATATGCAAATACCTAGCAGGTTTCATTTGCGATCTCAATTATACATATTTTAATAAAGTCACTTCATATAATATAATGATACGAATAATTGTTTGAGAAATCTGAAAATATCATTTTATAATTTGCAAACTATATATTAAAACTTTTTCTTTGAGTATTTTTATTTTAGGGAAAAATATAAAGTACATTTTACATAACTAATAGTGGAAAAATGAAAAAAAGTATATTTGATAAAAAATCAAATTATAAAAGTTAATTGTTTTAGTTTTTTAAAGTTATATTTATATTAATAAACTTCCCAACGATTTTCTTTTTGAAATGTAATTTTATTTACCACTGGCAACTAAAATAATGTCAAAGTTAAAAAGTTATCGCTGTCATTAGTTGTATAGAAAAAAAACCAACGCGCTTCGCTTCTCTTTTGGAATTTATGGTACTGTAACAAGGCTCGCTTTTGTGTTTCACTACGAAAAAGTTTTAAAATTTTCGATGCAATCATGTCAACAATGCGCTAATTGCTTTAACAATAGCGTTAATATAATATCCAGTGTTATTTTATGCATAAATATCGCCTTTTGCGGATCAATATCCCACCCATTGAAATGTCTCCATAGCGTCACTGCAAATGGAGACAAAGTCTGGCGTAGGAATTACTGACCACTGGATGAAAATTATGATGGAGCCGGCCGGCAGCGACAAACAAGTACAGAACGACAATAGATCCTTAGTGAAGCGCGAAAAGATGGCAGAAGCTTATAACGGCCAAGACAATAACATAACTTATGAAATGAAACAGCAAAGTGAAGTAAGATACCGATGCGATGTATGTGACTTGGGTTTCGATGGCATGGAACTTTTAATGTTGCATAAAAAATTTCACGGCAACGATAAAGACATACCCCAAATGGAGCCCGATCCACCTATTATAAAAGAAGGCCCAAAGAAGCGTCGGAAGTTTAAATGCGACCAGTGTGACGTGAAAGTGAACTCACAGTACCATCTCGATATACATCGTAGTAAACATGAAGGTAATGCGTCCAAAAAATATATTTGCCAAGTTTGCGACCGCAGTTTTGTTGCGGCACAGTTCCTAAAATCCCACATGCAATCTCATTCATTAACAAGCACAATAAATTGTGAGATTTGCAATAAAAGTTTTACAGGACAAGCATATCTTAAACTTCACATGCAACTTCACAATGATATTAAGAAGTTTAAGTGTTCTAAATGTGATGAAATGTTTCCAACGAAAAATTGTCTAAAGATCCATATGAAAAAACATACAAAAGTAAAAAATTTTAAGTGTGATTTCTGTCAAAAGTTGTTTGTGTCAAAAATAACTATGGAAAAACATCGGCAAACTCATGAAGGGCAGCCGGCAGACTGTCATGTTAAATGTCCACAATGTGACCGAACCTTACATTCATCTCTACTTAGAACACATATTGCTAGGGCACATCCTTCAACAATTGATGATGATGTGAAGCGCCCTCACAAGTGTTCAACATGCGGAAAAAGTTTTATTGTTAAAATTAACTTGAATTTGCATATTAGAGTGTGCCACCCAGATTTAGCAGAGCCCGAGGAAGAGGATGAAGATGTAATGACAGATAACTCTTAGTGTTAAGACTAGTTTATACACTCATGTATTATTAATGAATAATTATACTTTTTTATGCTAACATTATTTTTGTGTATTTATTTATTACAATTTTTTAGATTCAAAGTAGAAAAGTTTAAGGATTTTCAAAGTTATGGTGAATATGTAACTTTTTCTATTTAACAGTAAACTCTTTACTCTTATTTTTTAGATTTAATTGACTATAGACAATTTTATTGTTTCTCACCATTTTTTTTAATATTAAAACAACATGTGTTCTGAATTGATTATATTTTAAAATCTACACAAGGTACAGGTTCTTTTTTAAATATTACATCTAATATCTATGGATACATAAAGCTTAAGTGTCTGATTGTAGTCTATACAGATAAATAAAATTGAAGTGTCTGTAAAGTGAAAATAACAGCTTTTTACTAATGCATATGGAATTATATACAGTCAACGGTACTTATAAGAAAAACTCAATTTTTATAAGTTTTGTATGTAATCTCCGAAACGGCTGGACCAATTTTGACAGGACTCACTTGCACACAGCTGATGTTATAAGGAGTAACTTAGGCTACTTTTATTTTTGGAAAAGATTTAGGGTTTTGCTCAAAAAAATTAAAAGTCACTTGACCAAAGCAATGGTAAGTCACTAGTATAGTATTAATTTTGTTATTATAAATATTATTTTTGTTTACATTATCAATAGGAACTAATTTTACAATGACTAAGATGAATTTACTTGTATAAAATAAGTAGTTAATTTTATTCCATTTTAATAATAACATAATATGTAATTTATTAAATTGACTGCCTTGATCTATTGGCTATGACTTATCTGCATTTGTAGGTTAGGAGGTCCTAGGTTCGAGTTCCGGATTGCGTCAAGATTATTGTTTTATATAAAGCAGTTTACAATAAGAGCCCTGAGTATTGAAGTTGCTAGTGTTACACTAATCAAACCAGTCAATCCTGTGCCTGATATCTACTGGTCATGTCGAATTGTCGACACAATGTAGAAAGTACTTTAGTTACAAAAAAAAGTTGGCCCGGTAGATGTGAAACATCTATGTTAATATAAGTTCATTTCTACAGATATGTAATATTATGTCTGTTTGTAATGTCAAAATAACAGGAAAAAACATTTTTTTTTATTTTGTATATCTGTTTGGTTCAGCTAATCTTCGAAACGGCTAGACCGATTTTGACGGGAGTTGCATTAGCAGATAGCTGATGTTATAAGGAGTAACTCGGGTTACTTTTATTTTGAAGAAAGAATCTGGGTTCCGCTCTACAAAATTAAAACCCATGAAATTGTGACTGTAATCCGCCTAAGAACGCACTGAGCGAGGGTAAATTGCTATTAATTAATAAAAAAATTCCATACTGATATTAAAAATGTGAAAGTGTGTTTGTTTGTCTTGTTCTTTCACGTCGAAACGGATTGGCGTGTTTTTTTGTGTGGAGATAGTTGAAGGGCTGGAAAGTGACATAGGCTACATACCGCGTGAAATTATCTCATTCCCACGGGAAAATACGTCGTAATATAACCCAAAAAAAATATGATCAGAATTACTTAAAAGTTGGTATTAATGCTCTTCAATAAAATTAAATAAACACGTGTTTTAGCATTTTTCAAAATTCATCCCATAAAGGGTTTAAATAGGGGATGAGTTTTAGCGCGAGCGAAGCCGCGGACTTTGCTAGTATATTCATAAATAGAATATAAAATATGTAAGTATTTTTAATAGAGAGTGTTTTACAATGGAGCGTGTACACACAAGAGAGTTACGAGCGGTGGCGTAGAAGGGATTAATGGCATGACAGCGTCATGCCGTTTGCCGGCACGTCATATGAGTTCTCGTTTTACTGCCAAGGCGCACCTATAGATGTTTCATATCAAAAAGAGTTAGGAGTACACTTGTGTTTGCACATATCTGCGATGTTTCTTAGTAAGATATCCGCCATAGCCGAAATCTTTCAGAAGCTAAATTTTTAATTTAATGTGCTTGAAAAAAATGCAAATGTATTCACACCTATTTTTCTTACTTTTCTGTTAGGTACTAAAGAATGGTAACAATTTTTATTTTACTCAAACAATTTTATTATTAAACTTTTATTTTACTGTAGACTGCCTTTTGAATATATAATAATACTAGCGACTGACCCTCGCTTCGCTCGGGTACGATTAACCCTAAGTACCCTAGTTACGTTTTAATTTGTTTGATCGGAATCCTATTATTTTAATAAAATAAAAGTAGTCTATGTTACTCCTTACAGCATCAACTATCTGTTCATGAAAATCCCGTCAAAATAGGTCCAGCCGTTTCGGAGATTAGCCGGAACAAACAGACAGACAAAATTTTTAAAAAATTGTGTTTTTCTTATAAGTACAGTACATAATTTCTTTATACATTTAGTAAAATACTAGCTGTTATTTTGACATTACAAACAGACACTTCAATTTTATATATCTGTTTTTTTTATTATAAATGTGTTGGGACATTAACACACAGCACCGTCTAGTTCCATGGTAAGCTACGAGGCCTGTGTTATGGATACCAGATAGTTGATACACTACACATATTACATAAGTTTAAATACATACATATTATAAATATGAACACCCATGACTGGAGTACACACATTCGTGCTCTTCACACAAATGAATGACCCAGCGGGACTCGAACCCGTGACCGTTGGCTTGGGTCACCACAAACTGAGCCAAACGTATCGTCAATGTTTAGATATACAGTCTGGCGTTTATGCACATTTTATTACAACAGTAGTATATATTATGTGAAACTCCAGATCATAGTCTATTTATGTAGGTAGGTAGGTACATAGTAAATGTGATCCAAATCCATTCAGCAGTAAAGCGTAAAAATAACAAACAGATAGAAGTTTTAAATTTTTTAAAAGAATTATATTATTATCTGTACCTATACTGTGTAAAATATTTAAAGGAACAGAAAATTTTACTTGTCGTCTATAATAAAGAAAAGGAAAGTGAGCATTAGTACAATAAAACATTGATTAAATCATTACAAAAATATATTAATAAATAACTGAGAATTATTACAATATTTCTAACATTTAAGCTTCGACTGGAGTACTTTCAGTGGGCTCTTCAGCTTCTTGGGCAGCGATTTCTTTAGCCTTTGCCTCCGCTTCAGCAGCTTGTTGCTACACAAACAAGAAATTTAAAAAATAACGTGACGGAAACGGAACTACGGAAAAAATAAGTAATTATTAGAAATGGACATAAAAAATAACAATATTTTAACCCAACTAGGGGTAAAAAAATAAACTAAATACGATAGCAAAAGAATGTAGCCTATGTAGCTAATAATAAAGCAAAAATTGATATTTTTTCCAAAATCGGTTGAGTAGTGTAGGCGCTACGGTGAAACATACCTACATACATAAGGACTGCTAAAAATTAAACTCTTTGGCTTTGCGTAATTTTACTTATTAAAATGATGATATTAAAGAACAATTTTTAGGTAATTACAAACAGCTATAAATTTTTTTAATAGGCATATTTTTTATTCAATATTAACTAAGATATACGTATATTTTATTATTCATATAAAAAATTATGTATCTGTCTTTGTTTGTAACCAGGGCTCGGAACAGGTTTAAAAAAACGGATAGCTTCGGTAATGTAATTGTTAATTCATCGCTCGTTCTTTAACCGATCAATAAAAACAAACGGTTTAGTAAACCGAAATAATAGAAACTAATACAAAAATAGAGAATAAGACAAAATACAAACAGACAAGCAGAACCCGCGGCTTCGCTCGCGCTAAAACTACAAAAAAATCTGTATAAAAAATAGGTTTCATACAAACTTTCATCCCCTATTTTACCCCCTTATAGGATGAATTTCAAAAAATGCTAAAACACATATTTATTTAACTGTATTGAAGAGCATTAATACCAAGTTTCAAGTAATTCTGATCATAAATATTTTTTTGGGTTGTATTAGAACGTATTTTCCCGTAAGAATGAGATGATCTCCCGCAATAAAAAAAGTAGTATATGTCACTCTCCAGCTCTCTAACTATCTCCACACAAAAAATCACGCCAAGCCGTCACTCTGTTTCGACGTGAAAGAAAGACAAACAAACACACTATCATATTTATAATATTAGTATAGTAAGTATAGGATATGGATAATACTTATTAAAAGTTAAAATTTAACGTTTACCTCTGCCTTCTTTAAGTCTTCATCTTTTTTCATCTGCAATTCTTTACTAACTTCCCTTATAAGTAGCAGCTCCTTCATTTGCTGCGGGCTCAGGGGATTGAAAACCTTCACAGGTTCCTTTGTGGTATCTTCAATAGAGTCTATGAAACGCGTATAAGTCTCGTACATAACGTCATACCTCTCTTTGGATATTTGTAAATACTGGTTGTATGGCATTTTTGTATCTAAAAGTTGATTAAATATATAATTGAATACCTACAATATACAGGGTCATTTTTAATTTACTGAAAACCTTTTGAAGAAGCTAAGAAGATAGTTTGAGACCTTAAGAAGGACATAGGATAGTTTTTATCCCGGAAATCATCCCTTAAGGGGGTGAAAATGGAGAAGAAAGTTTCTATGGGGGATCAACCTAGTATACAGGGTCATTTTTAATTTACTGAAAACCTTTTGGGAATATACTGTTTACATCATAACAACAACATCTGTAAGAAAAAAAATAATATTTCTTAAATTTTACAAAAATAAACGTATTTTTATTGCACCTTCTAAACGGTAATAGTCCAGCAATTAGCAAAACAAAGCGCGTGACCGGTGGAGGGGGAGGGGTGTAGGAAGTGGCCCTTACTCATTTAAACTTGGTCAGATGCTAGAACTTTACCGTTTAGAAGGTGCAATAAAAATATTTTTATTTTTATATGAAAATAAAAATTTAAGAAATATATTTTTTTCTTGTTCTTGTTGTTGTTGTTATGATGTAAATAGTATATTCCCAAAAAGTTTTCAGTAAATTAAAAATGATCCTGTATATGATATAGGTATGGGTATTGATGATTGAATGGATTTTAATGAAACTTTACAATAATATAGCTCACACATCAAGAATAAAACATAGACTATTATTCATCCCGGAAAAATGTACGGTTCCCGTGGGATAAATTTGTTTTTGTTTTTTATATTATTCCCAGAACTAGTGAATAGTTTAATGCAACAGACCTTTTTCTATGGGAACTCAAGCAAAGGGATGAAAGGAAGTAAAATGGATAAAGTAATAAACTAACTCATTTTCGCATTTATAATATTTTTAGTAACTTAGGGTAACTTTGACTTATTGACAGTTTATTACAACGAGTATTATCTAAATAGCCAAGAGTCGTGAATTCAGTTCTCGCTAGAGGCCACATTTTTATTGACCGTGCAAATGTATCTCTTCTGATTTTAACCGGGACCCATTTGGTTACAATTTAAGGGGTATATAACATGGTTTATTGTAAAGTGTTTTAACAAAAACCCTTTCAATAAGGTTACCCAGCCAACTGGCTTTGAAACTATTTCCTTTATAGGGTTAACCCCTTTTATTAGGGTTGCCAAATAACTTTATCTATAATGTGTTACTAAATAAAAAAATGTACCTAATACAATATTGTACTTTAAAATTATTCGCCAAAAATACATATTAAAACGAAGTAAAGAGAACCTCCAAACCACGGCCATAGACATGTAATATAGAAACTTAAAAAAAACTGACTTCCAGACACTAAAATGTAAAAAATAGCTAAACGGGGCGTTTTATTTAGAATATATACCTAATCGGATATTTTCAAAGTCGGTGCCAGCCGATGCAAAGCAAATCTAATACATTTCGATACGTAAAATACATATTTACCTATTAAATATGCATATCTTAAAATATTGTCGGCTGGCACCTTCTTCGAAAATATCAGATTAGGTATCTATTCTAAATGAAAACCCCCGTTTAGTTATTTTTTACATTTTAGTGCCTGGAAGTAAATTTTTATATTTTTTAAAAAGTTTTTATATAAGGCTTAACTCTATACCCAAGTTCTACGGTCTCTGGTATTCATAGATATTAGTTTCGGGCAGTGCAGTTTTAGTCACTGGTGGACAGAAGTGAACGGAGGTAGCTACTGTTGTATCTAAGACCTAAGTTAATTTTTTATTTCGAGGAAGTAAAAGTATTTATTCGAAATCCGAATTCAAAGGCAATTTCAAAGGAATTTTCTTTTGTAGGTAGAGTATACGGAATCTGCGAGCAGAATCGCTAGCAAAAGTTATTTGGTAGGTAATACAATTTAAAATTTTCAATATATAAATTATGTTACAAGGTCTTACCTCACGATAGCTCTTTGTGAAAATAAAATAAAAACTGAACGTATTAAAGTAATCCTATTCCTACATTTTTCTTGACCTTTAGAGGTTTACAGATCTTAGAAACCTTTTCATAGATTATGTCAATATTTTTAAATAACAAAACTAAAAAAAATACAATATAGTATAAAATGTATTTGTTATTGCTGGAATATTTTTTAATAAAAGTGAGTTAAAAATAATTTAGGTCTTGTAACTTCCCACTGCTGGGCCTGGGTTTTAAAATGCATAGGCTAGCACGCTGGTCAAATGTGTACCACGTTTGACATAAGTCCTCCTGATCGATTTCGGTCACAGCTGCCAATTTGACTGAGACTAGCTATCTGCGCAGGAGATATTATAGTGCACAAGTGTACGCGCAGACACAGGTGCACTCGTGCACAGTGAGGCAATTATCATCAATCATTACCTAATATCCCGAATATGTATATACTAGGCTGGGGTACAAACTGTGTCCAACCACTGAGGTCAAAATGTCACGATAAATAAAACATTTATTTTGTAATTTCAATACAGTTCTAATTATAATTTTTAATTTAAATGTGTAAATGTGTGAACAATATGTTTAGTTTTATTGCATTTTAACCGACTTTGAATGTGAATGATTAGTGTCTTAGGCGATGAAAGCTCTATGAAAGGAGTTTAAGCGCGAGTCACACTCGTCTAAAATAATAGTCTAATGTCCTCCTGATCGATTTCGTCTAGAAGATCTTAGGACAGATCTATCTTTTTATTAAATAATATTTGTAATGTATGTTTGTTACTCTTTCACGCCAGAACGACTGAACGGATCTGGATGAAATTTGGCACTGAGATAGATTATAGTCTTGAATAACACATAAGCTACTTTTTATCCCAGAAAAATATACGGCTCCCGAGGGATAGATTTGTTTATGTTTTTCTAGACGCGAACCCGAGCGAAGCGAGGGAGAGTCGCTAGTATTAGTATAGATTAATCCCTAAATAAAATTAAAAATCGAACACTGACGTAAGTGAATACATAATTAAATATAGGAAATCTATAAAAAAGGCTGTAAAATTAGTATCTAATTTCGATTATACGTAATCCAAAAACCGAAATTATGACCGACTTCAAAAATAAAGATCTTACTCAATTCTTATTTCCATTCATGAACTGATTCTTATAAGATATTCTGCCCCAAGCATATGTTTTAATAATATAATATGGGTAATGTTTCTGTTGGCCATACATGACTTTTTAAATATCGAGTATTGAAGCCATTCGGCATTCACAAGTAAAGATCGCCTTTTTGTATTTCTCTAGTTATTTTTACTTATAATCAGAAAATATTCTAAAATTCCTTAATGTCTAACTAACTAAATAACGTTTTGCGTCACAGTTTCAAAAACCAAAACGAAAAGACACAAAGTGTTCGAATTTAAAACAGTGTATTTCATTATTTTATTGATAAATAAGCAAAATAAACTTAATATGTGAGTTTTATCTAGTTATATTCTAAATATATTTATTTATTATTAATAATAACTCAACTTTTCCAACAAAACAACCCCTAACAAAATATCGTGGAACGGAACGCAAACCCACCCCTAAGGCTAATGACTCACCCCAGTCGAAAACACACGAAAGCGCCCGACGCTACAAAATCGCTCCCAAAAACATATTTTACAATACAATTATGTAATATTCATATTTTTTATACATTTTCCATTAAATTTTGTGTAGTGATGAGAAGATTCCTGTGGTTTTGTAAAAGGAACTAATATAATGTGGTCGGACGAAGCGTGATGTTGGTGCGTATTGATTTTCTCGTGACGTGCGAATCGTATGCGGAATCCTGTGTTATTATTAGTGCTTAATATTTTATACTTTTGTCCGTGTATTGGAATCTAGCATTTTTATCTTAATAGCTATCTTAGATATATTCTACTCTGATGTAAAACCGCATGCGAAAAAATTTAATAATTGAAAAGTTATTGGAACATTGTGGAAACAACGTTATTTTTTATGTAGTGGTTTACAGTGAGTGCTAATTTAATATTCAATAACATTAGAAACAACATGCCTTTTAAAATATTTCAGTGCCTTATTTATTAAAAAAATAAGAACTATTAAAAATCGATTTTCGCTCGAAGAAAATTAAACTTTAAACGACAATGCATAATTACATTTTTATTCAAATCTGTTAAAAATGAACAAACAATAGGTAACAATTAGATTAGAAAAAAACGTGTTACAAAAAGATATCATACACTAAAAAAATAAAATTAGGAAAAATGTATACGTTAAAATTGGAGGAATTCCTATTTTCAAAATTCAAATTTAACCCTTAAGTGAAAAGATATTTAAAAAAAAAAACAAAATAAGTAACAAAAACGTCAATTATTTACGTTGAAAATGAACATATGCACGTCAAATTACAAAAAAAAAATTAAACATGCTGTACTCAACATCTGTACAGCCGAACGATAATTCAATTAATATTTAATCTTTTAATAACTTACTGCATAATAAATAATTACACGTCTAACAATTATTATTTATTACACGACAATTAAAAACAAAATTATATTTAAAGAAAATTCATCCAAAACAATTTGGGAATTTAATGCCAATTAACTCGCAATGCGCTGGTATTTCTGTTATTAGTGAATGTATCAAATTATGTTTGAAAGCTATCGATCGTTGTGTCGCAGCATACTTAGCTGTAGAATTCTGAGATCTTATTAATTTTCTTATTTGAATTTATTTAAAATGTCATTTTTCTACAGACTATTTTTCCATTGTCAAAAAAGTATTATTGTTTTTTTAAACAACTTTATTTTGGAGATTTTTCTCCAAAATAAAACAATAGATTTAATTATACTTAGGTAATGATAATAAACACCTTTCTCAAAAGAACCCAACATTTTTATAAAATACGTACTTAATAATTATAATCTTGAAGTTCCTTTATTTTCGTTTGAAAAAAATAAAATAGAACAAAAAAAATTACTCTTATAAATTTTGCGAAAATACCGACTTTAAATTATAACGCAAGACTGTCGTGAGAACGAAAAAATCGCACAAACTAATAAAATATGTCAACTTTGATATATTCGTATATGTATATCCAAACATACAAATAAAAAACTGTTTTATGGAATTTATTGTAAGTGCTCCAAACCCTAATTTTATAAAAAAAAACTATCGTTACCAGCGACTACGTCAGCTTCAGTATTAAACAACCGAAAAATAAATTTTGACCCTTTATTGGTTGATTTCTAAAAATCCTTTCTTAGTGGATATATATTCACTATCTCTTCGTACTTAATTAAGGACGAAATCTCAATTCAATTCATCACCTGTTTTTATCCCCGGAGGATGTACCTTCTGCCTAAAACTTTGAAATATCGTCGTCTTTTATAACCAAAAATTTTATTTTCAATTTTGATCCCTTTAAATTTGGAACTTTCTAAATAATGGGTTTTCATACAAACTTCCAGCCCCGTTTTTAACCCTTTAGGGGTTAAATTTCCTAAATATCCGACCTTAGCGGATACCTACTCCATATAAAGAATATACCTGCCAAAAAAGTTTGGAGCAATTATACGAACTTTCTGAAATTTCAAGTGGTAGGTATTTCGGTTTTATATACGCAATATTCAGATATTAATTCAAATTAGTGCTTATACGTCTTTATTACATATGAGATAAAAAAAAACATAGAAACTATATTTTTAATCAAAACAATCGAAATCGGACAAAGGCAGAATCTAGAAATAAACATCGCGTGTAAACTTTGCACCCTTCATACTGCGAGGGGTTAGATTTGCTAAAGGCACAATATTTGAAGACTGCAGGAGTTTTAGAGTAGATTCTGCGCTTTGTACTTAGATTAACGCTTTTTTGTTATGTTGACATAACTAGTTCTCGCCGCGGTTTCGCTCGTGAAAAAAAAGACCTTTATTCATATAACAGATAAATATGTTGGGACATTAACAAACAACACCACCTAGTTCCTTGGTAAGCTACGAAGCTTGTGCTATGGATACCAGATACATACATATTATTATAAATATAAACACCCATGACTGACTGACTTCTTATCACTTAAATGGATGTCCCCAGCGGGATTCGAACCCGCGATCGCTGGCACAGCAAGTAGTCACTACAAACTGAGTCAAACATGTTGTCTCGTCGTCAAATACTGTTACACTATTTAATTTTTCACTGTCATTCAAGCATATTAAATTTAAATCCTTTTTCTTTTCCTTTCACATTTTCCCTCATATATTTTAAATAAATAATAGATTAACTGTTAATTTAGGAAATTAGCTATCTTCATTCAGAATTTCACTCAATTCGGTCGAGCCGTTATAGTGTAAAAAGTGACAAACACACACAAAAACTTTCGCTTTTGTATTTGGTTTATCCTAATAAGACAAAGGTAAACATCTATTGTACTAACTACTCAAATTTCATATATTCTCCTATACTATCTAAACAAAACATTATATTCCCCACAGAGCCTTTCCTTTTCATACGTCGTCATTTCACGAAAGTTTAGGCAATGAATTACATGAGCCAAATTAACAATTGAATAGGTTCTATGTTTTTAGCCTCCTTCGCTAGCATTTACAACTGCAAATTCAAAGGTCCTGAACCTTAGTCCCGAATCCATGGTTATTCAGTTTTTTAACCCCCGACGCAAAAAAGGGGTGTTATAAGTTTGACGTCGATGTCTGTGTGTGTCTGTGGCATCGTAGCTCTAAAATGGATGGACCAATTTCGATGCGGTTTTTTCATTTGAAAGATAGTTTCCTTGCAGTGGTTCTTAGCTATGTTTGGTTAATATCGGTCCAGCAGTGTAAGAGTATCAGCTCTTTTTCAAAATGATGTAAAGCATTTTAGCGTTTGATTACTATTTATTAGTGTAATCGTTAAATGACTATTAATTTTCGTAGGGGCTTTTTTACTTTTTAATTTATAATACACACAGTTTTCTGTCAATTTATTCTCAGCTATAGCTTGGAGTTAGAAAGTTCATGGTGTTTCACCCCATGCCTCATGTAGTCAGTCGTGCTCCTCATCTTTCAACTTGTGCGCGTTGTTGATCCACCAGACTTTAAGAGTAAAAGAAATAGCACACTTGTGCACTATCTCTTGCCCAGATGTTAGGTTCAGTGAGATTAGCCACCGTGGTCAAAATCGGTCGGTATGTTTAATTATTGACTAGCAACTCACCCTCGTTTCGCTTCGGGTTCCTCCCTAGACAAATACAAATCTATCCCACGGGAACCGTATATTTTCCGGGATAAACGCCTGTGCTATTCCAGACTATAATCTATCTCTGTGCCAAACTTCATTCAGGTCCGTTCAGCCGTTCTGGCGTTATTGAGTAACAAACATCGATCCATACATCTAAATTTTCACATTTATAATATTAGTAAGAAGTCGCGGTTAGTAGCTTGTATATATTACATATATGTTTAAGTTTTATTATAGTAACCTAAATTTTATTTCTCTTAGTGATTATAACAGACTTTCATTAGGCCTGGCTTCTAAGAAAAACAACCCTTTGTTAATTTTCTGTTGCGTGATACTTAGTTATCGTGCATTATTTGTAAGTAATTATAACATTTCCCCACGAAATGTATTTGTTTAATAGATTGTTAGACCTATTTAACTTAATTTATTTAAGTTTAGGATTTCAAAGTTCAAAAAAGGGTCACGTGCGAGTTAGAGCGTGTAAAAAAGGGTTCCGTAGATTTAAGGACAAATTTCGGAAAGAAGAGTATGCATTATATCTATATACATAGTACATATTTATCAAATTTCAATATCTTCCGTCTAGTAAATAAGTACAATTAAAAAGTTGTGACAGACATACAGACACTCGGGTATTCCCATAAGGATTCCACTTTAAATTTATTTATTTCAAACCCTATAGGGTATTAAATATTTAAAAAAAATAATAATCGACAGTGAGGCAAAGCAACTAGAATGATGAAATACAAGCAAATATCCTCTATATCCTCACTGGCCACTGAATATGTAAAAAAAACTACCGTGGATGTTTTTATTAATTTAAGTTGGACCATCCTTGACGTGTCAATATATTTAGCTCTTTTTAACGTCCCACTGCTGGGCGTGGGCCTCCCTTCAGTACGAGGGGGATCAGGCCATAGTCCACCACGCTGGCCAAGTGCGGGCGGACTGAGCATGTCTTTCGAAAACTTACTAGTCTTTCACAGACATGTAGGTTTCTTTACGATGTTTTCCTTCACCGTAAGGGAAGAAGTAATTATATTGGAAATGATTCGCAGTTGGCATGGCATGACAATATCAGAGGTGCGAGACCGAGATTTTAACCCGCTTCACTCGGTTCCTTAAACACGCGCTCCTATTGGGCTACCACTGCCTAAGTGTCAATATTAAATTAAAATAAAACTTAAATTATATATTAAACAAAATAACCTGAAAGTCGCTTCACAATTTTCCAAAATATCTCATAACATACTTACCTACCAAAAAAAAACACCCGAAGTGTACCTCCATTTTACGAAGTCAAAAATGGAATGAAATTATTCAAATTAAAACCTATAATATTTTAAAGGAATAAGAAAACATTGCTAGTATACGAACAAGGATAATTAGTACTTGGCTGTGTGCCTTAGTTTTGAAGTTGGCTTGGTTTCAAAAGACCATTGACTAATTTTAAACCTATATACAACTTAATTATTAGCAGTGAGATAAACTTAGTTTTGATTATACTTAACTTTTTGTCTTACGGTGAAGGAAAACATCGTGAGGAAACCTGTATGTCTGAGAGAACCTAGCAAGTTTTCGAAACACATGTACCTAAGTATAGTCCGCCGACCAGCACTTGGCCAGCGTGGTGGATCCCCCCATATTAAAAGGAAGGCCCGTGCCCAGCAGTGGGACGTTAAAAAGAATGGCTGAATAACTGAGTTTGATAACGAAAGACAAGGAAAGAAGTTAAAACAAACTTCTTTCTACTTAAAGGTACTTAACGTTTGAAAAAAGTACAAATAACTACTTTATTTCGAAACCACAAAAAATCAATTATTTTACACTTGATGTTTATATTTTTTTTAATTTAGTCTTCAGGTATAAGATTTTAATTTAAATAAGAAATATAAAAAAACTATTTACGATATCGCGTAACATCATAATATTAAAATGGATGGAACTTTTTGGTCGAATAATTTATATGATCTTTTTTCGTTAGTATTTTGTCCTTTTAATGTAAATTTAAACGAAGCACATTTCGCAATGATTTAAATAAAGACCCCCAACTTGTCAGAAAAAACAGATAACATAGTATATTTTTATTTAATTTTGAATAAGCATTAAGACATGATGCCTTAATTATACTTATTGTTAATGTTAATAAATAATCTTAAATAAAAGATTTCATTTTAATTCTATATTGAGTAGAGTAAATCGATAATTAGGCAACAAAATAATTCGTTCTCTTAATTGCTATTTATGACCGGTGTCAAAAAGAAGGACCATTTTATGGTCGGTATTTTTTTTTAATTTTAAATGAAAAGTATTTTAAAGATGATATCATAGAAAAATTAAATTCGCTTATAAAGTACGATGCACCTGTCTTTATAAATCATCTGTACGAGTTTGTTTGTTTGTTTGTTTGTTTGTTTGTTTGTTTGTTTGACCGCGCTAATCTCAGGAACTACTAATCCGATTTAAAAAAATCTATTTGCATTAGATAGCCCGTTTGTTGAGGAAGGCTATATATAATCATGTTACTACCCAAGGGAGCGGAGCAGTAATCATAAATGTCAACAAATCGGGCAGACTTCCATATATTTTTACTAATAGCATAAAGCTAAAGTTTTTTTTTTGTAGTTTTAACGCGAGATAAGCCGTGAGTTCTAATAGTATTATATATCTATATCTATACGCTAGCATAGTATTATATGATGTTGTGACTAATATTATAGAGGTAAAGTTTTTGAGAATGTGAGTTTGTAAACAAATTTAGATGCAATTTGGTAAGAAGATAGTTTGAGACCCTGGAAAGGACATAGGATACTTTTTATCCCGAAAATCATCCCTTAAGGGGAAGAAAATGGGGACGAAAGTGTGTATGGGAATCAAGCTAGAGACGAATCCGAGCGAAGCGAGGGTGAGTCGCTATTAGGATATAAAACAAAACAACCCCTAACAAAGGAAAAAATATATCGCAAATAATATTAGTTGTTATTTAATTGGATAAGATCGTAATTTAGCTTCTAGGTATTTTCCATTTATTTCATTTAGTCCGTATCTATATTTAGATTTCATTACATTAAAACCCTCTAGGATCTAAACTCTTAAGTGATTAAAGTGACTGTATAATATTACTATTTATGTACTAAGATTGAACAACTAAGGGTGTAACGGGGAAACGTTAAGGGTAACAGATTCGATTTCCACCTGACTTTGACTACAATTACAGGGCGGAATTTTCAACCCTTATAGTGAAACCCAAAGATCGAATAATCACTATTAAAGATTTTTTAACTCGGTTTACTTTTTTTAATTAAAAGTAAGATATTAATATAAGAATATATATAAAATAATGTAACCAACCAGTTTGTTCGTTGAAAGTTTATTAAAATTTGTGTTCGGAAGACGTTTGTATTGAAGTAGTAAAAAAAACTTAGTCTATAACGTGACCACTGACCATGTTTGCTGTAAAGCATTCGAATAAAGTAAAACAAAACCACGAAAACCCCGGAAATACAGTTTAATTTAAATGTCAAATATTCCTGTAAATCTATGAAAGAATTACTTACATAGCGACTTACCCTTGCTTCGTTGGGGTGCGTCTCGAGTAACGTTTTTTTTTAACGGAACCTTAATTCTTTTTCTAAAATGAAAGTAGCCCAAGTCACTCCTTATAATATCAGTTATCTGCCCACGAAAGTCATTTCAAAATCGATTCAGCCATTTTTTAGATTTAGATTAGTCGGAACAAACAGACACAAAAAATTTAAAAATCTGTTATACAATAAGTACTAACAAAATTCAAAACAATAAGTAATTCGTCTACTAATCGTCCCTTTTTTATTATTCATAGAAGCATTATGTAACGGAGCCTATCAAGAACAGTTCTGGACTCAGGCCAAGCTTTTAACATGATTTCATGTCGATATCACTGCAATAGAACCCTTCGAATGCTTTGGAAACTTTTGTAATAAAACTGTACGAAACAGGGTTAAAGTTTTTTTTTTAATTGTATTGAACTGTCATAGAGGACTTTTTTTTTCATTTTCTATCTGTATCGTAGCGTGTAAGATGTGAAAATAGCTGGACACCTTTGAATAAAACTTTTATATGTTGTTAAATGTAGACTAAATCCGATTTTAAATCGACATATTTTTTAAATCTAATAAAAAAAACAGTTACTAATGAAGACGACGATACAAAAAAAAACAAATTAAAAAACAAACTAAAATAAATATCCACTTGCAAAAAATATATGATTAAACTAAACGAAGTCAACTAAAAAAGGCACTGAAAAAACCTAGGCATTTTATAAATAGGCTAAAACATTACGTTGCAGTGACAAGATATGACCGTCCGTTTGTATGGAACCTGACTGTCAACATGAATATTGAAGTAGATATTTGAAGTTTGAAGATGGAGGGGTCGAATACGGCCGCGGAGGCCCACCAGTACGTGGGGCCTTTTAGACTGGAAAAAACCCTTGGAAAAGGGCAGACAGGTGAGAGTTTGCATCATTTCTTTTACAGTAGGGTTAGAGAATAGATAGTTGAGAAAAGAGTATATTATAGAGAATGTATCAAGTTTCCTCACGACGAAATATCAATGTATGTATGTAAAGTATTTCCCCGTAAGCGTCCATGGACTACTGATGGCTATACTTTGCAATACCATTGCTTTCATTTTCTATGTAAGAGCCTAAGCTATTTTGTGACTGACAATAGTGAGTCTACTGATATTCGAAATTCTTAAATAGATATACAAATTAGTCATATATTTCTTCAAAATGAAATTTAAAAAAAATACATGTTGCAGTTACATTTACGATAATTTAATACTTGAAATAACCAGAGTATATATATTTTTTACTGTTCAGAATTTAATATTTGCTCTATATTTCGATATCGCTGTACTCTCCTCTTTGTATCGGTCTCGTCCATCACTTGTAAAAGTGAATTCCACAGTAAGTACGGATCTGAAAACAAATATTAAGTTTAATAATTTTTTTGCAGTTTAATGTTAATAATACTTTAGTTTAATGCTTAAAAAATCATCGTTTCCATCATCAGACCCTCATCGAAAACTGTATGCACTAAACACAATTACTTTTAAACTTAATTTTTTACTTAAAATTTGAACTATACACAAACACACAAACACTCACACACATATCATCTACACAATCTCATTTTACTAATAAATAACGTAAAACTTAATTTGCTTTAACACGACATACTTGTCAATGTTGAGTACGGTGACCTCTAATGGGTTAAAAGGTATTGCAACCTTCTTTGTGTAACAAATAAGAGCTTACGGGTGTAATCCTATTTATTAAAAATATAAGTAAATCAGTTCAGAATTGGCGTAGATAACAATAATTTCATCGAAACGGATTCCGATTTCGATGGCCAATTTTACTGAAACTAACAAACTGTGTAAAAAATATACTTATTATAGTGCAACGCGTGTAAGCACAAATACAAATGCATTCTCTCATATCCAATGGAATGACAACTCGACTCGCGGTAAGAGATAAGGTGCAGGACTGATGTCTGAACGTACTCTCCAAAGCACGGTACACGCAGCCAACTTCCCAACTCCTGGAAGCTATTATTATGGCGACCCGATGAGACTCGAAACTGTCGTGTAACATACACCGGAATTAAAAAAAATAAGTAACACCAAACCCCTGTAGTTTGGAAAACTATATTTATGAATTTCTTAAAAATTGATTTTGACGTTTATTTCTCGAAAGATTTATATTATCGATATTTACTAATGACTTGTCACAGTCATCAACTCAATAATACCCGACAATTGAAAAACATTTACGTAGCAGTTTTAAAACAATAGTAATTGCAGTTTATCCTCAGTCAAGTAGATCCAGTTTTCAGAGTTTAATTCGCCAGATGGTCTCAGAAATGAAGGCATTTTCTTTACGGACTGGGAGTAGTTTTGATTTGCAGTAAGAAAACGACGATTTCTATGCTAACTAAACAATTCTGACTTTATGAAGTGTTGGTCTGTTCTTGGCATTATATAACAAAAACAACAGGACGTGAATAAAGTAATGGTGTAGCACTTTCACAGAGGGATGTTGTCTACAAAAATGTAATAAAGAAGTTAAGTTTGTAAGTCGGTGTGTAATCTCTGAAACTACTGATTCAGTTCTGAAAATTCTTTCACTAATAGAAAGCTACATAACCGCCGAGTTCTATCCGCTATTTTTAGTGAGGTAAAACTGTCAGAAATCGTGGAAAGATATTAACGGATGCACCCAAACAAGGCGAGGGTAAATCGCCAGTTCCCAAATAAATTGCACCCGTAAGGCAAGAAAGATGTGGAGGTCTTTTTAGTTTGTATATCGCAAACAGACGGGTGTCACCCTCCTTCCTATCTACGCTACTAGATATAGATTTAGTGATATAATATTACGAGGTGTGATGAAACAATTAACTTTTTTTTTCAGTTATAGATATAGGTAATTGAAAAAAATGCAATAATAAAATGAAGTAACCAATTTGTGTTTTTTCAGAAAAGACACCTATATAGACAAACTTAAAAGCAAAACCTTATCTAAATACAAAATTTAATCCAAATCTTTAGAGCCGTTTCCGAGAGACACGAAATAAATTTCTATACAAAAATTGCGTAATTAATATTATAAGATAAATAAGATATAATCCATAGTTTTAACAAGCAGTTATGATATTTAAAATAAATCCAGTAGAAAACTAACAGTTTTAGATTTAACAAATTGCCATGAAGATCACAACGTAGCAAATATTTTTAAATATAAACTTAATGGACAATAGCCTCTTCACTGCATTCAAGCTTTAAGACTTTGTGGTTATGAGCTTTTATAAAATAGTCTTTTTATAAAACGGCTTAAGTTTTCAAGATTTATATGTGCATTATACGATAAAGTAGAAACGAGGTCTTAGTTGAATAACAAGTTTATATATATATATATATATATATATATATATATATATATATATATATTGTCTGTCACATAGTATTGTTTGGATGGATGGATGTTTGTTACTCTTTCACGCCAAAACGGCTGAACGGATCTGGATGAAAGGCATAGAGCTAGATTATAGTCTGGATTAGCACATAACTAGGGACGAACCCGAACGAAGTCAGGGTGAACCGCTAGTGTTGTATATAGTTGTCTAACAAAGTCATCTAGGCAGCGCAATCATGCGGGAGTAAGGGGCACCCGACTGACATATGTTCCTTTATATGACAGTCGGGTAATGGCTTTAGGGTTGATGCATCGATCAAAAAAGTACTAGATACACAATCAGGGACAAAAAATGTCCTCAACTAATAAGAACTCATTTGAACATTTGGGCGCGCCTTTAACTTTTTTTTGTGAAAACAACTTAAAGCATTGCATTTAAAGTTCAATTTACATTGTTGCGTGTTTATTTCAACTAAAAAAAAACACCAAAACACAATTGGTGCCAGTTTTAAGAGCACTTTTGCAGGAGATTGTGTATCTAGTGCTTTTTTGATCGATGGATTGACGGGTATAACTGTAACATGCCACGGTTTAACCTAAAAATCGTTCACCATGAATATTGGTATTTTTGACTACCCTTGCATTTGACAGAATTTCCATTATAATCAAAGGCGATCCCCTACTAAATGATTTTTTATACTGACACAATAAAAATAACTGTCACGACGACGTTATTTCAGTAATTTCTGCATGAAATCTTTACACCATACAATTTTATTTGTGGCGATTAGCACGTAGCTTACTTTCTGACTCAAAAATTTGGCTTAAAGTAAGGAAAATATCAACAAATGGCTTGAGTTTTCCGTACAATAATGCTAATAAATACATATGAAACCATAAACGAAAGCTAGTTTTAATGAAATTCTACAATGTGAAGTAATTCTTATGAAAGAGGAAATTCTTTAAGAAGATTTCTGTATACTTTGAGTAAGTATATTACGATAGAATGTTCTCGATGCTATATTTTAAATTGGGTCCTTCTTAATGCACAAAATGTAGCAGTTAATTAAAGTGGCTTTGCATGTTTTAATTTAGATAAATATGTATATATATGTATGATAAGTATGCCTATTTCCTATTAATTTCTAGATATTTCGTCAAAATTTCGTTTCGTAGCTGAACGTTATTTTTTGGAAAATCTTATCGAAATAGTCATTATTATCGATACAGAAGCCGAATCTATAGCTTTAAGATTTTTTGTCTGTTTGTCTGTCTGCGAACGCATCACGAGACAACCACTGGACAGATTTTGATGAGATATGATGATAGCTGGTTATCCGGGTCAACATATAGGATACTTTTTACTGTGGGAAAATATCTCATCTCTGAGAAATCTATATTAACTGTTTAATACATTTTACACAGCCAAAATTTTTTAGCAGGCAACTTTAAGAATTAGATATTCAACTTTAAACTTTATAGTTCAAAATGAACACTTGTTTAGAATTCTAAAAACTTTTATGATCGAAGTAAATAACTTTTAAATCTCCGATATTCTAGTGGATATTTTTGGAACTAACGACAACATGTTACTTAGCAGCTCCAATTACATTATCGTCAGTATATACTTTGATATATACATTTATAAACATTATGCACAGACTAAATAGTGACTTTATCGGTCGAAGTTCTGTGACCGGTCGTGGATAGGTCACCGCCAATTTGCAGCCTAAGAGAATTTTCCCAATTCTTATATCTATACACTAGCGACTTACCCTCGCTTCGTTCGAGTTTAAATTTTTTTTCGCGGAACCCTGATTCTTTTTTTTAAATAAAAGTAACCTAGGTTACTCCTTGTAACATCAGCTATCTGCCAGTGAAAGTTCCGTCAAAATCTGTTCAGCCGTTTCGAAGATTAGCCGGAACAAACAGCAAGACAAAATTTTAAAAATGTTTTTTTCTTATAAGTACCTTATATGCTTTCATATGCATTTAGTAAAAAGCTGTTACTTTGACGTTACAAACGAATTTAAAAATTACAAACGAACACTTTTATTTATCTGTGTAGATTAATGTATGTAACAATTCGATTTCTTTCAACCAACTTATTTTGTTATGTATAACCAACTTCAAAAAAGAAGTTACGACTCATGATGTTGAATAATTCTTTTCAAAGAGTATTTATAAGTCGGTGTAATATATTTGTTAAACATGTATTTTTATACATATACGTATATTGCAATTAATTTTTAATTCTAAATTCTCTTAAAAATTATTTGAGACTTTGAGCCATTTACAAAAAAAATCATTCATTCTGAATCGATTTTAATTCAGAATTTAGATGTCATGAAATACGAGTACAAGAAAATACTTTTATCCGAATTAAGATCAGTATTTGTAGTCAAAAAATAACTTGTCACTAAAGAAAAAATAAATTATTTATTGTGTCAACTGTCATCCATTACGTAATTTAACATGAGCTTTCAGTATAAAATAAGACTTAAGTGCACCAAAAAAGTATTCAAGAGAAAACTTTTTCTGAAAGATGGATCTTAGGTCTATACTTTCTGTTACACAACCTACAGTCAACGAGGCATATTTAAGCTTAAAGCTTTTAATGGAGCAGTTTTATATTTTTAGCACAGAATTCTCATATTCCATGCATTTCGTATGGCATTTATAAATGCGAAAGTTTGTGAGGATATATGGATGTATGTCTGAATGTATGGATGTTTGTCGTCTTTAACGCAATAACTACTAAACAGATTTTAATGAAACTTTACAGTAATATAGGTCATACATCAGAATAACACATAGGATACTTTTTATTACGGAAAAATTTACAGTTCCCGTAGGATAGATTTGTTTTTGTTTTTATACAGACGAACCCGAGCGAAATGATGGTGAGCCGCTAGTAAGAAATATTTTTAACCCCCTCATATTACATATACTTACATACACACATCGCCATGATATACTCATATTTCATTCTGATATCTATTTTATGATCTTTGTTTTGTTGGATTTGTCATCACCCCGAGTTGCAAAATAACTATTAAAACATCAGGGAAAAATTCAGGGAAAAAAATCTATTCCATACAAAGCGGCAAAGCGTTCGCACGGACGAACCTGAGCGAAGCGAGGGTAAGTCGCTAGTTTTAAGTAAAACTATATTTGCGGTGAGAGTCTCTCCCGTGAACATGATTGCTGTAAAGCATTCTAAACGTCGAGAACCAGAAATCAAAATAAATCCGCGAAAAAATTCGAAAAGGTAGTTTTATTCAATAGCTACTAAGCAAAAAAAAAGTCGGTTGACAAACAGACGAGACAAGATACTGAAAATGATCACATCAGTATATCAGAGGTACGAGACCAGGGTATGAAGCCACTTTAATTTGTTTTAGTAGCGAGCAGATTACCAATCGGCCACCGCTTACATTTAAAAAAAAAAAAACATTTCTGTTTCGGGAAATCGAGTCAATTTTCCTCTGTGACACAATTGTGACCTACATTGTGACCGGAACTGTCAGTTAACTGTCACTTTACTTTGAGAGGTTCAAAAGGCTCTATTTAAACTAGCGACGCGCGCCGACATTGTTTTCTTAAATTATTAATAATTTTAATGCAACTAAAATAAAGAGATGGTTATCAAATACATATACTCGTATGTATCATGTTAAATATGATGACTTCTATAGTAAATCTTTACATAGTATAAAATGAAGTCGCTTCCGCTGTCTGTTCGCTTCGATCTTTTAAACTACTCAACGGATTTTAATGCAGTTTTCAGCAATAGATAGAGTGATTCAAGAGGAAGGTTTATACATATGTATAAATACATGCATATTATAGTACAGAAAAGCCGAAAAAGTCAAAGATTTGTATTTCATACTAACCGTTAAAACGTACCTAGGGACGAACCCGAGCGAAGCGAGGTGAGTAGCTAGTTTCGTTAATAATAAACGAAAAACAATAAACGGAATGATTTGAACGAGTAATGACATATTCTGTCTGTTTGAGTATTTTTCGACTTTTTGACGGCCTTTAGAAAGGAACTACCTACTTTGTTCAGATGTATATTCTTATTTGGCGATATGAGAGCATCCATATAGAAAAGTCTAGTTTTAAGAAATAAAATGACATGAAAAGAAAAATGAAAAATCTAATAAGGACTGTGTGTGAATATTATCTCGTTTAAGCCCCTTGTTACAAATGTAATTTTCTTTGTATGTACATTTTATTTTCATTGTACGTTAGGTTTTATCTTTATATGATACTAGCGACTCACCCTCGGTTCGTCCCTAGGTACGTTTTAACGGTTAGTATGGAATAGGTAGACTATATATTATATTACTGCTTCGCTCCCTTGGGTATAATATTAGTATAGATGATATATCGATTTAAATGATTTTATTTCGTAGAAAAGGTAAACTTCCAGGTGAATAATAATCAAATATTCCAATTAAAAAACGTTCCAATTTAAGACTTACATAGTTTTCAATCACTGTCTTAAATATATATATTTTGGTCAAACATTAAATTGTACTTTCACACATTTACTAAAACCCTCATGTAAGTAGTTTAAAAAGCTGTTTTTATCGTCCATACAGGACTCGGCTACTCGGCTGTGGAAAAGCCTAAAGGAGGGTTATGTGTTTGACTTCTATGTATCTATACATATAATAAAACTAGAAGGTCGAATGTCTGTACATAAGAAAAAAATGCTAAAAACCGAGACAGGGATGTAAGAAGAGAAATAGAACAAATCCAGATTTTTTGTTTTTGTGTCTGTTTATCTGTTTGAACGGGCTAATCTCCGAAACTGTTGGACCGATTTAAATGAAACTTAGCATGCTGGTACCTTAAATCCCCAGTCAACGTTTTAGATTCCTTTCATCCCGGAAATCAACAACTTATGCACCTAATTTAATATTTGGCATGGTGATACCTTATATTGCCGGACAAACATCAGGTTACTTTTTATTCCGGAAAAATGAACGATTCCCGTGGGATACATCTTTTTGTGCTTTTCAAGAGGCGAACCCGAGCGAAGCTAGGGTGACCCGTAGAATATACATATATGTGAGTCCGATCTTATGTTCTCTCGTAATTACTAAACCGCTCAACCGATTTTGATGATTCGTCGTTAAATTCGTCATAATCGAATAACGCGAGTGTCATATGGATACGAATAAAAAAAATTAAAATGGCGGATTTCAGATGTCAATTTGTGGGACTTTACAAAAAAATATATTTACATATATTACGTGTAATTTTGCTATATTCACAGAAAATGACCTACATTTAGTTCACAAGCATCTAGTAGCTGTCCAATGAGAAGTTCAAAGGGTTCTCTAAAGCCTGTACAGTGTACAATATGTACATGTAAGAATTGTTCCATAGAGAGATGAAAATTCTCTTTTACAAATATGTAGTACTAGCGTCTCACCCTTGCTTCGCTCGGGTTCATCTCTATAAAAACAAAAACAAAGCTATCCCACGGGAACCGTATATTTTTCCGAGATAAAAAGTAGCCTATGTGCTTTCTGATGTATGAGCTATATTATTGTAAAGTTTCATTAAAATCCATTCAGTAGGTTTTGCGTGAAAGAGTAACGAACATCCATACATCTATACATTCAGATATCCTTATAAACTTTCGCATTTATATATATAATAAATATATAATATTAGTAGGATTATAATATAGACAAGGGATAGTTTTTTTTTTTAATTTGAAAACCTTTCCCATTATATTATACTCAAACCCATTATATTATAATCTGAAATATGTGATTTTCCTATACAAAATTTTCCCTTCTCACGTGCGTATATAAGTACACACACACACGTTTTTTTATAGTATTACTAAAATAGTTAGGTTTTTTTCTACATAAAATCACGTTAATATACGTATACATTGCAAACACGAAGCTTATATGATTAGAGATAATTCGAAAAATTATGTTAAATCCCCTATTAGATAACACCCTTGTTGTCTTTTAATAAAAGCAGAAGTCAAAACTGGAATTTCGTTATTATTTAAGCCGGCCATTAAAATCGCATTACAAATTCACAACACGACTTTTAAATCTGACAAGTGATCGACATTGCCAACTTGGTTAAGTCAAAGATGAATAATTCGCCCGCGTTAAAACTTCCGATCGTTACCAAACTTCACAGAATTACCCGCTGAGCTAATATGAAGATTGCCTAAAAATTTCATCAAAATCGCTCCAGCTGTTTTAGAGTCCATACAGATCATACATACACACATTGATTTATATATACATATAATATCTATCGTATTAACATTTAAACACTATGTTATTAAATGACCGACTTAAAATAACGAGGTACATAGAATGCTCTTTTGTCTACTATGATATTTTTTTAACAAGTAGGTAGATTATGTTGGATCCACACATTTTCCAAGCCGGGCCGAGTCATCACAAATACAAGTGTGGAGAGGACGTTTGACTTGGCTTGTATAGGTATTATATTTATATACAATAATAGTCAAAAAAATATTTAATTGATAAATTCCAAAAAAATAAAACCTTGTATGGTTTCTATGAATTTTTAACACTACATTCGTTCACAATTTTCGTTAAATTTTGTTTCTTTTTTTATATTAGAAATTAGATAAACCGAATGTAATAAAATAAGCTCGAAGTCCTTCGCGCTTGTTTCTATTCTACGTGACATACAAGCGAACTCGCAAGCGTATGGATATCGATGAAAAATTCTTCACGTTATCGAAAATGTTTTTTTTATTTTACAAAAAATTAAAAAAAGAATTAACTAGTATGTACATTTTTCGAAAAATTGATATCATTAATAATTTTTTTTTTTGCATTTTTAAAAAAAATAATACTTATTTTTTTTTTAACTTTAAACATTTTATTCAAAATTTCGATTTTAGGGCGGCATTTTTTACTATGCCCAGGAGCGGCGCTAAGGTTGAATGTGGCACTGATTGTGGTGCTAGAAATCTATCTTACTTGTATTGCGTACTGTGTCCAAAATGCAGGTACCTACCATCTAGCATAATCTGCTTATAAAGCTAAGCCGCGTATATTGAAACTCTTTTGATTAATTTTTCAGTCTTTCAAATTATTATTATATTAAAGGAGAAAAATTACCGATGTTTTTCTCGCCATGTCTGTATTAGTATTTATTTGCCTTGTATATTTGACATTCCGAAATTCAGTCGATTTCTATTTTGTGCCATATTAGTGTAATCGTAAACAAACAGACAGGACAAACATATTTATAGGCGATGTTTGAACTATGGCATCGAGCAAATAACCATATGAGCTCAGTACGAGGGAACTGTTTGGTTATGAGGTACAAAGACACTTGTTCTGACATAATTGTATTTGTTAACCGACCATGCAAATTAAAAAAAACCGGTCGACTGCTTATTTTTTTTAAATGATTTTAAAATCGATGAAGCTTTTTTGAAGATGACGAAGAAATTTCACACATTTTTTTTGAATTTAAACTTTTTAGCTTTAAAAAAACTATATTTTCGATTTTTTTCGTGCGTTTATTTTTTGACTTTTGGTTTTCCGATGTTTCGAATGTTTTACAGCAATCATAGTCACGGGAGGACTCTCCTCGGCTCCCGAAATGATAGCTTTATTTAAAACTAGCGACTCACTCGCTTCGCTCGGGTTCGTCCTGAGCTTGCTTTCCCATACAAGCTTTTATCCCCATTCTCACCCTCTTAAAGGATGATTTCCGGGATAAAAACTATTTCACTCACTTTTCATATCATGAGATTACAAAAAAATCTTATTTTAGTAAAAAAAAAATCTTTAATTTTCTTCTATACAAAAATTACAAACACAAAAAAAAACCAATTTGGTGCAGTCGATCGGAAGTTATGCGTGTACATACATTTCACTGTTAGACAAGTGGTAATTATGTTGAAAATGATTATTAGGGTATAATTTAAAAAATCTTACTCGCGCTAAAGGAGTTCCCGTCCATTTGTCTGTCACTGAACGGTTGTACAGAGACACTGGGAGGCATCGCTTGGATCGCAGCCTTGTATTCCACACCAGGCATAGATATCGCTTTCGATATAAGCAGTAAAATAATACTAAAATGATAGGTTACAAGTATACAAAAATAAATATTCACTTATAATGAAATAACAATTTTTTAAATTATATTGTTAATGCATTAGGAATATAAATACTAATATTATAAGAGGCAGAGTTTGTTTGTTTGTTTGTTTCAACGCGCTAATCAATCTTAATTATAAGCTAATCATATCCTTAACTAGCGACACAATCTCGCTTCGCTTGGGTTCGTCCCTAGGTACGATTTAACTGTTAGTATGGAATAGATAGACCATAATATATTATATTACAGCTACGCTCCCTTGGGTTGTAGCATGATGATATATAACATATAGCCTTCCTCAATAAACGGGCTATTTAAGGCAAAAAGAATTTTTCAAATCGAATTAGTAGTTCCTGAGATTAGCGCGTTCAAGTAAACAAACAAACTCTGCCTCTATACAATATTAGTATAGATTTATTCGATTTTTTTTAAAATCAACTCTAAAACTAATATACCTGGTAAGTAGTGTCGCCATTGTAGTAAGTCGGTTGTTGGACGACACATTGAATAATGTAGGTAGACGTTCAACGTTAAGCTCACATTACCTAGTTATCGATCGAGAGCTGTTATAACCTTGCCTTAGACAAGCTGCCTGTTTACAATCTATATCATATATAAAAAAAACTAGCATTGCCCGCGGCTCCGCCCGCGATTAGATGACCAAACACCAAATAAGAGTATGCTAATATTAGTATACTCTTACATTGCAGTTTTTGTACTTTTCCTCAGAGATGAGATATTTTTCCGCGGTAAAAAGTATCCTATATGTTGACCCGGATAACCAGCTATTACCATACCAAATTTCATCAAAATCCCTGCAGTGGTTTTTTTGTGATGCGGTAACAGACAGACAGACAAAAATTCTAAAAACTATAGATTAGTCCTTGGTATCGATAATAACGTTTATTTCAATAAGATTTTCCAAAAAATATTTAATGTACAGATTTGGCTTAGTTACAATTTTATTATATGTATTGATATACGGAAATGACCAATTCTGTTATGACGTGATAATAAATATGTAATTTCTCCAACTAATTTTTACATATTATAGTAAGTATTATTTACACTGATTTTGACCCGAGTTCAAAATGGCTGAAGGTATATACTTAAATTAATAGAACTTTCACAAAATCGTAGCGGAATAAACAGCAAAATAGACTAACAAAACTGAAAACTATTACTCAAATTTCATCCAAATGTTCAGTCTTTTCAGCGTGAAGGAGCAACAAACAAACACACGTATATACGAGCTTTTGCATTTACAATATATTATGATACTGTAATGCTTTCGATATAATCATCTGACATCTAAATAGAGAGTGAACTAAACAGTTAATATTTTCTCTGTAGTTTTTGTCCCGGAAAAATAAATTACTTTTTCTTAAATATCTTATCAAAAAAGTATTATCAGCTCTCGATAAGTACTGCTCGTTGAAATCTAAGTTGATTTCACAAGAAGTTCAATTTTTCTTGATAACTCCATTTAAAACTTCCCGATGTTGAACAACTTGGTCCAAGTTTTATTAAAATTTCTTAATTATTCCACCTATTTATAACTAAGGGACTTCCAGAAGCCATATCGAGATATAGGTACAATAAAAATAATTTAAAACGTTTTTAGTAGTTAACTCTCGATGCGATAAAACCGATTTTGTCCTTTTAGGATGATGGATAAATATATTTAGGGCTAATTTTATATGCCTATTATGTTATTATGTTACGTTAGGTTATAATCTATCTGTGTACTAAATTTTATGCAAATCCGTCCAGCCGTTACAGTGTGAGGGAGTAACAAACATACACACATACATAATTACTTTCGCATTTATAATAGTTGTCCAATTATCGCATAAAAGTTGTAAAAATCGTACTAATCTATATATATATATATATATATATATATATATATATATATATATATATATATATATATATATATATATATATATATAATATAAGAGGTAAAGTTTGTGAGGTTGTAGGGGTAATCTCTGGATCTATTGAACCGATTTAGATGAAATTTGGTAAGAAGATAGTTTGAGACCCTGAAAAGGATATGGTATACTTTTTATCTCGGAAATCATCCCTTAAGGGGGGTGAAAATGTGGATACTTTGTATGAGGAATCAACCTAGGCACGCACTACTAGAGAAGCGAGGGTGAGTCGCTAGTTTATTCATACAATCGTAAATTTTAATTTGTTCATTTTGTAATACTTTCTTAGATTTACGCGAATGTTTGACATTTTTAAATAAAACTATCTTTACGGATTATTTAAAAATTGTTCATTTTATATTTATGTTACGAATATATTACTCCAGTATTGAATAATCACACCCGTAGTCTATATAAATGCTCACAATTTAATACCAAACCAACATATTATATTTTCAATAGATGAATTTCGGGTTGTATTTGTAATAAAACGAGGATAGGGGGTTTGATTTCCGTTGTAAGATAGTGTTAAGAGATAAAATAATTAGTAGCACATACATCAATATGTTATCATTCAGTAACTGGCAATAACGAAATTAGTATAGAAATTATTACAAAAAATATTCTATGAGGACACGGTAGAGCTTAGCCAAGTTAATTAAACAAAATACATATAATAAGTTTTATGTTTTAAATAAAAATATTATATAAATAAATAAATATATATATATATATATATAGAGAGAGAGAGAGAGAGAGAGAGAGAGAGAGAATTTATATCCGAATAATATTATGCCGTCAGTTTGAAATCGCGTCGTAATACAGAATGTATAACTATCGCACATTGCAAAGTTTCTATCGGCCGATACTGAGGTCGGGTTCATAATCAATATTATGAAGATGTATATTGAAAAGTTTGTTCAACCAGAACTTTATACAAATTACAAACGTGACCAAACTTTCAAACGATTGAAAATTTTGAACCCCGCCGTTTACTTTTAATGGAATATTTCATTATTGATATTATTATACTATTATTTATTTGTTACAGGTCTTGTTAAGCTGGGTGTACACTGTGTCACCGGTAAAAAGGTCGCTATCAAAATCATAAATAGAGAAAAACTTAGCGAATCTGTACTTATGAAGGTAAAAGACACTTGTTATAATTTTACGTAATTATATAATATAATTGTCACAACAAAAATCAGTAAATCAGTGAAAGTCTAAGAAAAAGGAAATTTACAACATGTTACATGTTCTCTTTGTGTACATTATATTTGTTGGATATTAATATATCTTCAAGTATTAGATAGTATTATCATTTTAGTTAAAACTACTGCCTTTTGTTTTATAATAAGTCCACAGTCAAAACAGTTTAGTTTTCTTATAAAATATTTATTTAAAACCTTTTGTAGGGGATAAGCCAAAACAAACCTTTTTGTGTTTAAACATTTGGAACATACAAATTCGTATCACACATCTCTTTATAAAAACCTAATTATTTAGCTTTAAAATATTGTATAGCTAAATTTCACATAAATATAACCAGTTATGCTATAAGAAAGCAGAAGATGTATATTTTTCTGTTCATTAAAATATATTTAAACAAAGTTAAAATATAATCGTTAAGTATCTTTAACTTTGACACGGTTAGCATTACTCAAGAGAACCGTTTGTAAACTACTCAATTGCTTTTGACCCCTGTAAAGGAACAAAAGCGACGATGCGAACGCACGAAAATTATGTTCAATTAACCAATTACTTGATCAACTATGGCTATGAACTTCAGTTGCTGTAAGGAAAGTCTATGTTTTAAAGCTTATTTATAAGTTCAAAGAAATCTTTTTAACTAACTTTGATTCATTGGATTCGTCAAAACATATGAATTATTATTATTACAGGTGGAAAGAGAAATAGCTATAATGAAATTAATTGAGCATCCGCACGTGCTTGGCTTGTCGGATGTTTATGAAAACAAGAAATATTTGTAAGTAAACTCGTAGCTACATGTTTTTCTTTGAAAATAAAATTAGAATTACAAAATCTTTTTAAAACCACTGAACATAAACTATATCATGTTTAATGTGACCATAGTGTAGAAAAATCTAATTATAAATAATACTAGCTAAAGGAAGTAATTTTCTGCGCGCTTAATCCTATTACTTTAAGTCCCGCGGGAACGTTATTGGAAACAGTAAAAATAAAGTGCCTTGAGATTCTTAGCAAGCGACTATTTCTCAGTCCCACTAAAGTTTTATCGCATGAATCTATTAAAACGTCCAAATACAAATAACACTCAACAAATAAATCCTCGCTCTCTAATAAAAAATAAAGTATTTCTTGGTAATAAAAATTATAAAAGCGAAAAAGTATTTATTTCTTGGTAGACGTTTCTTAGATTTTTTGCATAGAGATAATTTATCAAAAAATTTCTAAAATATATATGCACTTTTACTACAGTATATATTTTTCAAGTCAATTATTATTCATCAAATGTGTATCTACAATTTTAATTCAAAAGCTTTAGTAAAATACGGACAATGTATTGAAACGAAAGAATCGATTTAGAAATTGAAGCTATTTCAGAATAATACATTGATAATGTAGTTTTCTTGTTCCTTTGATAATGATAAACTAATGTTGATTTATTTTTAGGTACTTAGTCTTAGAACATGTAAGTGGAGGGGAACTATTTGACTATTTAGTAAAAAAAGGCAGGCTAACTCCCAAAGAAGCTAGAAGATTCTTCCGTCAAATTATATCTGCATTGGATTTTTGTCACAGCCATTCTATATGGTAAGATAAAAACCGGCATTTTATTATTAAATTTAAATAAGTAAAATTCCTATTAATTTGAAATAAACTCAGGGCCTAATTTTGATTTAATTAAAATCATAGAAAAACACTATTTTTGACTTGGTTTGATTTCTGAGACAAACATGTATTTGCCATACCATTTCATATGCCGTCTGACCTCTCACTAATAACAAAACACACTAAACACTCACTACATAAAAAACAGACAAAATTTAAATATAACAGTACATACCTTTGACTTACTTTACTGAACTTATATTATATTCCAGCCACCGCGATCTCAAACCTGAGAACTTGCTGTTAGACGAACGGAACAATATTAAGATCGCAGACTTTGGTATGGCGTCGTTACAACCGGCTGGGTCCTTGCTGGAGACATCATGTGGCAGTCCACATTACGCCTGCCCTGAAGTTATACGGGTAACGTTAAAAATATGTAAAATATATTAAAGTATTATATGTTATATATAATTATACTTACTATATTCGAAATGCAGTGGAGCCTAATATTACTTTCTTATTAGTATTACTATTTAATAATATATGTATTACATTTAGATATGGAGCTTTGAAGATCAAAATTGTTTTTATTTTATTTTAATATCAATTGTATGTGGGATTCATTGAAACAGTTTATAACCCAGAAAGGCATTTAATACTCTTCCAAAAAAGTACAATAATCGCTACAATGTACATCATTACAAGGAATCTAAAACTAAAAAATACAACTTAAATACAAATAAAGAATAAACATAATTAAATCAACTAATTAAGTACATATATATTAGTAGGTAAATGTCAAAAACTTGGAAATATATTAATAATAAAAAAACTGTGAAAAATTTGTACTTTCAGAATCTTTTTTTATATTTTCACTAACTAATAAAGATACTTTATCGTAAGGCTACAATTAAAAAAAATGGTTACCACCCAATTCCTTTCTGACAAAAGAGAAGCGGGTATTCCAAATTAAGACGGTTATTGGTTATTTTAAAAGTATAAACTCTACACAAAAATAACATAATTATTCTGTTATTAAATTAATGTTTTTTTTCAGTTCAAAATTAGGTGGAACTTGGCGTTACTTTTGCCGGGCAACAAAATTTATTCTTTCAAAAATTGTACACATGACAAAAAAATAAATTTAGTTTTTTTTTTATATTTTGATTTGTTTTTTTTCTTTATGTTCTTATATTTAAGTACTTATTACAAATCACAGATAAATTTATTGAGTGTTAAAAAAAGTAACTAAATATAAAATCGAAGCAACTCCATGAATAGAAGATATTTTGAGCAATTACAAGAATGAATTTTATTTTATTGTAGTTTGTATAATCAGTATAACCACAGTTTGAGGTATATATTCTAGGTAATGTCACAGCTTAATAAATAATAATTAACCTACCAGTACATCCAGTGTTTTAATATACAAATTAACTACTATTGTACTTGGTTATGACTAAATCAATTCATATTAAAAAATAATAAAATGATTTTAAATGTAGTATAAATTCTAAATCTTCAAAATATTTATATATTTGAACACAAATTCTCTAGTTGGCTCATACTATTTCTTAAATTACTGACATTAGTTTTTTTTTAATTTTCTGGATTAACATTTTGGCATAAACTGTGTTTGTTAAATCCTTAATGTATGGCCATTAGATTTTTTATTGGTTGATAACTGCAGTCCCCTATTTATCATTCAAAATATCATGAGACACAATAAACCAATTTAAATTGAAAAGATGTTAACAGGCTAAAAGCAGGAAGCTCAAATTTTAGCTTCCGTCACTAAATCAAAATACGACGACACTGACGAAATATTACATTACATAACAAAATTAAAACATCCTCTTTCTCGAATTAGAAAGTACTGAATCGTTTTTGATATAATTTTCATAATTGTAATAAAAAATGCTCTAACAAAATCATTTTTAATTACAATTAGCCAATAGCTAGTATATACTTGAAAAGGCTTAATCGTCATCAACCCTTTGTTTCTTGCTTGTATTTGAGGGTGTTTGCGGGGGTGAACATCCAGTTTCTCGTCGTTTAGAAGAATGTCTAGCACAGCCTGCGCCTGATGTTCTGTGAGACGAGTCCCGGTCCCTATCTCGAGTTGGCGAAAACTGCTTTAACATTTCTACATCATTGAAAATAACTTGGGCCCCCCCACCGCAAGTTGGGACTATATCACCTTTGTACAATTTGGTTTCCAATTCACCATCTGTGTCTTGTTCTTGTGAAATAAGGCAGTACTTGGACGATTTATTATTAGCAATATCTTTGACGTTGGTCAGTTTGTTTACGAATTTGCTATTATTAATCTGTGGTTTCAAAACAGTACCCATTGGAACTATTTTGGAGGGTGCATGTTCTACCCAACCTTTGCCATCGGCAGATAATGATCGCTTATGACGAGGATTGGCGATGGCAACTCCTCGACGTGAAGATGCAGGGGTGTCGCGAGTTTCTCGTGTATGAGGAACAGAGCTAAACGGCGTCAAAAGATGAGCTGGCAAAGCCCTAGGAGTAGATCCGGGTGTGAAATCTCTTAAAGTGGTTTGAGCCGCCATATCTCCTGTACTTTTTGGCATATCCATATCACCACGGTCCCCGTTTAGTGCTTCGGCAATAATACGTAGTCGATTCTCTTTTTCCTCTATCTCGCTTTTAAGTCGTTGTTTTTCACAATTTATTGTCTTAGCTTTTTCGTGTTCAGCTGCTATTTTATGGTTGAATTTACGTTCTAGAATCTTCTTTTGTTTCTCTTTATCAAGCTTATTCTGGCTTAGGAGTAGCTCCTTCTCTTGCAATTCACGTTTTAGAGAAGATGTATAATCTGTCATCTCACTTAATTTCCTTTGATGTGATAAAGAAACGTTTTCCATTGCAGTCAGGCGATCTTCCAAAGCCCTGACTCGGCGTTCTGCTGACGCTAACTGTCCACGTAAGGAAACATTTTCACTTCTCACATCCAGGGAATCCTTTTCCAACTCTAACAAAGCTGACCTCAGTTTTTCATCCTTGATAGCTTTACTTCTTTTTAATGTCTCTCTACGACTGATTCTCATTTCCAAGTGGGCCATTAATTCTTTTATAATGTGAGAAGCTTGTGAACTATTCAATTCTAGGCTAGGGAAATCAGGTCCAAGGCTGTAGACAAGACCTAAATCTAACTCTAGGTCTTTAGCTTCCGGTCTAATCATATTTTCTCTTGCAGCATTAAATAGCCTATTAGCTTTACGTCTGCCTGACATCAGGCCAATAGTTGCTGCAACATCCACTACTTGTGGTTTGGTAACTTCAACTTCTGCAGCAACTTCAGCAAATCTCATAACTTGTAAAGTTTCATCGTAATCTTCGGCCCTTGGATTGGCACAGACCACCATGCGGACTTGTCCTTCACCTTCAAAGAAATTTTTAAATAAATGAGTTATTTTAGCTTCTCTGTATGGCACCATATTATTTGTACCATTTACTTGATTTTCTCTCAAAGCTTCCATACAAGTTCTTAGAGTCATTAAAGATTTATTGATATTCCCTGCTTCTCTTAGGCGTTGACCTGTATTTTTAGTTCTGTTGGTTCTTTCACTCCCAGCTAAATCCACAAGACTTAATTGACTGATAGATAAGAACTTTTTATTTTGAATTACTGCTTCCCCCATTTCATCAACTGGTGCCTGCACCAATCTTATAGTGAAGACTGAGTGGCTTCTACTAGATTCTGCATTAAGAGTAGTGTGAGCCATTCTTTTCCTTTTTAGTCCCAAATAAAAGGCATTAAATGCTTCTTCCGCTGACTTAATTTCTATCTCAGTAACGCCATGTACATACATATTATGTGCAGCATCTTCCCTTATAATTTTCACTGGTAAATTTTTAGTTATCGGAGGACCGTCTTCAAGTAAATCAAAAACACTGTTATTGTAAATTTCCACATAAGTAACAAACACAGCATATTGATTATCTTCATTGACTCCTTCTAGTTTAGTAAGGTCGGAGTCTGACATGGCTAAATCTGGGTTTGAATTATTTTTCTTATTACTTTTGAATTTGTGTAACTCTTGCTGCCTTTCCAACATGGCTTCAGCTTCAGATTGTACATCGAACATATTCATTTTATCAGGTTTAAATATATATTTGTGAGCTTGAAGTTCATTGATAGTCTTAAATATAATGTTTAAGCATCGAGGTAAAATACCACAGTTTTGAGGTTCTCCCGTCATTGTAAATGTTTTTCCACTGCCTGTGACGCCATATGTAAATAATAAGCCATTTTTACCTTTAATCAAGCCTTGAACTAAGGGTAATGCAACTTTATCGAATACTTCTTGTTGATTTGCGTCTGGCGGGAATACTTCTTTGAATGTGTATTTCATAGTTTTGTTACCTTCATTTCTATAACTTATAGCTGTTGAAGGTGGAGACATAAGGACAGTTGTTGGTGATATTATTTTTATACATGAAATATCAGATTCCCGTTGCATAGGGCGCAATCGGCAATAAACTTGTACAGGGTCCCTTTCACCCTGATTTAAATTTTGCTTACTTCTAGCTGGCGTTCTCATGTCGTTTGGTCTCTGTTTAGATTTCGCCGACTTCATTTTTACACAAATCACAATATTCTATCACACTACCACGTATCTTCTTCGGAATTTAATTCAACGGTTTGCAAAATTGAAGCAACGGTCACTCGCGTTGAAATGTATTAACCGACTAAATTAACCATTCGATGTTACTGGTTTAGTGATATCTATCTCTCTTATTCTCATATAAAATGTTATGCGCTTACTCCGCTTCCATACAAAACGGTTAACAAAATAAGACTTTTAAAATTTAACGGGTAATAGAGTAACAAAAAATGTTTGACGTTATCGCAATGTTGCCATGTACTTACACGGAGTTTCCCAATAATGATTCAAAGAATAACGTAATTGATTATTTTTTCAAAACGTTTTTGCTATGTTAACTCGTATGAGTTTATAATTATTAAATATAATATGTTTATATTATATTTAATGTATAGAAATATTTTAAAAAAATGAGTATAAAATTAAATGTGAAATGTGATTTAAAAAATATGTTTTAGTTTCCCGTTTTAGTTATCTCAATTACTATTTCTGTAGTGATTAGGTAATAGAAAGCTAAAAATCATGAAGTTTACTTTAACTATATTCTCAAAAACAGGAAAAGTAATTTTTATAGCAACATTTTTATTTTACAACGTTTTGATAATTCATTCATAATATATATTTTTATTTTATGATTTTTATATAATATTATATAAAATTAAACTATGTATACAAAACCCTTAAAATCTGAAATGAATATAAAACTTTAATTTAACAAGTTAATAATTGAAAGATATTAACGAAACGCAAAATGTTATGACTTTGGTTTAACTGTCACTGTAATTTCCAAATTCCAATATTTGTAAACAAACGTCTTTTTCTGTACCTAGATTTAAAAATTCACAATTTAGTAAATATTACCTACGTACTAAAATTTCTTGTGTTGTTTCTATTTAGGGCGAAAAATATGATGGACGTCGTGCTGATGTTTGGTCTTGTGGCGTCATTCTTTACGCGCTGCTTGTTGGTGCTTTGCCGTTCGACGATGATAATCTACGACAATTACTCGAAAAGGTATTTAATTATTCCTCTTAAATCCACTTTGAGAAATAAATTTTACTTATAAATTTATTTCTGTGCATTTATACTGATGAAATAAAAACTATGCTTAATATTTTTTTCTTATAACAATAAAATGATTATTTATGTTATGGAGTGCATACATTTTATAGAAGTTTTATTGTATTCTTATTTATCATTAAAAAATTTCAGGTGAAGCGAGGAGTCTTCCATGTTCCTCATTTTGTGCCGCCTGACTGTCAGCAACTGCTGCGTGGTATGATTGAAGTAAACCCTGAGAAGAGAATGACGGTAAGAGTACAATAAATATTTTTTACATAGAGATATTATCTATTCAAGTTTCAATGTTTTTTATTGTTTTCCTTAAACTTACATAGTATGTTTGTTATAATGATTTTAATAATTATATTGATGACAAAGAATGTATTATATTTTTCAGTTAGCAGAGATAACGCGCCATCCCTGGGTGACAGCTGGTGGAAGAGGGGAACTAGAACAAGAATTACCCATGATGGAAGTAGTTCAGACGAGGGTTTTACCTTCAATAGAAGCTATTGACCCAGATGTCTTACAGGCTATCTGTAGTCTTGGCTGTTTCAAACATAGAGACAAGCTTATTCAGGATTTGTTAAGTCCACAGTAAGTTAATTTTGCATTATAAATTATGTTACTTCTTACTAATATTATAAATGTGAAAGTTTAGATGTTTGTTACTCAATCACGCCAGAATGACTGAACAGATCTAAATCAAATTTTACACAGAGATAGATTAAACTCTGGACATATAATCTGCATATAAGCTATATTTTATTCCAAAAAAAAAATGGTTCGTGTGGGATAGATTTCGAAACAAAAAGAATCACCTTTAGGTGAACCTGAGCGAGAGTGAGCCTCTAATATAATATAATAATAATAATACCTTCATTGACGTAAATACAAAAGGTTTACAACACATTTTTTTTAAAACTATATAATTAGCACAATCTTTGTTTAAGTATACTAACATCTCAACTAGGCCGAGCCTGTATCTCAGACGCTAGCCTCTTCCTATTACACAATTTATTAATATCCTATAAACAATTAACTTTTTTTACCATACTATATACCATCTTTTGCAAATTTCTAATATTGTTGTAAATTATTGCATAATATTTAAAAAATGTGGGTATTATTAATTAATAAATAAAACCACTAATAAGCTTGTTGCTATTAGGCATTATATGATTACATTTCATATTATTTAATGTATTATTTTGTCTTTTGCCCAGAAAAGGTTAACTCAGAATAGAACTTTTCATTTTCATTATGTTCATTTGATCATCAGTCAAATGTTTTATAATATAACAAAAAAAAAAAATTATTTCTGACTAAACTAATTAACTGGGAAGGACAAAATTTTGATAAAGATAAAATGTTGTACAAAATATGTCCAGGAAGGTTTCTGATATAGTTAAATTATTATTTTTATTTTGTTTAGATATAGTTTATGGGATAGAGTATCATTAAGGTTTCTATGGTATCCACTCATATAAATTCGAAAGTTTGATGTATGGTATATATATTTGTTATTCTTTCACGCTAAATCTACTGAAAGGATTTTGATGAAATTTTTCAGTAATATAGCTTAGACATTGGAGTTACACATAGACTTTAATGTATGAAGATGTAGTAATTGAACTATGTGGGAAAACACTAGTTCCAATATAATACAAAGTCACTGTGGATGTATCGCTAATTATCACCCATTTTCCAGTCACAACACAGAAAAGGTTATATACTTCCTGCTCCTGGAACGCAAGAGACGGAGACCAGCTCGTGATGATGAGCCCCGACCCCCAGCTCCTGCAACACCCTCAGATCCTCCTAGAAAACGACTTGATACTTGCCGGGTGAGATTTATTAATTTATAATATTATAAATGAAATTTATGTGTTAATTTATATAAATATTCGTAATAACATGTGTTTATGACTTTAAAAGCACATAACGGCAATTATTAAGAAACATGTATTTTAATTTTAAATATATATCCCCAAATTGTCGCCTTATTGCTTTATTGCTCAAACTACCAATACTTAGAATACAGTTTTTACATCTATTTTAAAAACAAAGCTTTATGTCTGAGATTTATGTACATATATAGATAAAATATATCCAATACATGACCAAAAGACCAATTCACTGAAAGAGTTTTTAATAATTTGTACTCCAGTCATGGGTGTATATCTCTCTTATCTTCTTATATAAATAAAAATGAATGTTGGTAAGCGCATAACTCAAGAATGGCTGGACCAATTTGTCCACGGAAGGTTTTAATAAAGAGAAAAATGAAAAATTAACGAAAAAAAAAATTATATGGCTAATGCTGGCTAATAACTATTTATATCTATTGAAAACGTACCTAGCGACGAACCCGAGCGAAGCGAGGGTGAGCCGCTATATGTATCTAAAATTATATATGTGTAGTGTATTAACTATCTGCTATCCATAACACAAGCCTCGTAGCTTACCATGGAACGAGATGGCGCTGTGTGTTAATGTCCCGACATAATTATTTATGTTTTACATCACAATCATATTGTCAGTGACCATGAAAGTTTAGACTTATATTGGCATTTATTATTTATTTAATATAAACCTTAATTTATTTAATATAATTCATAATTTATCTAATGTGATAGCGTCGAAGAAAGGGAAATGTATAAAAAACGTTTGTTGTATGGGAGCCCCCTTAAATATTTATTTTATTCTGTTTTTTAGTATTTGTTGTTAAATACATCATCTGTGAAAATTTCATCTGTCTAACAGATAGACAGACAGACGGACGGACAGCGGAGTCTTAGTAATAGGGTCCCGTTTTACCTTTTGGGTACGGAACTCTAAAAATAATCTGGTTCTACCTTGATGAAGGGTCAGCATTGACCGTGATGTCTGTAAGGGTTCGTTTCACGCTTTTGGCTACGGAACTCCAAATTCACTTCTTTGGATGGGATATTGCTTATGTAATATTCATAATATTCATTGTTTTCTTTCCAGGTAAATGGACAGTCAGCGCATTTTGGTCAAATCAGTGAAGGTTCACCCATCACGCCAAGACGGTCGCAGTTTAGGTATAAATTTTGTTTTTCTTATAATATTTACTACGTTTTTAATTCATCCTCAATATGTGGGGAGGGAAGGGGGGCTTAGCTAGTTAAAATACATTAATATAGTATTTTATATGTATAACGGGATAACTTAGGGATTCCGCGGGATAGCGGATAAACGCAATATCTCATGGGGATTTATATATATATATATATATATATATATGTATTGTTTATTTTTAAAACAAACCCCCATTAGAAAAATGCATTAATGTGTTCAAAAAGTCTAATTGAAATATACATCCCTAGTTGTAAGTTTTGTACTGCTTCGTCATAGATGGCGCTATCAATTCTTTTGGATTGTTTATTCACGTTCGAAACTTTAAAATAACGCGAATTAGAGATGTTATTCACATTTTATTATTATTTTTCAATAAACAGAACAAAAAAGAATGCTTTAGCACTAATAAGAAATTAATTGGACCCAGTTATGCAAAAAACAGCCATGTGCGTAAAAGTACCAACAGAGTTATAAGCATTTTTTTATAAAAAATGAAATAATTATAAAAAATAAACAATACTTATATAAATTTAATTATTTATTATACGCAATTTGTCATTATTTTATCTACCTAGAATAACAACTAATTATGCACGTAATAGCTTTATATACCGTTCTTGCAGATTGCATAATGAAATATTTAATGACATAGATTTATTTTCCCTTTCTTTAAATAAGTTCAAAATTTTAACCAGAAGTGTCTGTTCGTGATTTCCCCGTTTTTTTTTTGTTATATACTTTAATTTTTAATTTTAATAAGCTAACATATACCTACCTTAAGAATGTGTAAACGGTGAAGACTTAATTGGTGTATGTATTTTTTTTATTTCTTTTGTTTATAATATGTAACATAATACTGTTTGTCTTCCAAATAAATAAATAAATAAATATTGTTCAATTTTAAAATAACCAAAAAAACAAAACATAACCCAAGTGCAACTATCGACAGAAAAATGGTTATAACTCTGTTGGTACTTTTACGCACATGGCTGCTTTTTGCATAACTGGGTCCAATTATTTCCGATCCTATCGTTTCTATAAAAAAAGATGTATCAATAAAATAAAAGCAGTTACGAGGACTGCAGACGGAAGTGAAAATTTAAAACTATAAACAAACAGTTGTTATTTTTGGATATTCAAATTAATTGTTTGACTACTAATCCGATTTGAAAAATTCTTTTTGCATAATACTGTTTGTCTTCCAAATATATATATCATCATGCTACTACCCAAGAGAGCGGAGCAGTAATATAACATATATAAAAATGAACCCCTATTTCCCTTGGTCAGTGAACAAAAAAAAAATGGTCGGCTGGACCGATTTGATTTTTTTTTGTTTTGTTTGTTAATGTCAGGAGAAGGTTCTTATGAAAGAAAAAAAGAATGAATAATTAACGAAAAAAATTTAAAATGTATATGGCTAACGCTGGCTAATAACTATTTATATCTATTTAAAGCGTACCTAGCGACGAACCCGAGCGAAGCGAGGGTGAGCCACTAGTATAATAAACTATCTATTCCATACTAACCGATAAAACGTACCCAAACGAAGAGACCTTGAGTCGCTAGTGTCAAATATTGACGTAAATCTAAGAAAGTATTGTTAATAATATTTTATTTATTGACATATATGTATGTATGTATTCACAGATCGGCGTCCAGTCGCCGGAGTGAAGGGAGAAGTTCGCCTCAACTTTCTGCGAGTCCTCCGGGTAAGTAATGTTTATATAATCGCGTATTATTAAAAAGCTGATTATGTAATAAGAAATCTAGTGCTTAAAAAAATATTATTTTATTTTTATTATCCATATTTTCTTCTCAAAAATTGTACAGTAACGACTTTATAAAAAACAATCTTATTCTTTAAAGAAAGTAAACTATATGTATGGCAAAATCGGGAATAGTAGTAGTATAAACTATAAAACTCGCTACTATTTTTGACTATGATTTTTTTTTGCGGGTCTATATTTTTTTGTAGTCCGAGTTTCTAGTTCATTGTTTTAATGTATATCTTAAGGCTTAGCCAGTGTTAGATATGTAAATTTCTAAGGACGACTCGATAGAACCAGTTGTTGTGTTTTCACATGGGAATGAAAGATTTTCTTGTAGTAAAAAGTATCCTAAACGTTGACCCGAGTAATAAGATAACACTAGTTAAGTAGTTTTTGTGTAAAAAGTACACAGATATACAAATAAACAGACAAACGGTTTCAATAATTATTGTTTTGGGATTCATATTCTGTATACAATATGTAAGTCATTGTTTTTAAAATTATTTCATGTACAGATTTCACATTGTTATTATTTTATTATATGTATATATTATATTATTTCGACAGGTCATACACCACATCGTGTGTCTTCACTAGGCGGCACCCCGGCGACGCCTGGCTCTCCTTTAGGTATGAAATAGAATAATTTATGTTTGTTTGTTGTTTTCTTTTGAAATATTTTTTTATACTATTACTCAGTTTTAATGAAATTTTCGTATATATTTTGATATAAATTTTCCCTGTCCCTTGTTACGTTTTATTTTTTTTGAGTGGAACCTTAATTCTATTGCTAAAATGAAAATAGCCTAAGTTACTTCCTTATAACATCAACTTGCTGCCAGTGAAAGTAGTCCCATCAAAATCAGTCCAGCCGTTTCGGAGATTAGACGAAATAAACAGACAAATAGACACAATTTAAAAAAAATGTGTTTTTCTCATAAATACCGTATATAATTTCATATGTTACTAACTACTAAAAAGTTTTTATTCCGACATTACAAACAGACACTTCAATTTTATTTATCTGTATAGATAGATGTATGTAGTCTACATACTTGTTATTATTACTTGTTATTATATTTATATTATACATGTTATTTTAAATTTCCAGCGTCGCCGTCAATACGTGAGCATCATCATCAAAGGGCCAATTCCACTGGGCCGACCATAAGTTTAAATATCAGTAAGTATATATTTTTTAGGTTTCTGTAAAACGTAATTGATTTTTTTTAATAAAACAATCTTTTCGGATTTTTTCGCGGATTTATTTCGATTTTTGGTTCCCGACGTTTCGAATATCTTACAGCAATCATGGTCACGTTCTGTAAAAACTGACTTAATGTTAGTAAATAACACTGTTTGAATGAACTGACTGTTTTTAAATTAAATTGATAATTCTAAAGTGCTCATTTCATTTCATTGTAAAGAGAGAGGCGCTATATATTTTTTTTAATTATAATTAAATTCATTAATATTTAGCGTATTCTATATAACTTTAGTAACTTACCTTAGTTCTTAGCTCGTGTACGTCCGTAGGTACGTTTTTAAAATATATTATTAAAAAAAATAGTTATCGTCATTGTAATTTAGGAAGTTGGTTGCCTATAAAAACTTTCAACCCCTATTTCACTTCCTTCAAGTTTTATTTTCCTCTCCTTCTCCAAGGTCCCATCTATCTCTATACCAAAATACATCAAAATTGGTTCAGCGTGAAAACGTAACACCATAAACACTGCAATGGCGAAGGGTCCATACAAGACGTCTTACCTTAAAATGTATTTTGCTATAATGTTACATATATTTAATTTTTTAAATGTGTAAATGTCTTTTGGAAATATATATATATATATATATATATATATATATATATATATATGTGTGTATGTATATAATAGCTTTATTTATTTCTGCATTAATACGTATATAAAAATTGTATATTTTTGGGGAACGGCTACTCACTGCTAAAATTTCGCCACTGATAGACAGAGTTACTTTAGCATTTATAACATTATTTTGGTTATATCTTCCCAGGTGGCGAGCCAGGTGAAGCAGTTATAATAATAAACGAATCTCCCATGATGGCGTCCTCCGTGGCCGTCCGTCCGCACAGCCCCTCGCAATCGCACAGGGGTGAGATATATATTAACTACCAACTCTTTGTCCCTAGCGAAAGACAAAATAAATGTATCCCACGGGAACCGTACGTTTTTCCGGAATAAAAAGTAATATACCAAATTTTATCCAGATCCCGTCAGCCGTTCTGACGTGATAGAGTACAAACATCCATCCAAACTTTCGCATTTATAATATTATAGTTATTCGCACATGAAAATATTAGAGGTGCCAGAGCCGGGATTTGAACCCGCTTCACTCGGTTTCCCAAGCGAGCGCGTTACCACTGGGCTACCACTGCCTATTATATGTACATACTAGCTATATATTGTGGCTTTGTCTGTGTTCCATAGTATGTTTAGTCTTAATTAATTAGCATTATATGAGAAATCCAAAAAAATATTTGGTTTGAATATTAAAAAAAACTCTATATCAACGCCATCTATAGATAAGATCCATCATCTATATGACTCTATATTTATATATGATTATCATAATATCGGCAATAACAAAATTTAATATGCAAGGATTTATTATTTCTAAAATATTTACGTATTTTTAGAGTCGGTAACATTTTTATTTCTTGACACATGACATTTGACCTCCATTTTCCAATAAATTTCAGTGCGTGAGAGGTCATCTCTACCCGGACCTGGTTCGACGCAAACGCCCACACAGACTTCATTATTCCCCAACCTAGGTACCATCCCATGTAAGTAAAACTTTCTCTTTGAAACTGGATTCGAAACGATAATTATCATTGATAATTTAAAAAAAATGTGTTGATAATTTTTTTTTGATAAATATAATCGAAAATATTTAATTTGCAACTCTTCAAATTGCCAATCAGCAAACTGAACTCTCTCAATCAGCAAACTGAGTTAATGCAGGTGAGGAGGACGAGGATGATATTCCACTCATTAATTATAATTCAATAGTACCTATGTAGCTGGTTAAATTTATTCTGTTTTTGTTTCCAAGTTTGTGTATGTTATAACTATGAAAAAATAATAATAATAAAACATTACCTTGATTGTGAAAAGTGTATAATTTATTCTAAAATAAATTATGATAGGCAAGTAGTCAAATACCAATACCTACACAAGGATTGCTAAGCTTACATATATCTGTTTGATAATTATCAGATAATTATTTTGATAATTATCAATACACATATTTATTTTGATAATTTCATTCTCTGCTTTCAAATGATTTATTACATTGTTATAGTCTAAGATTTAAGTATTCGAGGTTGTTTTTTTTTTATTAGGAAAATAAATTCATTTAAAAAATAATAATAATAATGTCCTCCCGACCGATATCAGTTACTGAGACTTACTTAACAGAAAGACTCAATAGCTAAACTTAGCCCGAACCGGGACTCGAACCCAGGACCTCCGGATGTGCAGCCGTACATTCTAGCCATTACACCACCAAGGCAATCAAAAAAATGAAAATAAAATTTCACTTTAGTAGTGGAGTTTTTAAACAAAGTTTGTTAAACTCGTTCTTAGTAGTAAGCACGCTGTGTCATGTAATTTAACAGCGCTGGTCAATAATAAATCTTTAATACCGGGTTTCAATACCATACCTACCTGTGGTTTTTCTTACCAGCGATATTAATTTGACAAAATTTGTAAGGAGTGTATGCCAAATTAACTTAAAAGTTTACTTAGACAGGTAGCTGTATCTGTTTGAGTCTGAAATCTGTTTAAATAAACCTCTAACTGATTTAAATTCCCTGATATCTTTCAAATTCAAAATATTTTAATCAGCATTAAATACACTTTTCAAAGCCTACTGTCAATCGTTCTACACGTGCGGTCTGTGGGTCGATTTCACGCAGCGAGCATACAGCGCTGTACGTGTCCAATACAACAACGCGTTCAGGATGTTGTTCGGTTTGCCGCGCTTCTGTAGCGCGTCGTCAATGTTCGCCGAGGCGCGTACCGACTGCTTTCACGCGATCATAAGAAAAAGGTGCGCCTCGCTGTGGGCGCGAGTACGCGGGGCATCGAACACCATCCTGAGTGCCTTGGCCGACCGGTGGGACTCCCCGTTGTTTTGTCGCTGGGTACAGCTTCATGGTGTGCATGGCAGTAACGGGCTGCATGAGAACAACACCCACTGCAGCCCTGGAAGCCATACTAAGCCTTCTGCCGCTGCACTTGTTTATCCAACAAGAGGCTGCGACTACCGCAACAAGATTAGATAACCAGAAGTTGCTACGAAAAACAGGCACGCCACATACAAAAATTTTGATAGACGTAGCCAAAGACATCCCGCTCATGGGAGCACCGAATGACGGGATCCAAATCAAATACATTTTTGACAAAAAATACAAAATAGAGCTAGAGGTAGACAAAAACGAAGGTCGCGACAGCAAGGACCTTAGAATATACACTGATGGCTCAAAAACCAAATCAGGGACAGGTTGCGGGATCTTCTCTGATGATCTAAACATTCAAACTTCAATACCCCTAGGTACCTATAACACCGTGTTCCAAGCCGAATGTCTAGGTATCCTTGAGGCAGCTAGAACAATTGCGAATAAAGACGTCAAAAACTTCTCTATCCGCATACTATCAGACAGCATGTCAGTACTACAGGCATTAAATAGTAATTCTACCACTTCAGGTATAATCTATGAATGTCATAACGCTTTGACACAGGTAAGTGACCAAAACAAGGTCTCAGTACAATGGGTCAAAGGCCACAGCAACTCGTGGGGTAACGATAGGGCCGACGAGCTAGCAAGAAGAGGATCGGACCTGAATGCAATAGGTCCTGAGCCCATCGTGGCGCTACCTTCTTGCTGGCTCAAAGGTCAAATACGACAACGCACAAGACGACTACACGAAAATATATGGCGTGAAGTCGCAGACTGCAGGCAAGCAAAGGAATCGCTTCCTTTCATTAACACTAAAACGACTAACCGTCTGATTAATCTCAACAGATCTCAACTCAGACAGATAACCGCGGCTCTAACAGGCCACGGACCCTATAACAAACACCTATTTAATTTAGGTATAACTGACAGCCCACTCTGCAGAGCCTGCATGAGGGCAGATGAAACGGCTGCACATGTGATTTTACATTGTCCAGGTGTAGCGGCGTACCGGGCTCAACATCTTGGCACCCCTAGTACACTCCCGGAGGTCTTCGGTAGGACGAAGAGACTACTGAAGTTCCTGGAGGAACTGGGCTGGCAAGAATAAACATTTGGAAAATTTCCCACACACGCAAAATAGGCGCGCAGACGTCGAGTTGCGGAAACTGGCCCGTCTTATACCATACCATACCATACCATACAGCTTCATGCTCCCGTTGCTAACTATAATCTTTAGCACAGGAGTTTCCTCGGAAGCCAAAGAATTTATTTATTTATTTTTATTTGTTTAGTATGTATATTATATTATTACACATAAGTTCTACTAACATAGTTGTAAGTTTTTAAATGTAACTAACAAGTGGACTGAGTTATAATAAATAAATATTATTATTATTATAAATTATTATAATTTTTTACTGATCGTCATGAGTCTACTACCAGTTCGGAAAGAACCTTCAGACCTGAGAAAAACTGGCGAAACTCAGCGGGACTAATATTGTTTCGTTATCTTTTTTATACAGTTAAATTATAATTTACAATATTTCTATATCACTACATAGTATAAAACAAAGTCGCTTTCTCTGTCCCTATATCCCTATGTATGCTTAAATCTTTAAAACTACGCATCGGATTTTGATGCGGTTTTTTAATAGATAGAGTGATTCAAGAGGAAGGTTTTAGTATATAATTTGTTAAGTTTTTCTATAGATTGGCTAAAATATAACGACATTGGTTGGAGGTGTCGGAAAAAATAAGACATCTGGGAGCTTTCAACGAAAACGCTGCCTAAACCCTTTGAGATATAACAAAATAATGTATGGTGGAATTGTGTATCTTATATATGTCTACAGAAAAGTCCCCGATGGCATATGTCTATCTCTTAAGGATAACATACTATATCCATTTTAATTTAAAACGTACCTATCTATATATCTAAGTAAATGTCTAACTATACCATACCTGTCGCGCAGCGGGCGCGGGCGCGGGCGCGGCGGGCGGCGCGGCGGCGCCGTGGCGGGCGCGCCTCGCCACCATCAAGAACAGCTTCCTGGGCTCGCCGAGGTTCCATAGGAGGAAAATGCAGAGTTAGTCATTTGTTTTCCTTTTTATATGTTTTTATATATATATACTAACACTCAGATATATACTAACACTCAGAGTGCCGATAGATGTCGAAACCAGATAAATGTAAACAGTTTTAATTTACACATTTTAATTTGAAGTCAAATAATTAATTTGAATTTGAATATCCAAAAATAACAACTGTTTGTTTATAGTTTTAAGTTTTCACTTCTGTCGGCAGTCCTCGTGACTGCTTTTTTTAATTATATTATCTTTTTCATTTGTATACTGTAATTATATTTGCAATGTATATTTGGTCAAAGGCGTATTTTAATTACTTTTTAGCTTCACTTGGGTGCTTCAATATATCCTATAATATATAAGTTCAGTTAAGTTCAATTCTCTTGTTAATGGCTTCAAAGGGAGTCAGTTGAGCACAGATTACTTCGGCAATGTCACGTAGAATGGCCATATTTAATAACAATTAAGTATAATAAATTGAAAAAAAAAATACTTGTTAACCACTTGTAATTTTTCATTTTTTATAATGAGTACGTTGCTAATATAAATAAATAATATGTTGTGACATTAACACACAGCACCATCTATTTCCATGGTAAGCTACGAGGCTTGTGTTATGGATACCGGATAGTTGATACACTACACATATATAACTTTATATACATACATATTATAAATAAAAACACCCATGACTGGAGTACAAACATTCGTGCTCATCACACAAATGAATGCCCCCAGCGGGAATCGAACCCGCGACCGCTGGCACAGCAAGTAGGGTCACTACAAGCTGTACACTTGTAACAATATTCTATACACTTGACATTTTCTCCTTCCAGCATCATCAGAAGAAGTTCATCTCACACCGGAATCCTCTCCAGAACTCACGAAACGATCCTGGTTCGGTTCTCTGCTTCTCTCCGCGGATAAAGAGGAGACTTTCACCGCTTTGGTGAAGGGGAAACCCCTAGCTACTGTTAAAGCGGACTTGATACATGCTTTTTTGAGTGTAAGCTTTTTCGATTCCCTTCTGTAAAATGTTTTGTTTCTCTCTCACACACGGCAATTTACAATTAACTGTTCTTGTCTGTTAATTGTCATGCGCTGACAACTGTCTTGGGATGTATAAAGAAATAAATATATTCGGACGTGGCATTTTTAATTATTATTTTTTGTGTAATGGCGCTACACACGCTACCGTATTATTAATTCAACTGTTTCGAAGCCAATGACTTCTTCGATCAACAATATTACTAGATAACGTGTCACATACAAAGTCAAAGCTAAATTCTGTCCGCACGAATAAGTACTTATACAGCTACAATTTGTATACTAACGAACCAAGACCAAAGTCTTATAATAGTTTTATTTTTAAGCTAATCAACACCGTAGCACCTTGTTATAGAGTCACAAATCTTAGAATTATCATCATACACTTACGATCATTTCGTAAGTTTTATAATCTTTATTGTAAAATCAACTTTATATTAAAGAACATAAAGCAATTTTTACGGTGTTGCTTTGTGAGCTAAATCGTTATGTTTTGTTTCTATTTGCTTCTTTGAATTGGCGGGTATATTGGCCGACCTGGGCCAACGTTCTTAGCGGATTGAAAATTGTTCAAAATTTCATTTTTATATTATTTCGTAGGTTAAATCTTAAAATATTGACTTATATATACATGTATTTTCCGAAAATAAGACACTACGTCCGAATTTTTTTTCTTCGCGCATTATTTTTGCTACTTTTAAATAAGCATTGCAGCTTTGTGAACGTGTTTACGGTTGCAGTGTTTCAATAAAACTAATAGAAATATACGCTCACTTTTCAAATGAGCTTATATTTACCGAGACGGACTTCTTACGCCGACCCGATATCCAGTAGTATTGTTGATCAAAGATTGACTTGATTAATGTGATTTTCCCCCATAAAACAGATAGCAGAGTTATCCCACAGCGTGCTGAGCCCGATGTCGTTCCGCGTGGAGTACAAGCGCGGCTCCAACGCGCCCGCCATGTTCCAGAGACACGTGCGCTTCCAGGTGAGCGGGCTTGTTTTGTTTGTTTGTTTGTTAAATTTTAAAGGAGAAGGTACTTAAAACGGCTGTTTTTTTTTGTTATCTGCATATTTATAGAATAACCTTTCAATAGACATCAGGCGTGACAAAAGTTTAGATAATTTTAAGCTACCGTTAAAATCATATTATTTGTCTCTATAGTGTCTTTATATATTGAACTTTTTATACTTTTTTATCTGTTCTACATTTATGTATGTATGCATTGTATTTATGTATATATGTATGTATTTATGTATGTATGTATTTAGGATTCATATAATTTTTCCTACGCCCTCAGGTTGTCTGGAAGAGATCGCTTAAAACGATAACGATATCTTCTTTTTATATATTCCTTTGTGGTGTACAATAATGTATCTATCTTTTTTTAGAAGTCATTTGTGAATAGATTTTTTTTAATTGAAGATTCTTATCGCACGTAAACGTTTATACTCGGCATGTACAACAAGTGGATGCCGGGTTTTTTGAGTGAAAAGCGAGTCAGCTCTCCTGTTAACAGTAGAAACTTTAAAATTTCAGAATAAGAAATTATAATAGTTTAATATTCGATAGGAATACTTGAAATAATATTTGAAAATATTTTTGTTAAAGGTGGACATATCGACAATAACTAAAGCCCCGGGCGAGAATGGCAAGGAATATTTGTATGCCATCACGTTCACTTTGCTATCGGGTAAGTATTCTGTATGTGTGATCTCATTGTATGTGTGTATGTCAGCCTTTTTTAACGTCCCACTGCTGGGCGTGGGCCTCCCTTCAATACGAGGGGGGTCAGGCCATAGTCCACCACGCTGGCCAAGTGCGGTCGGACTGAGCATGTCTCTTGAAAATTTGCTAGGTTCTCTCAGACATGCAGGTTTTCTCACGATGTTTTCCTTCACCGTAAGACAAGCGGTAATCATGTTGGGAATGATTCGCTGTCTATTAGAAACACAAAAACAATAGTTAAAAAAAAATGGAACTAGAAACCGTTAGAATAATATTTAGAGCGATAGAGAGGTGAATGTGAAAATAAATAAAATATTTATTGATATATCAAAAGTAGAAAGTGTTATAACACTTTCTTAGATTTATGCGAATACTCAAAGGCATTGTATATGTAGTCTAAAACTTTATTATCTCCCGTGACTATGATGTTGTAAAGTGTTCAAAACGTCAGGAACTAAAAATCAAAATAAATCCATGAAAAAAAACTACTACAACTAAGTTTGATTCCTCATACAAATTTTCATCTCCATTTTCACCCCCTTAAGGGATGATCTCCAGGATAAAGAGTATCCTATGTCGGTTCAGTAGATCCAGAGATTACCCTCTACAACGTTACAAACTCACACATTTTTACTTCTTTATATATAGATGTAAAATATTAAAGAGACAGTATTAAATAGAAATGTACGTAGGTATAAGTATCGTGTACCCCTGTATGTGTGTGTGTGCGCGCAGGCAACATCCGGCGGTTCCGGCGCGTGTGCGAGGTGGTGCAGGCGGCCGTGTGCCGCGCGCCCGGCGCCGCGCGCGCGCACCTGCCGCCCGAGCCGCGCGCGCAGCGCCGCGCCATCGCCATCGGTGAGTACTGACACACTATACACACACTTTTTTTTAATTTAATGTGTAAGTTAGAAAGAATAACACAATATTTGGCCGTGCGAAACCTTAATGCACGAATCCAACTCGTACTTGACCGATAATTATATTCCACAACTAGCAGAGCCCGGTGCTTCGCTCGAGCTAGAACTACAAATAAAATTTCTAAAAAGATAGGTTTCATACAAACTTTCATCTCCTATTTTATACCCTCTTAGGGGTTGAATTTTGTAAAACGCTAAATTACGTAACTCATTATTTTTGCCGTACTCTATTTATACGAAATTTCATGCAAATATACCCAAGAAATAAAAAGTTTCATACATAATTTTATCCCCTATTTCACCCCCTTGGGGGTTGAATTTTGAAAAATCCTTCCTTAGTGGATGCCTTCGTCATATGAGGAATACATGTGCGAAATTTGTGCCTATACATTAATACATCAGTCAATCAGTTTTGTCTTTCAAAAAAATTTATAATTATTTTTCGTTTGAAAATCATTTCAATCATCATATTTATTAGGTACTGTATGAAGCTGAAGAGTGTTTCTTTTTTGTGTAATAATATTATCCTATATTTTTTTTGTCATGGCGGTCAATCTGAGAGAGACTAACATTTGTGAAAGATATAAAGCAGTAATATGTGAGATAAAGCGCACACTAGCATTCTCTGTCCCTCTCACACACCGTACATCAAAACTCGCTCCGTCTAGTTGTCCGCCTGAAGGACAACTTTCCAACTCCGAGCAGCTGTTAGAATTTCTCACCAGAAATACAACGAGAAACTCGACCCGGGAATCAAAGCTAGGACCTCCAGATCTTCAAACGCAGATGCTAAGCCAATAAGCATTTATTGTCCCGAATATTTCGGAGTCGCACCAAACAATAATACTATTTTTTAGAAATTTTTCTAATCTATTTTCCATTTCCATATATATTTTAGCTGCATCCGAAGTCCCGGACAGTCCTGAAACCCCCCACCAGCACTCGGACCAGGACAGCGACTCGTCCGTGTTCGACACCGTCAAGAGTCCCACCAGCCATACTTCCATCGATCAGTTGGATCAGGTATTTGGTTGTTATCTTATACATATATACATACATACATACATACGTACATACATACCTATAAACACACACATACACAAAAACACACACACACACACACACGCTAACATGCAGATCCACATACACACATACACGTGTTAATACATACAATTATCGGGATGGGTCTTAATGGAAATCTTAATGTATTTTTTAATTTTAAAACTATCACATTCCTATGGTACTAAATATTTCATAACTGACAAACTTAGTAACTGTTTTGACCCGACCCGAGACTCGAACTCATTATCTCTCGATCTGACATACATGTTAGTCACTAAACTAACGACACGGTTACACACATACATGTGTACATATGGGGTATTTCACGCCAAATCGGACGGTTTCAAAAAAAAATATTTTTGACTTTCTTAATATTTTGGTATTTTTTAGTACCCCTCAAAAGAGGCTTCCTGGTAAATTTTGAGTTTTTATGATCACTAGTTCAAAACCGCTCTTTTTTTTGGGTTTTTGCTCATAACTTGCTTAATAATAGTCGAAATTCAACTTTTTTTTCATCGCACTTCCACCATTGTTAAGAAAGTTATGAGCAATAAAACAAAGAAAGAGCGTTTTTTTTTTAAATTCGATATTTTCGAACCAGTGATCAAAAATATCTCACCGATTTGGCGTGGAATCCCCCATACACTTTGTAATAAGTAAGAATATTTTATGGAGTAAAACGTTTTGCTTATATTTAAAACTTGGTGCTGGGTATTCTTTAAGTTGACATCATTTTTTTTCATTTATGAACCGATTGAAATAAAACAAATATTAAATGTTAAGTGAAGCTTTTCTTAGTTTCTGAGATTAGCGCGCACAGACAAACAGACAAAAATTCAAAAATAATTATTGTGGGTTCTACTGCGTTAATAAAGACTCCTAATAATAGTTTTTCTCCAATATCTTCCATATACAGACAGCCATCAGTTACACTTTTATTATATTATGTATAGATAGATAAATTTTCGAATTCAACATTAAAAGCAAATATAAAAATACTTTTTCTTCCTTCAAACGTAATAATTGCTTTAAATATTCACAATTAATGTTTATTTAGAACAATGGTTATTATTTCAGAATGGCACCCATGCGTTAGGCTCTAGTTCATCAGTCACGAGCGGCTCCAGCGGATATAAAGTAAGTATATATGTTTGTATAACATACATACATACATACATACAGGAATCGACTGAGTATTGCCACAGTATAAAAACCATTGGAAAATCCTAAGTCCGCCTCTGATCATAATGAAATCAATCAAACAAAATATACTACATTCAAATAATTGATATATAAAAATATAGATACATATTTGCTAACAAATATCTCTTTAAAAATTAGCGTCGACATGTGACGTTAAGTCAGACTAAAGAATAAAATTCAACTAAAGAAAGTTTTAATTGTCTAAACACAAATTCGACCTTACGCACACCACATAAAGTACTTTTTCAAACGAAACAACGTGCATTTTAATTTTGTCATCCGAAAAGCAATGAACAAAAGAGATTTTGAGAAAATTGCAATATTTCGAATTGTGCGCTTCTTTTTTAAGACACTTTTGAGACGCTAATTGTATATCTTATGTTTGTATATCAATGATTCAAATAGATTTTGTAAGTACTTTTAAATCGTCACTTTTTACATTTTAAATTTAAATTATGTATGCAAGTCCGTGATGAATCTACCATAGGTTGGGAAGGTAGTTGCAGGAAACACCGTCAATCCGTCATAGGGTTGCCAAAAAAAATATTTCATAGCGAACGCCATAGGAGCAACCCTAAAACGGTCGCTACTGATTAAAAAAAAAAACCTATGTCAGTCGGTGTCGTGCAACACCCGTCTCACCTCACTCACCTCCGTACTATGCTCTGTTCAATAATTACAATTCAATTACACCTTCGTTCAATTCAATTCTCTTGTTAATTGCTTCAAAACGTGTCATTTGAGCACAGATTACTTTGCCAATGTCGCGTATACGCCTTCGTTAAACGACTGGATGTGTCAGTAAACTATAGTATTAGAAAAAATCATGAAATTGGCCACATGCGAGAAAGAGACAGAGCGAGTGTACAGCTATCGTGTGTCTCTTTCCTGCTTATTAATCATCCAAGGATAATATAAATGGGCCTTTAGAAAAAGACATTTTTTTCTACCAAATTATTAACGGTGAGTTGGTTTGCAATTCTCAGTCCATTCCTGGTTTAAAAATATATATAAATATCGTATAATATATCTATCTCTTTCCATCTTTAATGGGATAGAAAGAGAGTTTATCTTTTATATCCTATAAATTATAGATAGGATGAAAAAGGATTACATTTTTCATACATTTCAATTAGTTCGATGAAATAGTTGCAGTGTATTTTATATTTGTAGTTGGTTCGATTACCGGCTCAGGTGAGATATTAAAAAAACCAATTAAACCGATTCTGAAACTTTTTTCACTAATAGAAAACTACGTTACCGCCGAGTTCTATAGGCTTTTTTATTCCGATCAAAATGTATTTATTGTTAGAAACCAATATAATTTTAATATGGTCGAGTTACTTTATCGCCTATTCGTCTTCTCAGTGCTAATTTGTCCAAACGACCAATCTATCAAGAGTTTTTAATACAAAATTATTGACATTTAAACGTCAACTCTAATGGTTTAAAATCATAGATTGAACAATACTGTCATGAAATTGACCGTTCTCTAAAAAGAGAGAAAGGGAATGTGCGGCCAATACCTGTGTTATATTCCAATTTGAATTTATAAATGGGATGTGTAAAAATTATAATATTATTGAAAATTATAATATTATAATGGAATATAAAATGATTATAACTATCTATGTTCATTAAACGTATTTCAATTAATACAGAAGACTTCTGGCCGCACGTTCGTTTTGTCTCTGTCGCACCTTTCCGCCATTTTTAGCTGACGGCTGGCAAACAAACGGTCCACTCTCTATGTCTATGACACACGCTACTTTAATAAAGTCGAAAAGATATATTTTATCTATATATGTATATAAATCTTAGAAATAAAACTTTGTTTTTAAATAAAGAAAAAAAAACTCTACTGTAAAGTACAACAAGTATTGGTCGTTTGAACAAATAAGCACTAAGGTGACGTATTTTACGCACCGAAATAATACCTAAATAATAAATAATAATAACGGACCCACCCAAGCGAAGCCCGGGTAAGTCGTTAGTCTTCAATATTTAAGATAACTTCTTCCACGTTTCGTTCGTTCCACCCTGTGTATGTGAGTATATTATATTATTGTACAAAGTGTAAGACATAACACGGTATATAATATACAACCAGTCGTCGGATTGCAGCAAGGCGTGCGCGGGCGTCGCGCGGCCGAGCCCGCCTCCGCCTCCCTCGACCACGAGATCATGAGCTGTGGACGCGACCTGCCCGGTGAGTGCACACACACAGAGTGAGAGACAGACAGACATATACCGACACAAACACACGTACAAACACACGTACCCAAGTAAACTTACGAAACATAAAGAGAGAGTCATATACAGTCACTAACACAAGTTACCACATAAATATAGGAAAGATAAAAAGATAGACATATACCGAAACAAACACAAGTACCCACATAAACACAAAAAAGAGAGAGATGGAGGAAGCCATACTCACATGTGCACACGCACGGCACTATACGCAAACAGAGAGAGCAACAGATATCCTATCAGTGTTACTATTATTATTATTTTTTCTTATGGATTAATTAATAAAAGTATTAAAATGTTGCATTTTAATTTAGAAAAAAATGTCAATATAATAAAAAATCATTTTTTTAAATAATTCTTATTTTATATTTAAAAAGTCTTGTTTAAATATAAGTATGCATTTATTTTATTAGACAATATCAAAATTAGAGACGGGATATTTTCTACGTTTTTTACAGTATGGATAAAATATCAGGAATTAAAAAAAACATAGTAAATATCCCAAAAATTATCAACTTGAAGACTAACTACAATTCCAATTTCCTCAAAAGGTACACACACAAAGCGTTCGTCATCAGAATGTAGGGAGACCACGTCGTCGCCGCGGCGTGGGCTCGAGTCCCGGGATAGCTCCATCAAGGACGAACTCAGGCGGAACAACTCGCTACGGGATAGCCGCCGGGATTACCGCGATTACCCCCGGGATAGCCCCCGGGATCCCCCCACTTCCATCGCGTGATTCGCGTTTAGGAGAAAAGCGTCTTTGTGTTGAAGGTTGTACGGTGCTCAATCGTTTGTGCAATTTACTTTGAGAGTGAACTAATAATACAGTCTAGTAGAGAACTAATAAATATACCCCCCAATATTATGGTTTTATGTAGATCCCTGTCCTGAATGAATGGAGTCGTGTTTTCAATTTTTTTTCAATAAAAAAATAAAAACCAAGTTTTAAATGCGACTCAATTCATTTTTTTTTTCAATAAAATAGTCACTTGTCCTTTAAAAAAATAATAAAATAACCATAAATTCTAGAATCACAATGTTTCTGTAGAGCATAGACTAAAATATAAAATTAGATTCTTAAAAATAATTTAATCACATACATACATATATGTGTATACCTCAGACTTTCCTAAACTGCCACTGTTCGTCCTACTCCATAAGAAACTCCATCCTTAAAGTATTTTTTCATAATTAAATATGTACATTTGATTTCAAAAAGCGTATTTTTAAACGTTATTATTGACGTATTTAAATAAAAAAAAAAAAAACAAAAAAAACTTTCGGAAAACAATTTAAACATCATCTCAAAATAAAAAATAATGATACAACCAATCAAATTTCACACTTTTTGGTATGAAATTGAAGCTGTTAATCAAAAAGTGTAATTGAAGTGTAAGTGTTGGATGACACTTGAAAATAACGTTTAAAAATACGCATAATACACCGCACCTTTGACACAAAACGACGTCTTTAGCAAAAAAAAATTATATAATAGCTGTATTTAGTAAGCTTATCTGTTTGGGAACGTTAATGAAACCGGCCATATATTTTAAAGTAACACTAAAAATCCAAGTACTGATTTACGCTATTTTAGTTAGGACCTCGAAATATTGTATTTTTGCATTTTATCATTGGATATAAAATACCCGCGTCCGACTGCCGTTAAGATAGCTAAAGTAAGATATTGCATTCGACTAATGTGACGTACAGACGCGTTGATAAATATATATAATATATATATATACATATATTATCAAACATCATTATAGTGGTTCGATTTTGAATTTCCTTCCCATATCATAGAATTGGAAACTCGACGCCATTAACAAATAAATTTCAAAATAACGTCTCTAAAAAACACTTATTTTATATGTTTTGGTCCTTAAAGCCCGATTAATTTTCAATTACCTGCAAAATTACGTTTTTAATGGCTTTGAAATTGATAGTTTCAATTGAGTTGGCATATAAGTGATGTCGCAGGTTGCTATAGCCATACACAAAGTATGAAGTAAGGAGGAGTCTTATATGGGAGACACGTTGAAAAAGTGTCCGCCTATATGCTGAAAATAGACGGCGCTGGTGTACGAAAAATTATGATATTTTAGCTGTTGTAAACGGAGTGTCCAATTCGGTCCTTGTTTATTTCTCTATCTTACTCTAATTACTTTTGGCGTATCCTTTAAAATTTATCTAAATTTGGGGCACTCGGGGCTAGTGCCCAGGGTGGTAAATTTTTAGGGGGTGCAAAATTCAGAGGGTGAAAAACAAAATTATCTTAATGTTATCGAAAATTCTTTTTGTATTTTCCAAAAAATGAATAATTAAAAAAAATACAAGTACATTTTTTGAACATTTTAAAAACATTTATAAATCTTTTTTTTTTGCATTTTTCAAAAAACTTATATCGAACAATACGAGAGGGATCAGGCTGGCCAAGTGCGAGCGGACTTCACATGTCTTTCGACAACATGCTAGGTTCTCTCAGACATGCAGATTTTCTCACGATGTTTTCTTTCACCGTAAGGCAAGTGGTAATCATGTTAGAAATGATTAGCACATGAAAATATCAGAGGTGCGAGACCCGGGATTTGAACCCGCTTCACTCGGTTTCCCAAACGAGCGAGTTACCACTGGGCTACCACTGAATGTTTGACGTTAGAAGTATGTCAATTGATTGGTGGTGTCAAGAGTTCTATGGCGTCACAGACACATATATGGGGAGGCTATTCAAAATATAGCTGAAAATTAATATTTTCCTGCATAATATTAGTAATATTTAACATTGCGAGTATTGGCTGTACACTAACATTTTTGTATATAACAAAGTGCGAGTTATTCCCGTCAAGTGTTATTCTAAAGAGCCAATTATAGATGAATTTGTCCAAAACTCACATAGTTTTTCCAATTTACACGCTGTTGTCGACTTTCGCTGAAAAAAATCAATTATGCCGACGTATATCATAGATAATACATGTAAAATAGTAGTATGGGTCTGTCTGTTGAATAATTGCTAAACCGATTTGCATGGAACTTCACGAGTGTTGTGCGATAATCCACGGGTAAAAGCTAGTATATAATAAATGTAAAAAGCAGCCACAAGCTATTATGTACCTTATTACGCTGTCGCAAGAGCTAAATTTGGTTAGCATCGTGTTAGGTTGTTGATTAAGTGTTTAAAACAAAGTGTGATGTAAATTAAAAAAAAATGTTTCACGTCTCCAATCTGATATTTTTGACTGAAATTTCTAGTTTGTGATTAATAATAATAATTTCCAAAATGCAAGAGGATATATTATTATGTATATATTAAAAATATCGCGAGTAATGTCTGTTGGTTAAAATTGAACATTACACTTTGCTTTAAATGCACAAATATACCCATGTACATATATATAGAGAAATGTATGTAATTAGTGAATAGTGTGAATGATTGAACGCACATTATGTTGACAGATGGTTGTTTAGTAAGTTTCCATTAAAGAAAAATTATTTCTAATCGTCTCTTAGACTATATGTGTCAAAACACATACAAAGTTATTGTATGGATATAGTGTAAGAGACGATGTTATTTTTTTACACGGCCACATTACATTAGATAGATGATTTTGTATAATTGGAGTGCTATTATCATTAAATTGTTTATTTCGTAGTTTTAAGGTTAAGCATTTGTTGAATCAAAATGTGTATCCGCAAAGTGTTGAAAAGTGTTTTTTTTGTTCTGTTTTTAATTATAGTTTTTGTATTGGTCATACAAACTTAACGTACTTGGCTTATATTAGATTTCAAAGTCAACGTTGAACCAAATATCATAAGTGCAATATAGAAAAAAAAATTGTAAAAATATTATGTTGTTAAATTACTTATAATTTTGTTAATTTATACTTTTAACCGACTTTAAAAATGAAGATATACTCAATGCAAGTTTTATGTTTTTGTGTGTATGTATGTTGGTGACCAATTTTATAGATCCGTTCATTTTGTTTGTAAAAGTGTTTAATTTTAAGTAACACTTTGTGGTATTATGTACCAAAATTGATTTCAGTTGAAAGTATATTTCGTGACCGTTCCTTTTTAGAAGCAATACTGTTACATAATTACTTGATCGCATCATATCATATCAAAATATATAATAAAATGCTTGAAAAATTAATATAAAATATGAATGAATGGGTGGGATTAAATTGTTTTTGCATAGATAATTAATATTTTAGGAAGGTTTTTTTGGTTTTAGATTTTAATGTGATTTATGAAACCAGTATTTAGTTTTAATATATGTATATAAAAATTGTAATGTTTTTTTCCTATATATGTATATTTTTAGACGTTGTAAATATTTATTTTGGTCATAGATTTGTTTTATTTTACAATTTAGAGAGAACACTTATAGTATATTTTTTTTTCAATTTTACACTTTGCTTACTAATATAAATAAATAATACTTGGTGATTTTTTTAATGTACTACTTGACACTAAATGATTAAAAAAAGTCACATTGAAATCTAAAACGTTAAAGATAATTTTGCAAAAAAACCCGTATACATATAATTTGTAAAGAATGCCTTTTATGGGGTGTTGAACTATGGATGATATATTTTAAAGTGAAAAGTGTAATTTTGTACTCAGTAATTGTTAAGAAGTGTTCCCACTTGCCTCTCGACTGGTGTTTTCATTGTTGTGTCTGAAAAGTGTAAGTGTTTTTTTGTATGGGTCAACACTTTAAAGTGACTCCCAAAAATTTGAGAATATGTGCTTAAAATATTTTTTTTTGACAAATTTGTACTGTTTTTAATTGTTAGGGATCGTGGGATTTAAGTTAGGTGTTTAGTTTTTTTTGGTATTATATATACTTTTTTGATTTTCTTTTAGCAATATTACGTGTTGTATGTAATTGAAGTGTATAATAATTTTGAGATCAATATAATCAGACGTTTGTTATTAAAAGTATTGAACACATATTACAATGAAAAATATTTTATTTGATGAATTATTATTAAATTTGTAATTTTTTTTACAAAAACTTGTAAAATGTTATTAATTGAATTTGATGGCACTAAATTATTTTTGCGAACTTCAAATGGAACTGAAATAAAATCTGCCTAGATGTTAATTAAAAATATACCTAATAGTTTATATCTAATATATAAAATTATCCTGTCACAATGTTTGTTAACAAAACTCCTCCGAAACGACTTGACCGATTATTATGAAATTTTGTATGTATATTCAGTAGGTCTGAGAATAGGACGTAAACTATTTTTCATACCCCTAAGTCATAAGGGTGGTCCACCCTGGGGATGAACCCGAGCGGAGCGAGAGTGAGTCGCTCATATATTTATAAATTAAAAATGATATGTTGTTTTTTCTTAAAACGCATCACTTGAGAACGGCTGGATCGATTTTATTAGAAAAAGCCAGCAAAGTTTAATTACATTATTTTTTAGAATTTGTATATGAAAACCAATACCTCATAAAATATATAATTTATGATTAATTATTTATTTATTTTTTATTTGAAGTGTTCTATAAATTACACTTACACTTTACCAAAATACAGTATAATAATGCAAGCACCAGTTACACTTCAGTAAATATTTTTGACGTGTTTGTGAAATTATTTGTACTATACGCTACCAGGTCTGCGGGTATATATATGAAACTATATATAAAATATCTGTATGTACGTGTTTTTGTTCGCCAGACCAGCTGTACATTGTATGACTACGCTACGCTATCTATATTTAATGCTTAAGAGATCATTGGTTAATATTAAAAAAATAATAAATTGAAAATATTATTGTGTTTTCTTTTGTTTCCTCCATTATATTCAAATTTCGCCTTAACTCTCACCGGTCATGTCGAGTGGTCGTCCCACCGGTGTGTGAGAGTGACAGGAATAGAGAGTGCACGTTGTGTCTGCGCGTACACTTGTGCACTATAATATCTCCTGCGCAGTTGGATAGTCTTAGGGAGATTGACTGCCGTGGTCGGAATCGGTCGAGAACATCATCTTTATTATTATTTATAAGTCATATATTTAGATTTTCAAGTCATATATTTAGATCACAGGTGAAACTATAAAATTGTTATTATATTTTTATAATTTATATTTAAAAAGCCATTATATCAATTTTATGCACTTTCGTTTCTTAATTAATGTTTATTTCACATAAATATCAAAATCAAGTTAATATGTTAATTTTAAATAAATATCGATCAGAATCAATAAATACAACGCCATCTATTGACATTTTTTTAAGTAATATATCTCATTAGAACTAATGGCTATAAATATGACATTATATGAACATTTTGTACAGGCTTGTATTATAATATAAAAGAAAAAAAATGACGACATGAAATATGTTGAAAATCCAAAACTTACCTATATTAAAAAAAGATATCAAACAACTAAATAAAACATCATAATATATTGTGATTCTTTATTCAAAGAAAATATTCGAAAACAATCTGTTTGTACTCATTTATAAAAATCAGCCTTAAAACTAACGACTAACAAATTTTTAAGAAAAAAGAAAAAAATAATGAAATAACGTGATAACTAGCATTTTAAATGATTTGAAATATGTATATCTTAGGTAAGATTTATTTTTAAATTTTAAAGATAATAATTGCATTTTAAGTCTATATAATATATTTAAGTTACAATTTTTTTTGTTCTGTTCTGTTTTAATTACAATTTATATATATATATATATATATATATATATATATATATATATATATATATATTATTCATGTTCAGAATTCGCCCGGAAAGGTCTAAGATACTCTACTTGAAAACATAACTACGCTTTGGAGGGGGAAGAGGGGGGGGGGGATGTTTGAGGGTTCTTAGAACTTGATAAACCTACAATATATTTGCATCAGACTCGAAAAAAAAATTGTTTTATTTTTTTTGAGCCACCCTAATACATGTGTTGCATATATACTGTCATTATTAATATTGTAACATTTATCGTGTAATAAGATTTAAAATAAATAAGTTTTCAATACTCTTATTTTTTACTTTTTCTATTGTGCATGCTGTGATTGTTTATATTAGAAAAGCATATAATCAATGTACTATAGCATGATTTGAATCGTCTTGTTTTTTGTTTTTTGCTGTCGGTCCTAAATAAATATAAAAAAATTGGATAGTTCTAATTTGAAGCAATAAGTAATCTTATAAAAAAAGTTATTTTCTTGGGATGGAATGAGTGGTAAAAAAAAATTGGAAAAAAGTTCCATTTTCCATTATAGCATTTTTAGTTATGACACTTTAATGCTGCCCGCCTTAAAACAGGATAGCACGAAAAATGGGTGTAATTTATAAAGTAAATATAATCTTTAATATTAATTAAAACGATTATTCTTGTAACATTAAGCGTTGAGGCTTAATTTTAACAAATATGGCTTAGTATGGGAAATAATAAGGAACCAATATTAAAGAACTGAAAAAGACATCAAAATGCAATTATAACATTTAAAAAAATATATTAGATAGGTGAACATATTTTAATAAACCATGGTCATATTTGATTTTTTTTGAAACCATTTAAAACGATTTTGCGTTAGTCCAGCTTTCCGCTACACCTTGATATAAAAAAAATCATTGCAAGTATTTATACATTTATGTATATAAAAAAAAATATTTATGTCACAGAAAAGAATGATCGATATAAAAAAAAAACAACAAAAACATACTTCCTATAATAACATTAATAAACAAATCTAATTATAGTTTTACAATAAATTGTCTAACTTGTCAAAAAAAACCAACACTAAAAATTTTATTTAAAAAAAATAATCAATAAAAAAACGTCATATCTTCTATAATAATATAAAAACAAAAAATATATTTCTGTACTTAGAATATTATTTTAGATATAATTTTCATATAATAACAATAACGATGAAAAAAAAATTACTTACCAAAGTAAGTAGTAACACCATACATTTTTACTTAAAAATGGCATAAACCAAAAATGAAATTTAGCTTAACAGTAAAGTCACCGGTTCGATTCCCGGCAAGAGTGAAATTTTGTATGGACATATACATTCACAATATTTTAAATATATAAACTTTAACTAAACTTTAAAGTCAGTCACTCGATTTTCCAAAATACAAGTTCAGCCCAATACTACCTGTTTGAAGCTGTACCTATCAATAAAAAACGTATCAGTCGAAAATTATATATATAATAACAGATAAAAAAACAGTAAATTTTCATAAAACATAAACAAGCAATGCGAGAAGATAACGTAAGTTATTATATATATTTTATTACATAAAATTTTGGATATTGCAAAATTTTGAGTTGTGCCTCTTTTGAAGTGAAAGCCTTATAAAAATAATGTATGTATTTTTTTTTAATTTTCTCTAGAACATTAAATCAACGTTTACATAAAAATGGAAACAACAAAGAGTGTCATTAAAAATATAAAACATGTCTTTTTACTATTTTAATAAGAAAATAAGAAAAAAATATATATTTATTCGAATATATTAAAGTAACTAAGCAAATTATAACTAATTAACGACATGTCATCCGTGACGTCATCTTTATTTGTACTCAGTATTAATTTCAAACTGCAGTTTAGAATTTGCGCTTGTTCCAAACACTTTGTTACCGTTTGCCTGAAAATATATATATTCAATGAAAATACTAAAAAAAAATCATATACATCTGTTAGATAACTTGTGTGTGCTATATATATATATATATATATATATATATATATATATATATATATATATATATATATATATATATATATATATATTAAAAACAAACAAACATATCCACCGACCTGTATCTTGCTATACGTTTATCTTCAGTTACATCAAGACCAGCCTTTACTAGTAGCAACTTTAATTTAGTACTCTCCGCAGATTCCCTTTCAATTATACTGCAAAAAAAAAATATAAACTTAAAATGTATGTATTTAACAATAACGTCCCGAGTTTTATTTTTAAATTTCTAAAAGATAAAAATTTGAATTTTCGATTTTACAATAACGAAGTTTGAGTACCTGTGGTATAAAAAAATGTATGGTGACCAGAGTGGCCAGTAGCTTAAAAAGCATGCCTACTATATTATGTAGATTCTAAAAATTAGTGGTACCTAGTTTCTCTAATCTTATTTTTTTTAATAAAACGCTTCAAAAATAAGAAATTTTACTTCGGAAACCTATCCTATAGACACTCCTGTGTTTCTATGGGGTGGTTGGGGTGTAATAACAATTAAAACGAAAATTCCACAACGGTTATTTTAATTATAATAAATTCAAATTGTTTGTCCCCTTTTTTTTTAACATTGGGAAATGCAGTTACGCACGACGTGTGGGACTCACTGGCGTAGTACAGCCAGTACTACCCACTAAAACCCAACAAAACCTTCCCCCGTCTTAATGGGGCGTCGCAGGATCGCTTACGCATTCAACTACGACGCCCCGACGGCAGGTCTGCCGAAGCAGACCACCACAACCATGGGGTTGCTCCACAGTCCACTCTGCTATCAGAGAAGTACCAGGAGCAATCCTCAAGGTACACCGCCCCCCGAAGAGGGCCACCTCCCACCGCCCACCGAAGTGGGCCACCTCCCTGTGCGTTTCTTAGCTTCGCACCCGGTTGGATTGCCGGGCACTACTGAGCCCCCCCACCACGACAAGGTGATCGCACGTTGGGGGGGAAATTGTTTGCCCCCTACTCTAACGCAAGCTGTACATCTTCTTATGAACGAGCATTTTAATAGCCGCGAATACCTGTGCTCTCCAATTTCTCGAGCCACGTCTAAAACACGTTGACACAGTTTTTGTATTGTTGCGATTAGCTTTTTGTACTTTTTCTTTCAAGCAGCCTCAATAAAAAAAACATATTAATAAATTTGTAGCCATAGTACTCAATAATGTGAACGGAGGCATCAAATTTCATACTTTAAAAAAAAACGTATTTTTTCCAGACTGCTGCAAATATATTTTATTATTTTCCGAGTGATCAGGGTGCCCCCCACTAGTATCTGCGGAGTTATCCATTACTTACCGGACACCTATATAATGATGCCATAATACTTTCTTAGATTTACGCGCATATTTGACATTTTAAATAAAACCATCTTTACGGATTTTGTCGCGGATTTATAAATATATTTTATCATGGTCACGGGAGAGATTGCTTCGAAAAAATCCGATAACATTAGACTTATATTTAAAGCAATAATACCTTTTCAGCTTGTCAATTATCGCATTCATCTGTGTGTGCGTTTGTTCCGCTTTTTCATATAAACTCTTTTTGTCTGTCTCCTCCATTACTCCGCCGAGGAATTCATCGTGACATTTATGACTGCAAATAAAAAAAAATGCTTATTCTATCTAAAACTATAGAATTTTTGGGGCATAATGATGACGGTCGCCATTTTTTTTTAAACTTCCATCGCTTAATGAATCTGGTATATACGGATAGAAGACCACTTAACCTAATAAAAGTATAAGAAAAATTTGGGACTCACCATCGCTTCGTTCAGGTTCATGCCCAAGTATGTTTTAAAGGTTAGTATGAAATAGATATACTATATATTCTATGATATATACACAGTCTATACCCTCAATAAACGGGCTGTCTAATGCAAATGCAAAAAGTTAAAATTAATTTTAACTAATTAATTAACTAATTTTAACTTTTTAAATTACACATAGAACAATTATATGGCTTAAATAATTAATACTATATTTTATATTTTTCTTTATGGTTATAAATATAATAATGGCAACACTAAATATAGATTACTAATTAATATTTTTAAAATTGTAATAATTACAAAAAAAATAGCAAAATTAAATAAATAATATTTCATATTCAATTATAATTAAAATTATAAAAATGTTTTAAAGTTAAAAAATATTGTAATGTAATTGATGCAATTTTCATTTTGTTAATTGTGGGTAGGCTGTCTGTAACAACTATACCTTCAAGACATGTAACACCTCAGTCTCTCCCGTGACCATGGATGCTGTAAAGCATCAAAATAAATTCGCGAAAAAATCCGAAAAGATAGTTTTATTTAAAATGTCAAGTATTCGCGTAAATCTAAGAAAGTACTATTTAAAATACTTACATAAAAGTATAAATCAATTTAAATGAAGAACTTAGATCAATCAAAAAGTTTCGTATAAACGTACAAGTGTGTATACTTTCATTTTCGAACCCACTATCTGGTGTGTCATTATTATTTCTTTCATCAAATGAATAATCATCATTATTCTGATAATCATTTTCTTTACTACAATTATCATTGATCTTCAAATTATTATTATTATTTAAATTATCATTATCATTTTTATAATAATTATTATTATTTGACCTATCATTCTTGTCAGTTGCAGTTGAAATTATTTCAACTATTCCAGAATATTTTAGATCATCGAGATTCGATTGTTTATTAGTGATTCTCTTTTCAAACTCATCTATCGGTTTCACATTTCTTATCACTTTCGGGCCATCCTTGTTATTAGCATCGAAAGTATTTTCGTGTAGAACAGGTATATTTAGATCTGTCTGTCCGTTTTGTGGCTCTTTATTGTTGTCTTTATCACATATATTGTTGAACGTTATTTGTTTTTTGTTATCTATTTTATATCTGTTCAAATGTTTGCCAGACGTTCTTATTATATGTACATCGTCGTTATATCCAATATTCTAAAAAAAAATATGTTTTTAATAACATTTTTCTTAAAAAAGCGAAGATATTTTAATCCTACTAATATTATAAATGCGAAAGTTTGTGAGGAAGTGTGGATGTTTGTTACTCTTTCACGCAAAAACTACTGAATGGATTTTAATGAAACATTACAATAATATAGCTCATAAAGAAGAATAACACATAGGCTACTTTTTATCTCGGAAAAATGTACTTTTCCCGTGGGATAGGTTTGTGTTTGTATTTCTAGTAATAAATAGATTTTATTATGCTTAAATATTGATTTGAGCTTACTTTTATATCTTTATCAGGTTTTGTAATTTCATAATTTTTCCAGTTTGCGAAGTTTTTTTTCAAATATTCAATAATTTCAGACTCATCTTTAATATCTGAAACAATAAAATTAACGTTTTTTTGGGATTTTTCTTAGTAGAAAACAATTAGAGTGTATAACTACTGGCATGATACAAAAAAAATCTTAGAAACATCTATCTTAAGAAAAAACGTACCGAGACTTTATGTGGATTTATATATTTATATTTTTACACAGTCCACCACGCTGGCCAAGTGCGGGCGGACTGAGCATGACTTTCGAAAACTTGATAGGTTCTCTCAGACATGTAGGTTTCCTCACGATGTTTTTCTTCACCGAAAGACAAGTGGTAATCATGTTAGAAATGATTCGCACATGAGAACATCAGAATTGCGAGACCCGGGATTTGAACTCGCTTCACTCGGTTTCCCAAGCGAGCGCGTTACCACTGGGCTATCACTGCCTCAATTCCTAACAGATAATAATTTAAAAAATACAGTTTATTTAAGCATTTCCCATACTCACAGTTACTTCTAACAATTTGATCTTGACTCTTTCGTATCGGCGTTTGAATCAATTCGACATCTTCTGTGATGGGGTTTTCCATGTTTTCCATTAATTTTGTAAACATATATTCTATTTCTTTAACATCATACGGTATGGTGTTCTGTTTTGGAAAATATTAAATAATAATCTATACAGATAAATAAAATTGAAGTGTCTGTTTCTCAAATAAATATCAAATTAACGACTTTTTAATAAATATTAATTTTTAAAATCTTTGTCTGTTTGTTCCGGCTAATCTCCGAAACGGCTGGACCGATTTTGACGGAACTTTCACTGGCAAAAGTAGCCTATGTCACTCTCCAGCCTTCCAACTACCTCCACACAAAAAACCACGCATACCCGTCACTCCATTTCGACGTGAAAGAAGAACAAACAAACAAACACACTTTCACATTTATAATATTAGTATGGATGCAATATGTACCTTTAAAGAGTCCACCAAGAGCCAGCCACGCCATATTACACGCATCAAAACTGAAGGCTTTATATCCATCTTGATTTTATCTGAAAAACAAAATATGTAAAAACACACATCCGTACTAATATTATAAATGCAAAAGTAACTCTGTTTGTCTGTTACTCTATCACGTGTAATCCGCTGAACCGATTTAGATGAAATTTGCTATAGAGATAATTTGAGACCCTGAGAAGGACATAGGATAGTTTTTATCCCGAGAATCGTCCCTTAAGGTGGTGAAAAGTGGGGTGGAAATTTGTATGGGAAATCAATAATTTCTTATTGAAAAATATATTTTTTTTATTTTTTAAATTACTTACTTTTCTATACCTACGTATATACAATATACATATATATGTATATATGTATAGTCTATCTATTCCATACTAGCCGTTAAAACGTACCTAGGGACAAACCCGAATGAGTGAGTCGCTAGTAAGAAAATAAACAGCTTTAACGTTAAAATTTAAAAATCTATACTAACACTAATAACATTATAGACGCAGAGTTTGTTTGTTTCATCAATCTCAAGAACTACACATCCGATTTGAAAAAATCTTTTTGCATTAGATAGCCCGTTTATTGAGGAAGGCTATAGGATATATATTATATTATAATATTTAGTCTACTTATTCCATACTAACCGTTAACACGTATTTAGGGACGAACCCGATCGAAGCGAGGGAAAGTCGATAGTGTATGTATAAAACACTTAAATATTACACAATACCTTCTTTCTTCCAAAGCGACAATAACTCTTCAATTATTTTCTTAATTTTAACATCAAAATAAAACTCTTTCAAACATTCTAATCCTTCGTGGAAAGAGCAAGGTAGAATTTTTTGAACAAATTTATTTTTCTGGAAAATAAAAAAATACATACAAAAATATTAGCAAAAAACATATTATATATATATATATATATATATATATATATATATATATATATATATATATATATATATATATATATAGATATCCCTCGCATTGAAGGCAGGCCCACGCCCAGCTGTGAGCTATAGAAAAGGGCTGAAAGATAATGATATAAAGTAAATTAATACAATGGGGGCTATCGTTTCTGGCGGCACCAGTTGGCGCCACTGGCGAGTGAGGTCCTATCGCTGTCGATGAAAACTAGTAAAAAACTTTATTAGTACGGCTGGGACATCGATTCTATATGATAATTATAATTGTTAACGCGAATAAAGTTCTATCAGGATTTTTAATAACTAATAGTCCAAGATCTGGCTGGCTTTTAGGGCAGGTAGTCTAAACAACATGATTGTTTAACAGCACTTCTTTATTCATCGGCGGATATAAAAGTGCAAGTCTGGCCGGAGGGTAGCGGTTTTGCCTTGCCACAATTAAATTTTCAAAATTTTTTTTTTCAAAAAAAAAGTTTTTTGGCATTTTGAAACTTTTTATTTTATTATCAAAAAGTTTGAAAATAATAAAGTAAAATATTATATATAGTAAAGAAAATAATAAAGATAAATCCAGAAAAATGGATTTACCTGCCCTAAAATGCCATGCAGCCAGCTCTCCTACTATAATCATAACTAAATAAATAAAATATTGCCTTTTCCTTAACTTATATCTTTTAAACCAATAAGATCTCTTGTGCCGTACCGTGTCTACCATAATTAATCAAGAATGGCACAATATTTACAATAATCATGAATATTTAGTAAAAATCCGCGGTAAAGAGCTCGCAAACAACGCACGTTCAGTACCATTTGACATTTATAGAAACCTCACTCTACACTAGCACCTCATTTAGATAATTCTAATTACCTTTAAAACAATGTTTAAAAACTCTTCCATTATCTGTATATAACAGCAGCTATATTCTTCCATTCTGGTAATAATATTTTGTTCTGTTACTTTATCTTTTATATAAAAACTTTTTAGTTTGTCCTCAATTCGACATTTATTATCTGTTGCTGTTCGATTGTTTGAATCATTGTCTATGGTTAAGACGATATTTTTCCAATCATGGATTCCACCATTTTCTTTCCCTTCATTACGAAGACTTTTGTTTAAAGTTTTAGGAGTTATTACATCATTTTTGTTTACGACATCTTTTTTTATAGAATCTCTTCGTTCTTGATTATCTGTTGTTTTATCCTCAACATTTATTAAAGCAGGTTTATTATTTAAAACATCTTGAGAATTAAAGAAAATTTTCTGAAAGACCAATGGTTTAAAAGAACGAGTTTCGTTAGCCTTAGCATCTGAACAATTAATATTTTCTTCTATCTTTTTCTCATTCATATGTATATATTTTTTATTATCTTTAGCTGTATCTATATATTTATCTATATCTTTTCTATATGATTTTTCTGTATCTGTATGTATGTTTTTATTATCGGATTTATTATTTTTGTTCACTCTTTTAATATCTTTTGAACTATTTAAATCCAATTCGAGAATATTTTTATTTATAGCTATCATATCTATTGTATCATTATCATTATTTCTATCATCACAAATATTATCATTCAAATCAGATAAAATATCATTATTATTTATAACAAAAGGTTCACAGTCATCTTTGGTCTGGAGGAAAAGATTTTTATTTTTGACAGTTACTTTTATTGATTCAAAATCGAATGCGGGACTTTTTTCTTTGGGATTATTTGTTTTAATATCGTCTAAAAAGTATGTATGTATTCCCAAAAATTGTGCTTTTTCATATACTTCAGCATATTTTGTTATTAGTACCTATTAGAAACATAATATTTATTTAATTTTAAGTTTGCCATGTACGTAATAATAGAAAATATACATAAAGCTGTTATTCGTTCAAATATTTTCCTTTTGAATATCTATTAACCATATGGTTAATTCCTACTATAATTCTCTTTTCCAATTATTTCTAATTGTTTTTTTTTATGGTAAAACAATATAAACAAAGAATTAAAATAAAAAAAATACATGGATATACCCTATTATAAGGCTATATCACAAGGCTAATAAGGTTCTAGGTTCGAATCTCGAGTTACTCACTATTTAGACATACGTGGTAAGGTATAATGTGACCGTAAAAGCTGTAGGAAGCTTTGGACTGAAGGGCTAAAACTGAAGTACGAAGAAAAGGAAAGCGAAAGCAAATACCAAAAAGATATTTAATAAAATGTTTTAATAGTATAATTTATTTATATTTTTAATGGCAGATAGCTAGCATGTGCAAATCCGTAGGTCCCGAGTTCAAATCGGACCAAGTTGCCTCAACTCCTCAAATTCGACTAAATCATCCATTTTTTCTTCTAAATACCTTATCCAGACTTATGCATACATTCAAAAAAACAATACGAAATGAGTTTAGTCATTCCCAAATTCACTTACAAACAAACAGCGTATAATTTTTATTTATATACATTTTCAAATGGATATAACCTTTCAGATAAGAAATAAATACATAGATAAATGTATATAATACTTTATTGTACACAACAAAGAAATATACAAAAGAGGATATCAACAAAAAATGGATGATGCATTGGAGGCGACCTTATCGTTGTAAGCGATCTCTTCCAGGCAACCTTAGGGCGTAGGAGCAGTTATGTGAAATGGTAGGCTGTGTACTAGCTACACACAAATATATAATATCCTAAATACATACATATATACATACACATATGTATGTGTGTACATTGTACATATAATATACTAACCACGTGTAAATTTTCATCAATCGCTTGCAGACAGCAGTTTATAACGTCATCTGGCATTGATGCACCTTCTTTTATATCTACTGTATGTACTGAAAGTTAGTAAATAATTTAAAATGGCGGTCTCTAAAACTGTGGGAAATAATGGAAAAGCTAGGTTGGTTTTCTTCACCATAAGACAAGTGGTAATCATGTTTTTTTTTTTTTGAAGTTATACTTTTTTGGCGCGTTATTGGGATGGGAGCGATGGGGAGTAAATTCATGTAATCCTTCATCGACATGGTCACGTGACGTGTTAACGCTAACACTCAGAGTGCCGATAGATGTCACAACCAGATACAAACAAAGTAAACGGTTTTAATTTACATATTTTAATTTAAAATCAAAAAATTAATTTGAATATTCAAAAATAACAACTGTTTGTTTATATTTTTAAGATTTCACTTCTGTCGGCAGTCCTCGTGACTGCTTTTTTTTTACGATGCGACAGATTTAGACTACAGTATGAAGTTATTCGTTAAATCTCGTTTTCTAGTGTGATGTCTATATTCAAGATATTTATTCCAGGGTGTGCTGAGAAGATTACGAATAAATTAAAAACTAAAAAAACCAAGCTTTTATTTAAATCCTCAAAAAAACAAAGAGGTATAACTTCTTACGTGCGTACATAAGCACACACTCACACTTTTTTTTGTATTTTAAAAACTTACCTTTATTAGAAGTATTCGTCAGTCGCCTATACACCTGGCGGGCGTTGAGAACTATCGAGCGCTTGCCGTCCCCGATACCGAGTAATTGTATATTTTTTAAAATCGATACTGATACTAATAATTTACAATATTCATCTGAAAAAAAATAAAAAAATAATATAAGTGATTTTAAGAGAAAAAAATGGATAGAGAAAAGAGAGAGATGGAAATAAAAGTAAGCTTTTATTTTAAAACAAACGTGTGTGTGTACTTATGTACGCACGTAAGAAGTTATACTACTTTGGCGTAACAGAACAAAAATAGCTAAAGATTTCTGGATATTTAAGAGTTATGGATACCAGATAGTTGATACACTACACTTATATAACACATACATACATTAGGATGGCCCAAAAAAAACAATTATATTTTTCGAGTCTCTTACGAAAATATTTTAGTTTATCATGTTTTAAGAGCCCCCTCCAAAGCGCAGTTAAAAAATCTTCAATTTTTTAAAATTTCCAAAGTCGTTGAAAATCGTTTTTTTTTCTCGTTATTTCACTATTTTCTACTTTAAGAATGATTAGGATTCTGACATTTTCAAGTCAATATTTCAATATTTAAAGGTCGCTCAAATTTTTTTTTAAGTTTCCAAGTACAGTATCTTAGATCTTTTCATTGAATAATATTCATGTTCAGAAGTTTAATAGTGGAAATCGTCTCAACTTTTTTTTTGCATCTCTCTAGCCTTATTTCTATTCTTTAGTATGTCAAATTCAAGAAAAAAAAGCCATTAAGAGCTCTATATAATAAATATGTTATTTTTTTGGGCCACCTAACATACATATTATAAATATAATTTTTTTTATAAAATATATAAATACTTTATAAAAAAAGCAACTCACCCCCCTCAATATATTCCATAATAAAATCTATATCATCCAGCAATATATCTCGGTCCACAACTATATACCAGGTAGTATTTGGATCCACTATTTTTCCTAGATCTCTTAAAAATTTTATTGGTAAAGATTTTTTTATTGGTGTCTAAAAAGAAATTAAAACAATAAATAATAAACTTAAATCTATAATGTATTCAGCCATTTTTAACATCCCACTGCTGGGCGTGAGCCTCCCTACAATACGAGGGGGATCAGACCATAGCCCACAACGCTGGCCAAGTGCAGACGGACTGAGCATGTCTTTCGAAAACTTGCTAGGTTCTCTCAGACATGCGGGTTTCCTCACGATATTTTCCGTCACCGTAAGGCAAGTGGTAATCATGTTGGAAATAATTCACACGTTCAAGTTAATAGTTAATTTTTTCATTTTAATTAATTTTTTGAAAAATACAAAAAAATAATTTATAAATTATTTAATTTTATTAAAGAATTAAGATTGAATTGAATTTTTTTCCCCACCCTCCGAATTTTGCCGCCCTTAAAAATTTGCAGCCCTGGGCACTAGCCCTGAGTGCCCGAAGTATAAATCCAGTGCTGACTGTTCCCGTGGGATAGATTTGTTTTTGTTTTTGTACAACGGTTATATATACAAAACATACTTAAGGACAAACCCAAGCGAAGATCAATTGTTATTAGATAAATAAATGTTAATATATAAAAATAACTACAACTCTATAAAATGTCCCATTTTCTTTAAGGAAGTAAGCAATTTGTGAAGCAAAATCGAGAATAGTAGTAGCATAAACAGCAAAATTGAGCTAATTTTAACTTGGCAGGCTCTGTTTATATAATTCTTTAGTCTGAGTTAAAACATTACCAAAATTTATATTTTTACCAAAGATATGACGATATAGGAAAATATTTTTTTTTTTTTTAACTGCATATACCCGTGGAAGACATTTATTTAAGTACCTAATACTTACATCATCACTATTTACTATTGAAATATTGGATCCATTATCACTTGTATTGAGATTAAATGTCACTTTTTTCTTCGGAGACACATTATGTGAATTATTGCTTTCCTTTTCTAAAAAAAAACCGTTTTATTTTAATGAAACTTGTTTACAGTTACAAAATTATAAATATATATTATAATATTAAATGTTTTTTTTATTGTAAATTATAAAGACAATGACAGTTTAGTTTTAACCAACTTTAAAAAAGAAAGTTTTTTATGTATTAAGTAAATAAATTACACAATATCTTTGCTAATTGGGAAGCAATTTGATTTTTTTTATGAATATTAAAAAAATAATAATGAGTATCTTTACAGATGCATACATATTGGTAAAATAGAAAAACACACACAGAATTAATTAATTTGAAGTCATTTTCAATCTATACTAATATTATAAATGTAAAAGTTTGTGAGTAAAGATGTATGGATGTTTGTTACTCTTTCACGCCAAAACGGCTGAACGGATCTGGATGAAATTTGGCACGGAGATAGAAAACACATAGGCTACTTTTTATCCCGGAAAAATGTATGTTACCTGTGGTTTTTTTTTGTTTTCCTGGAGATAAACCCTTGGAAACCTTTAAAATACTAACGAGAAGTAAGTGAAAGTGTAGCGCTATAATTAAAGTGACTACAATTCTAGCCAGGTAATTATAATATGTACTGTTAGTAGGCTTTACAATGGGAAGCTTTAGAGATAAACATATTTAAAGCAATACTTTTAGCTATATAATTACAAAAGTTTAATCAATATTAATCCATCAAAATTTATAGAAGCGATATAGAAGTGTTTTTGTGTGTCAGTTTTATTTTCAATATCTATACTAATATTATAAAGAGGTAAAGTTTGTCACGTTGAGGAGATAATCTCTGAATCTACTGAACCGATCTAGATGAAATTTGGTAAGAAGATAGTTGCGACCCTGGGAAATCAACCATAAGGGGATGAAAATAGGGAAGAAAGTTTGTAGGAGGAATCAACCTAGGCACGAATCTAAGCGAAGTCAGCTTGAGTCACTAAAAATTAAAAAATATATTTTAAATACCTTCTTTTATCTTATCATTATGTAAAACACCCAAATCAACTGATTTCCTCCTTTTAGAAACCAATAAATATCTTAAGTCATTTTTATCTAATTTTCTTAATAAATTATCTTCAACTTGTTCTCTTTCTTCTTCACAATCCATATTAGATTCATTATTTACTTTATTTGGTTTAATATTTTGACTACTAACAGTATGTTTAACAGTAGGTTTTTGGCAATTCAGCTTCGGCTCTCTGATTATATTGGATTGTTCTAACTTTTTTTTATTCTGTTGTTGTGTCTGATCTGTTAATTGTGTATTTTCTTTCAACACAGATGATTTATTCCACCAATTTTTTGTGCACATTGGACTGGATGTAGCAATTTTTCCATTTGAATTTCCAAAAGTATCAACGTTCTTAGAATTACTCAGTAAAGTGAATCTTTTAGACAGTGGCATTGTACAAGTTTGAACTGAAAAATTACTTTCAATATCAGCAGTTTGAGTATTTCGATCTAAAACATTTTTCTCTTTTGTCATGGACACTGGCATTTGGATTGGTGTCCATATTATACTTGGCATTAACAAAGGAGTTACATTTGAAAAGTATTGAGGAAAAACTGCCTGGCCATATCTTGGGCATGTTTTACTCTGAGTCTGTTGGTATAAATATCCATTATTGGAATAAAAGTTCGATGCACTAGAAAATTCTTCAAAAGTTTTGTGTATTTGTGGTTCAGGATATGTGTGTGATTTGTCTGCCATTTTTGGTATATTATTGTCCTTTTTTAGTGCATTTGTCTGAAAATATCTATACATATAATAAAATTGTAACTGGATCGAATCTGTACATTAAATATTTTATAGAAAATCTAATTGGAATAGTCATTATTGTCGATACAGAGATCGAATCTATAGTTTTAAGAATTTTTGCCAATCTGTCTGGGAACGCATCAGGTGAAAACCACTGGACAGATTTTGATGAAATTTGATATGATGATAGCTGGTTATCCAGTCAATACAATATAGAATACATTTTTCTGCAGGAAAATATCTCATTTCTGAGAAATCTGTACTAAACGTTAAAACGTAACTAGAGACGAACCCGAGCAGAGCGAGGGTGAGTCGCCTAGTTTTAAATAAATTGAATAAATATGTGGTACTGAGGATACCAAACAGTCGAAGCATATTCTGGAGTGGATTAAACGTAACAGATAAACAATAAATTGTATGTTTGTACGTTCTTGAAATCGTCTGCCTGGCTAAAAATAAATCCTAGGCACTATCATTTAATAACCCTTATTGAGAAAAAGTTGAGAATGCAGTTGTATTCCCAGGTCTCTCAGTTCTATCACACGTTTAAAGGGTTTCTTTAAATGGCACGAAAAAAATATTTAGTTCAGACTAACAAAACATATTTTCTGTGTATTAGTAGTGATATATAAAAAATTACCTGTTCATCATCTAATCCCCACACGGCTTCTCCAGTGACCACATTGAAATAATAAAATTTGCCAGGAATACTTTTCGAAGGACATAAAATCCAATTACTATTAGTTTTCTTACAACTATCCATAATGCCTATTGATAAATTAAAAGCACTATAAACTATATTAATACACTAACATTATGGTACAGAGACAGCTTCTTTCAGAATGTTTACTCAATGTTTATTGTTAGAAAATAATAAAATGTTATTTGAAACCCAAAGACCAAAAGCGATTCGAGTAAAGTAGGTAGGTACCTACCTACAAATACTTTAAAACTTTTGCTTACACCCGCGAAAAACAAAACAATATCATAATACAACAGATTCAAAAATTCCATTATATCTAAAATCGATTTGTACGTTTTTAGTAAGTCAATTTATATAAATTATTTTTATATTTTTTAAATAAAATTTTATAAATTATTACTTATTGTTAGATTATTTTAAAAAGTAAGTCTTTTTTTTTCTTTGTTAAAATAGAAAGCTTTTTATGGCCAAAAAAAAATGAATATATATATATCTAAAATCTATTAGAAAATATTTACAAATATGATACGATGATAAAATAATAAAAAACTAGAAAAAAATAACTATAATGTACCTTTGTATTTTGCGTTTATGAAAACCGACTCAAAATAAAATAAAAACAGGTACATTTTTTTAATATTTTAATGATGATTATCAAAAATTTCTAAAATATCAGAATCTTACTTTGTGATTATAGAATAATTTACAATTTATTCTTATATTTTAAGTGTACAATACTCTTTTAAATTATTACAAATGATATAGAAATAATATGGTCAATTAATATGTATTCGATAGTAATTCTTTCAATAATTTCAGATAAGTAGTTCTCGCGTAAATCGATGCGAATGCGAGTCGATACTCGATAGAACGACTCAAACGTATTGCGCGTGCTGTTACGAAAAAAAATTATTTTGTTTATAATATGTATATAACAACAAATTATTTAATATCAAAACAAGTTGCTTTTTCATTTCTTAAACTTGTGCATTACACAAATGAGTACTGACGTAGTTCAAATTGCAATTATACGGTTTTTTACGTACTCCTAACTTGATTTTAATTGAAAAAATATCTTAGATAATTTTGATAAAAAGTTATATCTTGTAAACTATTTTTATATTGCGAAATATATATAATTGATTGTTCTATACGAAGTTCTGTATACATAGTAAAATAACGACTGTGGATAAAAGATGTTTATTTGAGTTATACATACACAAATTACCATTTCTTTTTTGCATTAAAACATGAAATACTATATTAATTAATACAATATGATTATGCAGAGGAGTCATAGTTTAACCGACGGCCGCCAATAAAAGCTGTGCAACGTCTTCTCTTGGAGACCTGGCAGATATTAACATCGTAACACCCACATTACCAGATGCTATTCGAGCTCGTACCATAAAAGGTGCACCACCTCTGAAAGTACCACTGCCCCGTATTTCTTTAACTGCCTCTCCTACTATCGTGGCTTTGGGAAAACCTAAATATTCGCAAACAGATTTTGCAGCGTTAGCCGGATCTTGGTCGGGGAGTGCATAAGTATCTGTTATCTCGGGAATACTGATTGCACGTTCCCACGTATTTTCCCAATCGTCACCCATCACTCTGGGTCGGATCTGATCTGAACAGCCCATGTAGAACTCTTCCAGAGGATAAGTGTCTGCGTAACCCTCGCCAGGGTCTGGCTCTCCTGTGTTGGGGTCACAATCACGTACCACAAACTCTAATGTTGCTCCAAATGTACCCAAGCTGTCTAAATATGCGCAAGGATATTCAACCACAACAAAAACACTATCTGGCTTATCATAAACTAGCTGTTGGCAAGGAAGAATCGATTTTATCTCATATTCTGGTGGGCATTCCAGTCTTACGTGCACTTGCTCTAATATTTGATCATTTAATGTATTAATGCATTCAAACTGCAATACAACATGTTTGACATAAACATGCTTTAATAAACGAACTCTGTATTCCGTTTCCGGTTCTGTCAACTCAACCGGCACGTTTGTTTTGAAAAGCGGGCCCAATTTTTCAATACCAGGCACTTTGGCTAGTTGTTCACTATAAATTTCCTCAATGGACACCGTTTTCGGTTTACGAACTTCAATCTCAACGACATTCTCTTTCGTTTCTTTCTTTTCTTCCGTTGGGACATTCATTATATCGAATAACTCATCTGGGTTTGTTGCAATATGGTCCCGTAAAGCTTTTTCCAATAAAACGGGGTTCGGTTTGTGAACATCAATTATATAATCGTTGATTAACTGTTGATCTTCAGAATGCAAAATTGCGTTATAAAATATAGCTCGATCTCTTACTTCATCCTCATCGTCTAATTCGCATCTCTCAAGTAGAACTCTTATATTTGGGAGCAATTCCGGTCTTTGGGCACCAAATTGGGCTACTGCAGATACAGCAGCCGCTCTAACTGGTCCTGATTCTAATATCACTCTATTATAAATGAAACGAATATATCGTGATGGTTGGCGCGATTTAGGGCCTTCGCGTCCAAGTAAATGCAATATACGAACAGCCAAAGCTGTATGTTCACAATCTTCAATAAATTCACATAAATGTGCCAGCCCTGTCTCTTTAGCTTCTGCGTTTTCCTCTACTAACGCTATAATAGCATCAGCTATAGCCGCTTTATAATCTAATCCACCTTCATCACGTAGCATACCCGCCAAAAAAGCTGCCAAAGACTGATGTTTCCTTGGGAATTTCTGGCACAAACGCCGTATCGCTTTGACAACTACGATTTTAAACTCATCCGAAATTTCCGATACGAAACTTGATATTTGTTTCATCAATCTATCAACGGAACTCTCCGCACCTGTTGCCAGTAATGTTGTTACAGCTAAAGTAGCAACCGATCTATTCGGATCGGAAATAAGATTTTCCAAATCTACAGTACATGCTGCGACCGCTGTAGGCTGTTTTGCTGTCAATCTGGCTAAAGTTCTAGCGCCAGCTAATCGCAACGTCGCTTTAGAAGAGCCACAGAATAATTGCAGTACAGAAACAGCTGGAGCTAAATCTCGAGCAGACTTTCTCAAATTGACAATCGCATGAGCAGCCTCATATATAACCATTTCAGATTTGTGACGCAGACAGCATTCAATAAATTCTATATATGGTTGGGCGGCATCTGAATCATCATTCTCAACTAATTGAGCCGCAAGACGAATTAACAGGCATAAAGCATATGGCGATTTTAATGGAGATTTCGCCAAACGCGTCACAAGTTTCACAGTGGATAGTTTGTCGTTTTTGCGTGTGGATGCCAGAATTCCTAATGCATGATAGGAGACCATGGCATTATCAGAGTTAAGTGCTTCCTGTAACAACAGACAGTGGTTATGAGATGAAAGATGTATAATCACAAATGTAATAAAAATATTTGCCATGTAGGCTCTATAAAATAATTGAATAATATTCACATTTCATTCCTTCTCCTTGATTTAAAAATAGGATGTAGAGAAAAATGATATATGGGCTAATTAATAGAAATTATTGTAAAGTGAGCTGACAATCATTGTCATAATGTATGATTAGTACCAAATATATATCTACAAATAACTTAATAGAGAAGCAGACCTACTTAGTTTTTTTATATATTGCACAAAAAGCTCTTTACTAAGCTACTCTATATTAAGAGATCAGTTCAGAGTTCAGTCAGTCATTATTCTATAAATTTCTTTTATAATATTAATCATAATCAGTCATTTTTATATTACGTAATTATTTTTCTATTGTTGTAGGTTACTCCTGTAAACCGACCATTCATTTATAGTTTTAATTCCACAATAAAGTTACTAAATTTCAAAACTACCGCTCAATCTCATTCGTGTCTTCCTCACAAAACATCACTGGCAAAATGGATTGCCATTATAAAAAAAACATAATCTGACAACTATTAAAAATGAGAAAGTGTATGGTTATGTGCATACATGTGTGTGTATGCCTACGAGCGTCTGTATGATGAAATTTGGTATATAATATATATATATATATATATATATATATATACTATGAGTGAGAGAGGAGTAACACGATTACATAGGCACTTAGAGACATACCTGTGCGAAGCAAGGGTAAGGCAGTAGTGTTTAATAAAAGAATTAAATTATTTTTATAAAAATCCAAATATTACTGTTTAAAAGATTTAAAAGAAATGAAATTATTGATTTAAATATATATTTAATTAGACTCATACAACTATTATAAAAATAGTCAGTGTAGTTGGTTTCTGAGGAAGCTACCACCGGCTTGGAACACAGTTGAGTTGAGAAGAACAGATGAGAAACTCAACAGTTGCTCTTTTAAAAGACAAGTAGCAATGTTTAACGCGATATCAGTATTTTAATTCCATATATTTACATCAACAAGTAACTCTTGTACAGTGTAATATGCTACTAAGAATATATATTAAATGTTATCTTTGAATTGTTGAAAGGGTTAATCTTACTGTTTGTGGAATTTAATTATATTATGTATATGTGTCCACTCAGACCCATGAGGGATTTATACACTTTTTGGTGACAAAATTGGGGTGTGAAAAACTCATTTCTATTTCTAATGTTTATTGTGTGTCTATCACTGTTTCAAACTATGTTAAAACATCTTTTTAAAATATACAAATTAAACTAGCCTTCCCTTAGTTAAAGTAGTGATAAAGATGTGATGTGCAACATAATCAAAAATATTACATAACAATGCAGCAAAACATAAGAGATATTCGCATGGCAAAAAATAAAAATTATTAATAAATAATATTAACCTCATATATTGTTTATTGTTAGCTATAAATAAAAAAAATAGTTATGAATAATAAATATTCATATATTCATAGTGTACTCTATTTTTAACCATTTTTAGTATTGTAGATTAGTTAAGCTCCATTTTTAAAATGATTTTTATATTATGTATGATTAGATCGTTAATGATCAGATCATTTTAGCTTTAATTTAAAAATTACTTTATTTGTAACTTTAAAATTAATAATCTCATCATAAACTTGGATTGACTGTGAATCCAGAAATAAATACCTAAAAAAAATATATGTAAAAATTATGTTTAATGGATACAAACCTGTGCTTCATTTGCCCAGCGGCGCACTAAATCTGGAGCAGTGGATGAAAGATGCAAAGCAGACACCAATGCAGCTGAACTAACTGCTGGGTTCTTGTCAACAATGGCCTGCTTCATATATCTTTCTATAGCTTGCAACATAGTGCTATCAGTAATACTGCACAAAGCCCGAATAGCGGCGGCACGATATAAATCTTCTTTTCCAGTCATATCTTTAGTTAGCGAGGATGTCACAATAATCACATCTTGGGCAATTTGACTTAACTCCTTTATACATAGATATACCATACGTCGTAGCATCACATCCTTCGACTGGAACAGTTTTGTGGTCGCAAAAAAAGCATCTGTAGCTTCTTGTGTCGTAAATTTCTCCCCTTGATTCAGTAAAAAGAGAATTTTCGACAATATATGCGAACATTTTCGCGGATTTACAGGAGTTTCGTTAAAATACCTTGCCTCCTGTAAAACTATTGTTTTGTCCAAATTAGCATATGGACTCCCTCCACTATCTTCCTCTTCCTTCTTATCACGTTTAAAAGAGCTCATTTTGAGCTTCTTTTTTGATAAAATTAAAAAATTAGGTGCCGACGAATACAGTTTTCGGCTTACACGTCACGTTCGATTTGTTGTCAGCTGTCAATTTCAATTAGCTGTCACTTGTCAGTTGCGTTCGAAAATTTTGTAAAAAAATTATAGCTCTATTTATTTATCAGCTCTTTAAAACCAACCCCGACCGACTTCCATACAGACGCATATTCAGAAAACTGTAGGCGAATACTACGAATAAATAATAAGTCAAGAAATGTAACTGCGTTAAAAAAATGACCCAACAAAAGTCGTGTCCGAGTAGGCGGGGCTTAAAAGTCGTGTCCTGCGCATCATCAGTCGGACATTATTGTTGCAAGCGAACACATGTAAAATTTTCGCGTACGTTTAAATTTTTATCATTGTGTACTACAGCTGTGAATCATCATGCCAGCATGTTTTGTAAAGTGGTGCAGGAGCCATACAAGATTAAAATATCCAGGAATAACTTTTCACTAGTAAATAGTGGCAAAATTATAATTATTTTTATTAAAAGATGTTCAAATAACAAATACGTTGTAAAATCGAGATGGCCAATACTATGCAAAATGAAGTCAATCAATTTTTGACCTAATTTAGAAAAAACTTTTTTTCTTGATGAAATATTGAAATATAAACCGATAAAATTTATATATTTTTATAATAGTAATGTATTTTGCTTATTTCGTTTTCTTTTAGTTTCCCTGCCGATCCAATTAAATAAATATTATAATTATATTAATATTTAGGTTCTAGGTATCTATTTCAAATAGAGACCATTTTTCATTGATTTGAAACTGACCTTCAATATTATTTTCAGGAGTATAATAGCAACACTAAATTTAATGACGGCGTTGAAGAAGAACCAAGATTTTTTTTTTAAATTTAATAATTAATATTGTTTTAATAGAAGACACGTTTGGCTTAGTCGGTCGCGGATTCGAATCCCGCTGGGGGCATTCATTTGTGTGATGAGCACGAATGTTTGTGCTCCAGTCATGGGTGTTTATATTAATAATATGTATATATTTAAAGTTATATATGTGTAGTGTATCAACTATCCGGTATCCATAACACAAGCCTCGTAGCTTACCATGGAACTAGATGGTGCTGTGTGTTAATGTCCCAACATATTTATATTTATTGACTTGGTCCGATCCCGTGGACGATGATATGCTATAAATGATTGCACGCCGCTATGACACAGCTGTCATATCAGACATTGCAAACCAATCCCTACCTTTGGCTTGAATTTACACCAATCACCAAGCATGTCTGTTTGCAAGCTCAAAAGTGATTCGTATTTTAATCATACGTCGATTTGGTTTGAAGTAGGGCCACTTTTTGTATGGAATTTGTTCTGAATTAGACTTCCTGACTTATTATTTATTCGTAGTTTTTAGTATGAAAATAGATGTCTACTAGTTTTAAAGACACAAATCAAAAATAAAACCCTTCTATATATAAATATTTACAATTTATTTTCCGATTGTTCCGTACAATCTTGATTGACATATTGCAATATTTGACTCAAATCATTAAACTTCATAAAAACGAAATTTCAAATATCGCAAGAAGTCCTGCACTATGAAAATTAACACTATTTACATCAGTCATTATAAAACTTACTCCAACGAAAGACATTAAACACTTAACCTCTTAAAATAAAAGAATCTGCGCTTAAAAATAACACATCAATAGATTATCAACCAAAATACTATCTTGCCATCTCACTCTTAGTAAAAAAAAAAGTTTTCTAGAAATTTTAAGTCATATTTCTTGAAAATGGCGGGTAAATTAAAAATTCGTTGAAACTTATTTCTATCTACAAAAGTCCTTAAAAGAAATTAAATTTTATTTTTAATTGATACAATAAATATATTACATGTATTTGCAATAAGAATAGATTTAATAGTTTTTCTTCACTGATATTTGTGTTGTTTGTATCTTTTTTTATTTGTTTTCATTTGTAACATTTTCTTTTCATTTGTTTTACAAAAATGGTTGTTTTTAACGTGAATAAGTTACAATTTTTGTGTTAATATATTATAAATATAACTTAATAAAACTTATTCATTGGTAATAACAGACAAAATAACTTTATAAATAAAACTTCATTTCTTTATGGATCAAATGCAAGATAAAATACATATAAATTTTGGTTAACAAACCTATTGTAACTAGAAAAAGATCTTGATTATTTTCATACCTTTTCATTTGTATTTTAGCCTGATTTATAATTATAGACAAATATTGTTGTACTTGAGTTTATTCAATGTATTTAAAAAAAATTATATGACTCTACAATTAAACAAAAGAAATATAATTATTAAAGAAAAAATTCAAAGTACATAATATATTATATTTTTTTTGTAATAACAGACTAAAACACAAATTTTTGCCCAGCATAAATTCTTTTCAGAAAAACCTGTCAAATGAAAAAATATATTTAATTTATATTACAATTTTTTTTGGCATTTTTACACATATTGTACAATTCATACTCTATAGAACAAAGTTAACAGAATATTTCGAACACATTTTTTTTGAAGTTATAACTTTTTGATGCATTTAGAAAAAAAAAATGATGAGTGATTTCTTATGATGCGACAGAATTAGATAACAGTATGAAGTTAGTCGTTATTTATTATGGCCAGTTTTAAACTGTTGCTTTGTTCTAATTAGAGAACGAATCCATAGAAATCAATGCATATCATTTACATATAATTCAGTGAATTTCAAAAATACGCTTTATTAAATTCGCCTAATAAGAATTCATAATTTAAATCTAAATAATACACAAAAGAAAAAAATCACAAAATTTACAAATATATTATTACTATTTTATATACTGTACCTTATTTCACATAAGTAAATGATATGCACAATTTAAAACTAAATACAACTATTTTTATGTGAACAATATTTATTCTTTACTCTAGTGTTACCATATAAAAGCGTATTTTTCAGGAAGTTATTATGCATGGTGTTAAATTTTTCACATGGCAACACCTACCAAGTTTAAATAGAAAAACTAATTTGAAATGCATCATCTTTAAAGTTCCACCATTTTTTTTTTATTATAACAGTCTTGAAAAATAACAAATATTTAGGGGTGCCATTCATTACAAAAATAAAAAATTAACATCGTCTTTGTTCACAGTAATTTTTAAAAATTGACTTTACAGGTGAGACTATTAAAAATAAAAAAATAATAAATAACAACCCTAAACACACAGTGTGACCAGTTCAAGACAAATATTTCCTCCATTAACAACAGTATCTAGCTAGTAACTAATATATAAAACTGTACATTATGTATCACATAGTTGAAGTCCCTATTCAACATATCACTAAGTCCACAAACATGGTTATATTGTAAATTCAAAACCCATGTTTTACATCACTATTACAAGCACATCACTAATTAATCCACATGTTCACATGTCACTATCTATCACTCGTGGGTATAGAAGATTAATTGAGGATTCGAATCATCGGGAGAAACTTCAAGTTGTACATATTGAGGTGTAGTTCTGGCCGACTCGTATGAAGCTCCACCATTGCGCGAAAGGGAGTTTCTTGATCTGAAAAAAAAAGTATTAAGAAAATACACTACTATAAACTCAAAAAAATAATAATTTTGTCATTTAAAACATTGCAATATGACCAATCTCACTTTCAAGCAAAATTTTTGAATACAATTCATTAATGAGACACAAAGTATACAAAAAAATCATGTTTTTACGCTTGGACTTTGGCAGGATTTCCGTTAAGATCAGAGACATCAGAGTGCTAGTAATAAGCTTAAATTACATTCACACTGTGCATTTTTCCTCTATTTAAACCAGGCCAATATTATAAATTGGTAAGTTTTTATGTGTATATGTTTGTTACTCCTAACACTGGACAGATTTGGACGAAATTTAGAATACAAATAAATTATAACCTACTCTTTATACTTTATTTATTATTCGCACCCCTTCTATCTTAGTACTATTTCCTACACCTATAGGTTGCCTGGGAAAAATCGTTGTTTTAGCTATAAGGCCACCTGATGTACTTACTCTTATATTTTGTTTATTTTTTTGGGTGTACAATAAAGTTATTATTATAACCAGGAATATTACATAGACAACTAGCAATGCATCCGAGCAACGTGAGGCATTCATTATTGTATGATAAGCATGTATGTTCATACTCCAGTCATGGGTGTTTGTTTATATTTATAATATGTATGTATTTAAAGTTATGTATGTGTAGTGTATCAACTATCTGGTATCCATAACACAGGCTTCGTAGCTCACCATGGAACTAGATGGTGCTGTGTGTTAATGTCCCAAAATATTTATATTTATCTATATACTTACTTTGCTTTGGCATGTGTGAGAATATGCGACTTCAGGTTGGTGCTTTGCGCGAACTTCTTGTTGCAACCGTCGAAAGGACAAACATAAGGCCTATCTCCTGTGTGGATACGGACGTGTGTTCTGTGAAAAGAAATGTATATACACTAGTTAGTGGATTTCTTGTAATGACGACACATTTGGCTCAGCATGTAGTGACCCTACTTGCTGTGCTTGATCGCAGGTTCGAGATTCATTTGTGTGATGAGTTGATATATACTACAAATATCATATAACTCTAAATACATACATATAATTAATATAAACACTCATGACTTTAGTACAAACGGTAATTCAGTCATGAATGTTTATATTTATAATATGTATGTATTTAGTTATATGTATACGTGTAGTGTATCAACTATCTGGTATCCATAACACAAACCTCGTAGCTTAACATGGAACTAGATGGTGCTGTGTGTTAATGTCCTAACATATTTATTTACTTAATATTAAAAAATAAGAAAAAATACCTTAGATTGAAATCCAGGGAGAATCTCTTCCCGCAACCTTCAAATGTGCATTGAAAAGGTTTCTCCCCCGTGTGGACTAGCTGATGTCGTTTTAATTTTGAACTTTCTACAAATGCTTTACCTGTAAAAAAATAAATTATTTTACTCTAAGATTTTAAGTTAAAAAAAAACTAAGATATTGGTCACTAAATCTATACATATAATAAAATTCTAACTGATGATTTGTGAGATAAAAACTATCCTATGCCCTTCCCAGGGTCTCAAACTACCTCCATACCAAATTTAATCAATATTGGTTCAGCGGATTAAGCGTTAAAAGATAACAGACTGAGTTACTTGAATATTTATAATGTTAGTATGGATGTACATACCACACTCCGCACACACATGCACTCTCGGCCCGTGCGTGTGCAAATGTTTCCTCATGGCCGAGTTGTCTCGGAACATTTTGGAACAGCCTTTGTGGGGACACGCTGGAAAGAATACAAATAAACAGACATAAATAACAATAAGCATATTACTAATATTATAATTATAGTTGTTATAGAAAAAATGGCTGATTTAATTTTTCGAATGTTTTAAGCAAGTCAAACAGAAGGGTATCGTTAAGGCCTCATTTCTGCCCTCGAACAACGAAAAAAGTGATTCCATATGATTTGTTCTTTTCTTTACATATTCTGGAAGTTGACTGTGCTTTATTAGATAATATATTTATGAGAGAAAATTAACAACAATAATTAATACTACTTGTGAGACGCCAAACTTTAGTCTTGCAGGTGGTATGACATTTTATTTTCATTATTCAGGGGCGGAAATGAGGCCTTATGGATACCTTTCCTTTTGCCATGCAAAAAAAGAGAAAATAATTATACAACACTTATGTTCATGAATAAGCAGTATATTTATAAAATTTTCAATTATGCCATGGAAGATATTCTCATGTATCGTTAATGTTTTTTTTTATAAATAAAAAAAAACTTACCTATAGTTCTATCAGACGACTCGGGTGAGGGTTTCTTTAGCCTAATTTTGTGCCCAGGTCTCGCAAACTCCGCTAATTGTTTCGGGTCTGATAGGTCTAATCCTGAAAGTATATATAAAATATAACAATACTACTTTCTGTATGTTCATCATATTATTATATTGTGTAACATATAATATATATGATCCCCGTGTTATATATATGCAAGTGTGTATGCATGTTTGTACATACTCTTATGTGTACCTGTTCACGCTGAGACCACTGGACAGTTCTTTGAAGTTATACTTCTTTTGGCATGTTTGGAAAAAATTTAAATGAGAGTAAAATTTTTACAATGCGCGCGTACACCAACAGCCAAAAAGCGACAAGGTGAATTTAGCTGCATTCCTTTTACAACAGAGATACGGGATAAAATCTTTAGCTATTTTTGTTCTATTACGCCAAAGAAGTATAGCTTCTTACGTGCATGCATAAGTACACACACACTTTTTTTTAGATCTAAAATGAATGTTTGTAGGCATGGCCTCTATATATTTCTAAACAATTGATCCAATTGTGGTGAAATTCTGGTGGGTTGTTCTTTAACATCTGCGAAGGTTCCTGGCGCAAAAAACTTTTTCTTTAGATGTTTGTCTTTATGCCTTCCTAAATTATTCAAGTTTAAGGAAGCACTCGAACAAAGCGAGGGTAAATTCGTACTATATTATATAATATAGTAGCCACTTAACTGAGGACTTAAAAATAAATGAATGGTATTTTAGCATGAAGGAGTAACAAACAAGCACACACATTTAAATTAAATAGGCTTATATGTTTAAGACTTTACACAATTAAAATATCAGCAAGGAAGCATGGCATTACCTGGCATATTATCATTTCCCAGCACATTCTTCTTTCCCGTCATATACTCTGTATAGTCAGGGTCTGGCTCTGGGTTCGATCCATCATCTGAAATTAATACATAGATTGGCATTGATATATATATCCATACTAATATTATAAATGCGAAAGTAACTCTGCCCATCTCTCTGTATGTTACCTTTTCACGCTTAATCCGCTGAATAAATTTAGATGGATATGGAGATAGTTTGAGACCCTGGGAAGGACATAAGATAGTTTTTACCCCAGAAATCATCCCTTAAGAGGATGAAAAGGGGGTGGAAGTTTGTATGGGGAATCAATCATTTCTCAAGTAAGCGTTAAAACGTACATAGAGACCCCGAGCGAAGCGAGAGCGAGTCGATAGTTAAAACATAAATACACGTAACATGTCAAATCAAAGAATAAAATTCAAAAATCGATAGTTCAAATTGTCTAAACACAAATTCAAACTTACGTTCACCACATAAAGTACTTTTTTAAACGAAACAACGTGCGTTTTAATATTCTTATCCGAAAAGCAATAAGCACAATTTCGAATTAGACATTTCTTTTTGAGGACACTTTTGAGACGCTAATCGTGTATTTTGAGTTTTTGTACATCAATGGAAAATGGTTAAGAAATGATAATCCAATTATCAGATAAAAGCGATTCTAATAGATAATAAATTAAATTAAAACTACAATAATTTGTTTCAATAAAATAGTTAAATCGTTTTTTTTACATTTATTGTTAGTCGAGTTTTAGTTAAGGCGACTTTTTTTTATAAAAAAAACGGATGAGTGGAAATTTATCCCTAAATATAAAAAAAATGGCAATATAAAAATAAGATCCTTATGAAAATTTTATTTTACATGTACATGAGGTGTGGCCTCATTTTAGTTTTACATGGTGGTATAATTTTAAGAAATCTTAAATTAATCTTTCCCGTCATATACTCTGTATAGTCATTATATATTTATTTGTTGTATTGCAATTTATTTTTCCGGGATAATAAGTAGCCTATGTGTCATGCCAGACTATAATCTATCTCTGTGCCAAATTTCATCTAGATCCGTTAAGCAATTCTGGTGTGAAAGAGTAACAAACATCCATACTCACAAACTTTCACATTTATAATATTAGTATAGAAGTATAGATTACCATCATCCTCTCCCGTAGCCCACATGGTGACAGAAAATTCTCCCTCCATGGTCTTAATCTGAACTTGCTTTTGCTCCCATCTGCGGGCAGCTCGGGTATTCCCTTCCATTAGACCCATTGGGACTTCTCCTTAAAAAAAATTGACATATTAAAAAATGTACTTAAACATAAATTGTGATGGATACATAATAGAATTTGTATCTTAAAATAAAAACTTTTTTTAAAGATGACTACTTTTTTGTATTTTGTTTTTGAGGTCAGTTTTTTTTTCACTTTTAGTGTAGACATTATAGAAGCAAAGTAAGAAGAAAATATTTTGAAACTTCAGTAGGTGAAAAATCAATTATTCCCTATTCTCTACAAATAGGGGTAGAATTTTTGTAGTGAAAACGTCTATAGGCAGGTTTGGATGGGAAGTAAATTTGTGTAAGTCATCGACATGGTCACATGAAGTGTAGCGCGAACACTCAGAGTGCCGATAGATGTCAACACCAAATAAATGTAAACAGTTTTAATTTACAAATTTTAATTTAAGACCAAACAATTAATTCAAATATCCAAAAATAACAACTGTTTGTTTATAGTTTTAAGTTATCACTTCTGTTGGCAGTCCTCATAACTACTTTTTTTTTTCAATTTTAATCGGATCCAACTTTGAGGTATACCTTATCCAATAAAGAAAGAATCATTGAATTCGGACTACACTGTAAAAAGTTATGTGTGGTCAAACAAAAAAATATATAAATGTCAAATTGATAAACTCCTCCCTTTATTTGTCGTCGGTTAATAAACATTAACAAGATTATCAAAGTTACAAAAAAATATATATTCATTATAAAAATATTATTATTAGATACCATTATTATTATACAAAAAAAAAAACAATATAAAAAGAAAACAATTTACATATATATATGTATTATAGCAAACTTACCGATAGGCATTAAATGATGAATATTATTTGTTGTATTAGCATTTACACGCGGCCTGCCTCGACCCCTTCTAGAACAAAAAAAAATTTTTTTATCTATGGATAAAATTTGACTTATCGATTCGTAAAATTATTTATTAAATAAAAAAAATGTAAATTAAACATAAAATTAATTAATTTTATAATTTTAAATATGTTTAAAGTATGTACATCAAAATATTAAAACAATTTTATGCATAGTATAAAAAAATCGCCATAACTACTTTGGAAAATATCATTAACACACATAATAAATCTATAAAAATTGGTAATGAAATTAAATATTTCTTTTTGTTACAATTATCTTTGGAAGAAGCTAATATCATGGATTTGCCATTCTTAATCTACTGAAGATTACATTATGAAATATGCAGCTTGCAATAGGATTACATCAGCAATATTTTCGAAGTCGGTGTGCTTTGCTTCGTATGGGCTGGCACCGATTTCGAAAATATTTGATGAGGTATGTATTTAATAGGTAGGCTTTAATTACTTAGCCAAAGCACACCGACTTCGAAAATATTTTATTATGTATGTATAGTAAATGAAAACTACCAATCAGTTATTTTTTACTTTTTAGTGCTTTTGTTTGAAGTCGGTTTTTATTTTTTTGTTAAAAAGTTTTTATTTTTCCCTTTTTAGTGTAGACAGTAGTAGCAAAGTAAGGATTCTAACGTGTTAGGCTTGTCAAATCAAACAAAATAAGCCCAAACTCAAAGTATCTACTATTAGTCGTTGAAGTTTATATTATTAATTATTATTCTGTTATTTTAACAACGGAAACTATTAGTGGTTATGTATTATCAATTGTTTGTTATCCTATGTTTATCTTGTAACACCGTTTGTTTCCTTAACAAATAAATAAAATAAAATAAAAAAAGGAAAGAAAGGACTATGTATTTAAATATTTTACGATACCATACAAAAAACCAAACCCAGGATATACTTAATACTTATTTAAGCCAACTTACCTGCTAGTGGAAGCCGGTGCGGGATAAACAGTGTCATATGGACTCTCTGTATGTTGCATCACCTCATCTGGCATGCCGGGTAGTATGACTTCTTCACTGCCAACTGAAATTTTCATAAGCTGTCAGCTATACCAACATAATGAGTGTAAAAAACTTTCGTTTTGAACTTGCTCCCTATATTACCTAATACAGTATTTATTTTATAATAGCATTTATTTTATTTATATTTAAATCATCTAAACCATTACAGATTTATTGGTCAAGTCATTTTCTTGTTCCACTGTTCTGTATCTCATGGGAACCTCTTTTTCCTGTGAGAATCTATAGTCTGATTTTTAATTCGGCGGAATTCTGTCATTTCAGAAATGTCAGCTTTGAAACATTGTCACTAAAAACGGAAAGCATTTTAGCAAAATAAAAAAATAAACCTTTCTTGAATTTGAGGGGTCAATTAGAAAAACTAAGACTTAAAAAATTATTGATAACTCTAAAATGGTAATAATTTTTTTATTATCATATTATCAAAGTTAATAGAATAATTATAAGGAAATTATTTTTCTATTACAGGAATCCCTGTTCAATAATACATAGTTGCAAGCTTTTATTTTGGAAAACCCCTTTGTTTGTAAAATCTTTGCAATTGGCAAAAAGAATTGGAAAGTCCCAAAAAGACAGGTCCACAACAATCATTCACGATCTTTTATTATTGTTTTTGGCAAGAATGCATAAACCATATTATAAAAGAAAAGGATAAAATGTGCCCTCTTAATGATCTGATGGATAGTGTGAGTGATTCTTTTATAATCCGAGTGGATGATGACGACAAGGATGATATAAGTAATAATGATTAGTAAATATTTTCATTTCTTATAAATTTATTTTACTCTGTTTTTTTTTCATTTAACCATTAAAAAAATTTACATAATAGTTAGTGTGCATTGAATGCACAAAACAAAGACTATTTACAATGTCATACATATAGTTTATTTGATCTAATACGGTTTAATATTTTTTGTTATTTTATATTAAAAAAATACAAAGCAGAAAAGGTTTATGATTTCTGAATTGTCAAAGAATGATAGCTGTCATATTTCCATGGAATTAAAAATCAGACTATAGGATACAAAGTATTTATGTCACATTAGTAAGTGCTAACAATAAATAAAGGTTGTGAAATGTGTTATATTTTTCTAATAACATTTTATAGTTTATCTATGTTGTATAATATATTGTATAGTAATTAATATGAAATATATAAAATAATTAACATATTTTAATTTGGCATATATTAATTTATTTGTTAGAAAACAATATAATTTATCATCAAAATACCCACATTCGCTTGATTATCAGTGTTTGAGCTAAATTGTTTTTGAACACTAAACCAGAATTATCTTTCAGAACTTACCCTCCTCCAAATGCTGCATACCAATAACCTGTTCTTCCACTTCTTCATATTGATCATCTGTAATATATTCTTCATATTGACCTGGTTCTATTTCTTCATACTGTAATTAATTCACAGTAATAAAAATGAATTACTTAAAAAATAAATCATGTAATATAATAAAACTTTTTTTACTAAACGGACCTTAACACCAACTTGTTCATCCCCATCAATTTCCACCATATGGGTCCCTATTTCCACTTCACACATTATCTCTTGATTCATCATTTTGAGGCCAGCCTATCTGTAATAAGGAAGAAATTCTATATATAACAAAAATAATTTTATATAGAAAAATAATGTAAAATCATGTTTTACTTTATTATTTACTGTTGTATAACAGTAATATATAATACAATAATTCAACCTATGTTTCCTTCTTATATTATTTCTTTAAAACTTGAATTACTATATTTATTTTACAATTTCTAACTACAATTTATTAATAAGTTCAATCTTCTATTTACTCCTAGCATTATTATAAATTAATATTATTCTGTGGCCTTATATTGTCTATTCAATGTCTTGTCTATATAAAAAAAATACTGTCATTTTTTGTTTATGTTTTAGTAATTGGAATTGTCATGGAAATTAGCAATATTCATTAACGTTAAAAGACATTAATTGAGCTTATTAGTTATTTTTAGAACACAAATAACGGAAAACAGTTGTGGAGTTTGTTGAAGACAACAACGATAAGAATTTAATGCGCGGAGAACATTCGCTGAACTAGTTTCGTTACAAACCAGTGTTGATATCACGTTAGAAGTCAACCTACATGCGTAATTAATTTATAAAGTCTTGTCTTCGTCCCCTCCCATTGCTTTCAAACCACAAATATAGCAAATAAAATTCTAGATCAGAGTCAAAATACATAATTGGTCATAGTAGGTGCGTCCCGACATCCGCAACCGGCCGGGACAAATGAATGATTTTTTTCAGATAATTATATAAAACGACCACGCCAATCTTTCCGTATACTAGCCCTATGTTTCATGACCTTCATTTTCTTGCGTTCTAGAATACACCCCGTACCGTAAATACATAGAAATTTCGAAACACTTGTTACAATGTGTCAAAAAGTATGATTGTTTTCAGTAGAAATAGTTTACCTTTATTTAGCTTATAACAAAAGCTGCACGGCCCCTTGGAGACAAATTTGGACTGCTGCGTAGGCGAGGATTTTTTCCGGGCAATTTTCACTGCAAGCAATGGCACACACTTCAGTGAAAAAAAGTTTGATAATTAGTGCTCAAAAATATTTGAAATTTACGCGAAAATGTTTATAAAATATGTCCGACTAAACATGGCGTCCAAAGATGTCCGACCAATTTCAATATGGCGATGCAAAATGGACGCCCGCTCGTACCGCTGAGACTTCGAAGAAAAAGCAGCAACACATGAAGCCTATAAAAAATATAATTTACAATGTTACCATTATTAAAATTTTAAAGTTTTTATTGAAATGCTGAAATTTGATTGAGAAAATTGAGAGTAAAATATAATAATTTCATATTAGTTACGAAATTGGTGAACTTTAACAGATTGATATAAAAATATGAAAAATATGATAGGTACTTATTCGATAACTTGATTTATATTAGGGGTTTATAGAGAAAGTAAATATTTTTTTTCTTTCTTGAAGTTTTTTAAAAGTTTATCAACAACTCGCGGTTAGTTTTAATCAATGATCGTTAAATATCTAATCGAGTGAGAATTCTTTAACTGCACGAGTTATAATTAAAATATTGCACTGTGAAATTAATTTATATTTTTCTCAATGGATTTATTTTATGACTTAACGAATAATCGAAAGCGCCATCTATCGTTGGGTGCTTGTGTGGACTGTGGAACTGTCACTTGTCAATCCGTTCTCCAGTTTCCACTTCCTGTGGTTATTCAATCTAATATTTTATATTACCCTACTGAATTTTTAAATAAAAATTTTACTTCAATAATGGCTGTGAGGTTGTTGTCAAAAGTTAAGCTCTTACCAGAGCTGAGAGGAGTAGCATATCTCAGTTCAGCCGCAGCACCTGCTCAATTATCCGATTTCGATCTTCAGCACAAAACCCCAGTTATACGAAAGCAAAAACTTATTCCTGTAGCTCAATACGGAGGTCGACATGCCGTTACCATGCTACCTGGTGGAGGAATTGGCCCCGAGTGCATGGGTTACGTCAGAGATATCTTCAAGTAAGTCGTACATTTGTCTAATGCGTATTTGTAATTTGACACAAAAAAGGTCAATTAGAACCTATTGAATTGCTAAAGGAAGATATTTTAAAATGCATCACTGGTTTGAATGAATAAGATACTTTATATATTTGGTCCATGTTTACCATATGCTTATATGTATTTATTTTATTATATATAACATTTTTATACTAACATCTTTTACTTTTTTATTTATCACTTATTTATTTGTCAAACTCATGTGATAATATCATTGACATTTCTTTTAAAATAATTGTGCGAATTCCGTTTTTTTTAAGTTATTAAGAATTATGTAAATCCAAATTACGTAAGAATATTTATATATTCCTTATGCCTTAAAAAGCCTTATGCTTTTATTATGTTAAATGACTTAACCCAAACATTTTTAAAGGTATTCTTATATTATTTATAAATGTACATTTGTAGATTTGTGAAGTATTACTTAAATAAATAATGTTTAATATTTGCCATAACTATTTTTGCCTTGAGAATCTGATTTTCATTAGAAATAAAGAGAGACATAATTTTGTATTACCTATATATTTATTGCTGGTCTAATTTTTATATAAAATTTACAGATATATTGGAGCCCCGGTAGACTTTGAAGTTGTAGACATTGACCCCAATGTGGACAATGATGATGATGTACAATATGCTATCACCACTATCAAGAGAAATGGGGTTGGGCTTAAGGTAAGTTACTTTATTGAATACTTGGTTAAATCTGTTACTAGGTTAGTAGGAATAAAAGATTTTTATGTAGTAAAAGGTATCTTTAATGTTGACCTCAGTAATAAGTTATCACTACATAAAATTAGTTGAAATTCATGATGGCCAATCTCACTAGATATCAGTGGCGAAGGGTGAAATTTTAGCAGAAGTAAGCCGTTTCAAAATATACAATAAAGTAAACAAAAATATATGAAGATTTTTTTTTTCAAATAAATGTCAATAGATGACATTATATGTATATGTCTATTTGTCATTAAAGTTGGGTTAAATTAACAAAAGATAAAAAATAGGTCGGTTCAGTGATAACCCCTCCAGAGATTACCCTGTACAACATCACAAACTCACAAACTTTACCTATTTATAATATTAGTATAGGTTAAGGCAAACTATAGACATAAATAATGCGCTTTCAACATAGTCTTAAACTTGTTCAAATTATTTGCCCATTTGGTGTTTACTAGTAAACATCATGAAAAGTTATGTCAATTGAAATCAAAACAGACTATTTGTGTACCTGAAGCTTAATAATTTCTTAATTTTTACATAATATTTTTATTAAAATAAAAATCATTTTTTTTACAGGGCAACATTGAAACTAAAAGCGAGGCCGCCTACGTGACGTCACGTAACGTAGCCCTCCGTAACGAATTGGATATGTATGCATACGTACTCAACTGCAAGTCATACCCTGGTGTTATAACAAGACATAAGGATATTGATATTGTTATTATTCGGTAAGAGAAAAAATATTATTTAAATTGTAATTAAAGCAAAAAACATCAACATTGTCGGCGACGGAAAACTTATCTTCGAGTAACGTGTGTATTAATATAGGGACAATGTCATTTTAGCGTATTATGAATAATTGTTGTAAATATGAAATCTCATTCTTATTAGATTTATTATGTTAAAATAAGTTCTAATTAGTGTAATAAGGTTAGTTTAGAGTATTTTTTGCTTATTTGAATCATATAAGACTATTTAACATTAATTTGAAAGGAATAGGTACGTAAGTAAAATGTTAGCATATAATTACGTAACTTGAAAATGAGATTTTTTGTTTCTTGCAATAGCATAATAGTTTATGTTTTAAATAATAGATTTTATTATAAAACTTATAATAAAACAAGAATTAGGTCGATAGGACTATCCGTTCAAAAGTTATAAGGGAAAATGTATAGTAAAAATGTAGCAACCTAGAAATTTAGATATTTTTGTTTTAAGACTTTTTTAATTAATTATTATATATTGAATATTATGTTTTAATATTGTATAATAGTATGTAAGGCATGTAAATAAATAAATATGTGTAAGGTGTTTTACTGAAAACATAAAATAAAAGGACTCTCAAGGTTTCGGTTTAGGGAAATTTTATTCGAAAAATGAGCTCAAAGTACGCGGCTCTCTGTAAGGTATTAACGGGCCAAATAAAAGGCGAGCCATTTCTCGATTCGAGTCAGTCGCAAGACAGCCACCGAAGAGGCAACAACTAAAAGGAAAAGGAAGAACCGAAACCAAGAGAGAAAAAAGGAAAAATTGTGTTTTATTTCATCGCCTCTAAGTATAGTCTCCTGTCAACGAAGAAACCCTAGTGGATCGGGACCCAAGCTACGCATTCAGGGGTGCGTGGTGGCGTACATTACCAGCGAACGGACATACTGCCGTGTACGCCAAGAACGTCTGGGAGATTGTCCCAGGTCGACCTCCGGGTACTAGACATACCCTGGTTCTGGTCGTCCGAAACAGTTGGTCCTTCGAGCCGGATCCCTGCTAGAAGAAGTTCAGAAGAAACAGAAGATTGCGTTCAAGATGCCGGTAACCAGGTCGCAGAAGGATGCCCCCTCACGTCCCGGGTCCCGTCCTTCAGATAGGGACGCGACAGATGGAACGTCGGGATCAGAAGGGGTCACGTCAGCGTCGGCGTCATCGGGAACTGCAACTACATCGAACACTTCTTCGGGTACCACGACCACGGAGGGCACCACAGTGACGGAGACTACGGTTACGACTGCAACTACGGCGGCGTCTATGGAAGGCAACAAAGAAGATGCTGCACAGAGGATGACCAGGAAGAGCCAAGAAGATGTACCTGGAAAGGATGTTCAAGGCTCCTCCAAGACCCTGAAACCGATGGGGGTCAGTCGTCGCGCCAGGTCCACGAAGACCACGAGTTCCTCGGCCAGAAGACGCGAGCTAGAAGCAAAGGAAGAGTTGGCACGCCTGGAGTTGAAGCAAGCACAGGCTGAAACTAAGCTAGCCCGTGTCAGATTGGAGATGGCACAGTGTGAAGAAGAGGACTCCGTGGATGAAGACCTGGAAGACAGAACAGCACAGGTGCAGAACTGGATCGAGACGTCCTGTGCTGGAGGATGGCAACAAAGTTCAACCAGAGATGCGAGGTCCACACCCCTTGGAAGAGCCACAGAAGATGAAGCCTGAAGAGAACTCCTCAACGAGAGGAGCTACGATTGAAATTCAAGCACTGACGGCAGCATTGAAGGAAGCTCTTACCACGCGAGGACCAGCAGGACAGCCAACCTACATTCACGAGTTACCCTACTTCGACGGCAACAGCAGCGAGTGGATGGCCTTCAAGGTTGTCTATGAAGATACAGCACCGATGTTCAACAACGTCCAGAATATGGCTCGGCTAAGAAGAGCACTGAAGGGCAACGCAAGAGAAGCTATCAAGAGTCTGCTGTACTCCGAAGCCTCTCCGATGGAAGTGATTCAAGCCCTCAGAAGAAGATATGGAAGACCAGATGCACTGGTGCTGGCAGAGTTGGACAAGGTCAAAACGTTGCCGAAGATTTCTGAAAACCCAAGGGACATATGCCTCTTCGCGAGCCAGATCAGCAACAGCGTAGCGGCAATAAAAGGATTGAAGAAACCACAGTACCTGCATTCACCTGAGATGGTGAAACAAATTATTGAGAAGATGCCTACGATCCTCAAGTTCCGATGGTACGACTTCATTGAAACAACAGAAGAAGGCGAGTTCTCCGACCTAACACTGGTGTCCAAGTTCCTGAACAGAGAAGCAGACAAGTGTGGAGCCTATGCATCAACAGAAGAGAAGAGCGGGTTCAGACGGACTCATCGACAAGCAACGCATTCAACTAAGGAAAAGGACTTCAAAGAAAAGGTTTCAAGATTAGAGAAGACTTGCCCCATGTGTGAGGGTGAACACTTCCTCGTCGGGTGTCAGAAGTTCCTGAAGGCGTCTGTGCAAGATCGATGGGCAATAGTGAAGAAAAGCCGCGTTTGCTTCAAGTGTTTACAAGGGACACATCGGAAGGAGAGCTGCAAGAAGCCGTCGTGCAAGGAATGCAAGAGGTGGCATCATCATCTGCTGCACGTCGAGACAGAGAAAAGTTCCTCGGAAGAACAGAAGAACAAACCACAAGAAGTGGCGAGCATCATGGCATCGGTGAATGCGGTCAACAACGCAAGGGCATACCTGAAGATAATTCCGATAGAAATCTTCGGGTCAAAAGGATCAAAGAAGATATTGGCCCTCATGGATGAAGGGTCAACAGTGTCGCTGCTAGACCAGAAGGTAGCAGAAGAAATCGGCGCTCAAGGAAGAAAGGAGGAACTGGTCATCGAGACTGTTGGAGGCAGGCTGATAAGGAAGGAAGACTCTCAGATGCTGGACCTTACGGTGAAGGGGATTCATCAGAAGACCAAGAAGACCTTGAGAAGAGTCCGGACCATCGAAGAGTTGAAGCTTGCACCGCAGTTCCTAGAAAAGAAAAGGATAGAAGAGTGTCAACACTTGAAGAAGATTGCTGACTCTCTATATTATAAGGGGGAGTCACCACAGCTGCTCATCGGTCAAGACAACTGGGAGCTAATCGTGACTCAAGAAGTAAGAAGAGGGAAACCAGGACAACCAGTCGCTTCAAGAACAGGACTTGGATGGGTGCTCCACGGGTCAGACACTGGAGGCGCGAAAGTGGTGCACTTCTTAAACACGTGTCTACATGTCAGCACGCCAGAAGAAGAGATGCATCAAGCCATCAAGGATCACTTCGCAATCGAAGCACTTGGAGTACTACCAAGAAGACCCACTACGGATTCAGAAGGAAGAGCACTCACCATCCTAGAGAAGACCTGCAGAAGACTAGAAGATGGTCGATTTGAAGCTGGACTTCTATGGAAAAATGAAGATGAACAGATGCCTGAAAGCTACACGTCTGCCAAGAACCGATTGTTCAACATTGAAAAGAAGATAGACAAAGACCCTCAGCTGAAGGCAGAATACAATAAGCAGATCCAGCATCTAATCGACAGCAAGTATGCAGAAGAAGCACCTGGTGGACAAGAAGATTCAAAGAAGACATGGTACCTCCCTCATTTCTCCGTGGTACATCCATTGAAGAAGAAAATAAGGATCGTCTTCGACGCTGCAGCCAAGTCTAAAGGGAGAAGCCTCAACGACGCTTTACTACCGGGACCAGACCTACTGCAATCGCTCTTCGGGGTATTACTGAGGTTCCGGCAAGGCCCGTTTGCAGTGGCAGCCGACATAAAGGAAATGTTCCTGCAAGTTCGCATCCGGCCAGAAGATAGAAACAGCTTGAAGTTCCTGTGGCGAGGGGATCGTCGTGACGTAGCACCGAAGGAGTACAGAATGACATCAGTCATCTTCGGCGCGACATCATCTCCTAGCACAGCGATCTACGTGAAGAACCGGAACGCGGCGGACTACAAGAAGCAGTACCCAGAGGCAGCAAAGGCAATCGAGCTGAACCATTACATGGATGACTACCTGCACAGCTTCCATTCAGAAGAGGACTTCAAGAGAATTACAGCGCAGGTGGACTTCATTCACAAAAAGGCGGGCTTCGAACTCCGAGGATGGGCGTCAAACCACTCCGACCTGCTGCAAGACGTGAAGACTGAGTCAGTTGAGAAGACAGAGGTGGACCTTGGTGAGAAGGAAGAGAAGACACTGGGACTACGCTGGTTTACAGAAAGGGACTCCATAGGCTTTAGGGCGAACCTTCGGAACACGCCAGATGAAGTGGCACAAGGACTCAAGGTACCTACGAAGAGAGAAGTCACCAGCGCCGTGATGTCGACCTTCGATCCACTAGGGCTAGCATCACCAATTCTCATCCAAGGCAAAAGGCTGCTCCAGAACATATGGCGAAGTGGCGTCGGTTGGGATGAAGAGATAGAAGAAAAGGAGTACGAGTCATGGAAGACTTACCTGGAGAAGATGAAGCTGCTCCAAGACCTTCAGATCCCGAGATGTCTGGCACCACGTCGCACCGAGGGGGAGCTGCACACGTTCACGGATGCAAGCGAAATGGCGTATGCAGCTACGGTATATTGGAGAACTGAAAATCAAAATGGGACTTATGACGTCAGCTTAGTAGCAGCAAAAGTAAGAGTCGCTCCGTTGAAGCCGGTGTCAATCCCGAGACTCGAGCTGCAAGCGGCCCTCCTAGGAAGCAGATTGGCACACTCGGTCGAGGAAGAAATGGATCTGAAAATAGAAAAGAAGACGTTTTGGACAGACTCCAGTATCGTGCTATCATGGATCAAGACGGACCCGAGAACCTTCAAGACATTCGTGGCTCATCGCTTGGCGGAGATAGAAGATCTCACAAAACCACAGGACTGGAGATGGGTACCGACGGCGCAGAACCCTGCAGATGATGCAACACGTGACGTACCAGAACACTTCGACTGCCAACACCGATGGTACACCGGACCAGGGTTTCTAAGAAGAGATGAAGTTCACTGGCCTGCGGCAAGAACATTCAAGAAAGAAACCACTGGCGAAGAAAAGGCAGCGGACATCGTAGCGACTGCAGGCAGCTCCTATCCATCACCAGATCCCGAAAAGTTCTCGTCGTGGAAAAGACTTTGGCGAGCTACAGCAAGAGTACTGCAGTTCATACAACTCTGCAGAAGAAAGGAAAAGGTCCACGCCAGCAAAGAAGATCCTACCTGGAAAACTACAAAAAGGAATAAGAAAATTGTTGAGAAGCGACATCTGTCTTCAAAAACGTCAGAAAGGAAATACATACCATTGGAAACAAGTCTACTAGAGCAAGCTGAAACGCTGTTGTTAAGAAGAAGTCAAGAGAAATGCTTCAAAGAGGACATCAGGTGCCTACAGCAAGGAAAACAATTAGAGGGCAGCAGCAAGTTGAAAAGGCTCGACGTAGTGTTAGAAGAAGGTCTCCTGCGACTGAAAGGAAGAATCGACGCGATACGAGGGGTTACCAGAGACTACAAACGACCCATCGTACTCGACAGCAAGGACAAGACAACACTTCTCATCATAGAAGAATTTCACTGCCGCTTCAATCACGGGAATCACGCGACCGTAATGAACGAAGTAAGACAACGCTTCTGGGTGCTAGGACTGAGGTCAGCGATCAAGACCATTCAACATCAATGCCAGTGGTGCAAAACAAGAAAGGCAAGACCTCAAGAACTACCAGTGGGCAACTTACCTGCTGAGAGGCTGATGCACGGAAAACCCTCCATTTACGTGCACGGGAATAGATTACTTCGGCCCTATGACGATCACCGTAGCAAGACGCCATGAGAAGAGATGGGGTGCTCTATTCACATGCTTAACAACACGAGCTGTACACATTGAGCTCACTCCTTCACTCTCCACTGACAGCATGATCATGGCACTACGACGATTCGCCGCGAGAAGGGGAATGCCAAAGATAATCTACACCGACAATGGCACTAACTTCGTTGGCGCCAACAAAGAACTCAAAGAAGCACTAGACACCATGAAGCAAGAAGACCTTATCTCGGAAGCGGAGAAGATCGGTGTGCAGTGGAAGTTCATACCTCCTGGTGCACCAAACATGGGAGGTGCATGGGAGCGTCTGGTGCGATCCATTAAAACCGCACTGGACGCCACGCTCAACGAAAGGCAACCACGAGAGGAGGTACTTCATACCCTCCTGTTAGAGGCCGAGCACATAGTCAACTCTCGGCCCCTCACCCACCTCTCCGAGAACCCTGAAGAAGAAGCACTTACACCGAACCACTTTCTCATCGGGCGATCATGTGGCGCAGCAAGAATCGGCAGCTTCGAGGACAACGAGCTTGTGGGCAGACACACCTGGAAGGCTACGCAGCGACTTGCCGATCACTTCTGGCAACGTTGGCTGAGAAAGTATTTGCCCACTCTACTACCAAGGAAGACCAAAGGAAGAGTCAGCGCCACAGATTTGCAAGTCGGAGACATCGTACTGATCGTCGATCACAGCCTACCAAGATGCATCTGGCCACGCGGAAGAATCCTGCATGTGTATCCTGGACCAGACGGGCGGACCAGAGTCGTCGACGTCGAGACCAGAGGAGGTGTCCTACGGAGGCCCAGTTCGAGAGTGGTGCTGTTGGTGCCGGGAGCGTCGCCGAGTCCAGGAGTTGGTGCAAAGCACGAGGGGGAGAATGTCGGCGACGGAAAACTTATCTTCGAGTAACGTGTGTATTAATATAGGGACAATGTCATTTTAGCGTATTATGAATAATTGTTGTAAATATGAAATCTCATTCTTATTAGATTTATTATGTTAAAATAAGTTCTAATTAGTGTAATAAGGTTAGTTTAGAGTATTTTTTGCTTATTTGAATCATATAAGACTATTTAACATTAATTTGAAAGGAATAGGTACGTAAGTAAAATGTTAGCATATAATTACGTAACTTGAAAATGAGATTTTTTGTTTCTTGCAATAGCATAATAGTTTATGTTTTAAATAATAGATTTTATTATAAAACTTATAATAAAACAAGAATTAGGTCGATAGGACTATCCGTTCAAAAGTTATAAGGGAAAATGTATAGTAAAAATGTAGCAACCTAGAAATTTAGATATTTTTGTTTTAAGACTTTTTTAATTAATTATTATATATTGAATATTATGTTTTAATATTGTATAATAGTATGTAAGGCATGTAAATAAATAAATATGTGTAAGGTGTTTTACTGAAAACATAAAATAAAAGGACTCTCAAGGTTTCGGTTTAGGGAAATTTTATTCGAAAAATGAGCTCAAAGTACGCGGCTCTCTGTAAGGTATTAACGGGCCAAATAAAAGGCGAGCCATTTCTCGATTCGAGTCAGTCGCAAGACAGCCACCGAAGAGGCAACAACTAAAAGGAAAAGGAAGAACCGAAACCAAGAGAGAAAAAAGGAAAAATTGTGTTTTATTTCATCGCCTCTAAGTATAGTCTCCTGTCAACGAAGAAACCCTAGTGGATCGGGACCCAAGCTACGCATTCAGGGGTGCGTGGTGGCGTACATTACCAGCGAACGGACATACTGCCGTGTACGCCAAGAACGTCTGGGAGATTGTCCCAGGTCGACCTCCGGGTACTAGACATACCCTGGTTCTGGTCGTCCGAAACAAACATAATAAAATATACTGATAGTATAAAATAACAATACTGTATAAAATAATAATACTGTTACTGTTACTTTTAATTTTAACACCTCCAGGTAAATTTAAAAAAAAAAATTTTTTTAAGAAATCTATTGTTAACTGACACGCCGGCGTGTCCGCGGTCGTGGGGGATTAATGAGACAAGATATCTCTGAATAAATAATTATATAGACCGAGTCCACCAAAACAAACTTCAAAGGCAAAAAAAAGTAATGGGATTTGCTGTCTGTGCTACTATTCTCGCTTTTACTTTTCAGATTGTTGTATTAGTTGTTAATTTACAATTTTTGGAAAAATCTATACATATAATAAAATTCTGAGTCGAATCTGTACATCAAATATTTTTTGGAAATTCTTATTGAAATAGTCATTATTATCGGTACAGAGGCCGAATCTATAGTTTTTAGAATTTTTGTCTGTCTGTTTTGTAATCATTACATCCCTGACTTCACAGGCAAAACACAGAAGGCGAATACGCCATGTTAGAACATGAGTCAGTGCAAGGTGTCATTGAGTCCATGAAAGTGGTCACAGCGAGTAACTCTGAGAGGGTTGCCAGGTTCGCGTTTGAGTTCGCCAAGAGGAATGGTAGAAAGAAGGTGAGGTTATATTATACATTCTGTACAACCTTTTTTTTCATATATACAAAAAGACATTTCAATTTTATTTATCGAGTTATTCAAGTTGTTTGCTTCAGCTTCCTATAAAAAGCTTGGGATTTTTTTTATTTCTCCTGTTCTCTATGAAACTTAAGTCGCATTTTTTTCCTGTCCCAATAATGATTTTGTAAAGGATGTGTATTCATATTTTGCATATACATGATAGAAACTTGGGTTATATTTTCATTTTTTCTGTTTTCTACAGAATTTTATTTTAATTAGGCTATTTTTTTATCCCGTCTCACATAGAAAGCTAGGGCTAAAAAATCTTTCTTCTACCTTTTACAAAAAGCTTGTTATAAACTTTCATTTGTCCTGCTTCCTATAAAAAAATGAGCTTTATTTTAATTTGTTCAGAAAGCTCGGGTCATTTGATTTTCTGACATGCAACTATTTATAATATGTATGTATTTAAAGCTATATATGTGTAGTGTATCAACTATCTGGTATCCATAACACAAGCCTCGTAGCTTACCATGGAACTAGATGGTGTTGTGTGTTAATGCCCTAACATATTTTTTTTATTTTTTTTTTATTTTAACTGGTGGGTCTCTATCACTTAGGTTTTGTTTTACTCCTAGTTGACCTGACATACTATAGTTCTTCTGTCTCAATGTAAAAAAATATTTGCAAAATTGTAAATCTCATTTAAATATTCTATACAATCATTCTAATCAAAAAAGCACTTTCAGTTTCACCCGAACAACACAAATTTTCCGCCATTTACAGCATTTCATTTTTATTTATATAGAAGATATTTACATATTAAGTGGTAGTCCAGTAACGCGCTCGCTTGATAAACTGGTTCAAATCCCGCGTCTCGCACCTCTGATATTCTCATGTGGAAATATGATCACCACGTTGTCTTATAGTGAAGAAAATCATAGTGAGGAAACCTGCATTTCTGAGAGAATCTAGTTAATTTTTGAAAGACATACATAGTCCGCCCGCACTTGGCCAGTGTATAGAAGTGCTGTCCCACGCCAGGCCGTGGCAAGTTAAAAAGCGTGCTGAATAAAAAATATAAAGAGGAAAGATTTGATTTTTTGTTTGTTTGTTTGTACCGAATAGGCTCTGAAACTACTGAACCGATTTAAATGAAATTTGGCAAGAAGATAGTTTGGAGACCCTGCAAAGGACGTAGGATAGTTTTAATCCCGGAAATCATCCCTTAAGGGGGTGAAAATGGGGATGAAAGTTTCTATGGGGAATTAACCTAGTATAATATAATAAACGTAGAAAAATAATTTAATTCCAGGTAACGACAGTCCATAAAGCTAACATAATGAAGTTATCCGACGGTCTTTTCCTAGAGACGTCCCGTCGCATGGCGGAGGAATACCCTGAAATAGAACACAACGATATGATCATTGACAACTGCTGTATGCAGCTTGTGGCAAGGTGAGTGACGATTTAATTTTTTTGCTCGGAACTCTAATTATTTTTTGAAAATAAAAGTGGCCTAAGTTACTCCTTATAACATCAGCTATCTGCCAGTGAATGTCCCGTCAAAATCGGTCGAGCCATTTTGGAGATAAGCCTGAACAAACACGCAGATTGACAAAATTTTTAAGTTGTTTTTCTTTTTCTTATAAGTAAAAATATATGGTATGGTAAAAAGAATATATATGTAGTATATTCTGACGCTTGCGAATCATTTCCAATATAATTACCACTTGTTTTACGGTGAAGGAATGTTTTCCTGTCATGTCTGTGAGAACCTAGCAAGTTGTCGAAAGACATGCTCAGTCCGCCCGCACTTGGCCAGCGTGGTGGACTATGGTCCGATCCCCCTCCTATTGAAGGGAGGCCCACGCCCAGCAGTGGGACGTTCGAAAGGGTTGTTATTATTAACAATAATTTTTAATTCCAGACCACACCAGTTTGACGTGATGCTAATGACCAATCTGTACGGATCGATTGTGTCCAACGTAGTGTGTGGCCTATTGGGAGGTGCCGGCTTGCTCTCAGGAAGGAATTATGGAGACCATTATGCTGTGTTTGAGCCCGGTACCAGGAATACGGGTGAGTTGTTGGGCTATTTAATACCTATATATATCCAATTTCGTGGCGTGATTTTTCGTTTCGAGATAGTTGGAGCGCTGGAGAGTGACATAGGCTACTTTTTACCGCGGGAGATTATCTAATTCCCACGGGAAAACACGTTATAATACAATCCAAAAAATATTTATGATTAGAATTACTTGAAACTTGGTATTATTGCTCTTCAATAAAATTAAATAAATACGTATTTAAGCATTTTTCGAAATTCGTCCTATAATAAGGATGTAAAATAGGGGATGAAAATTTGCATGAAACTACCTTTTTAAAGCTTTTTTTGTAGTTTTTAGTGTGTATTAGGCCATGCTATTGAATCTCTTGACCGATTGCCTCGATGGTCCAGTGTCTTTGGTTTTAGTTTAGTTATTGAGTATTTTTTTAAGAAATTCTCAGTAACGGCCTGGTGTTGAGTAGGGTGGTGATTCACCCCCGTGCCTCGCAGAGCACGTAAAGCCGTCGGTCCGGCGCCGACACTCTAACCGGTCGTGTCGAGTAGTCGTCCCACCGGAGTGTGAGAGTGAGAGGAACAGAGAGCGCGCGTCGTCTGTCTCCCTCGCACGCTGCACTATAATATCTCTTGCAGTTGGCTAGTCTAAGTGAGATTGGCCGCCGTGGACAGACCGGTCGGGAGGACATTATATGTATAATTTAAGCTTTACAGCATTCGAAGCGTCGGAAACCAAAAATTAAAAAAAAAAAAACGCGAAAAAATCCGAAAAGATAGTTTTATTTAAAATTACACATATAAACTTTCACGATTATATTAGAAAGCCAGTTCAAATTTCTAATAACCAAACCTCATAATTTCAGGCACAGCCATAGCCGGCAAGAATGTAGCGAACCCCATAGCGATGATCAACGCTTCGGTTGACATGTTGGAACATCTCGGTCACCATTTCCATGCTGATCTCCTCAGACGTGCAATCAACAAGACTGTGAATGTTGACAGGGTCCTGACAACCGATGTGGGTGGAACAGCCTCCTCGACGGATGTGGTGAACAGCATCATGGGTAATATTGGACGTTGTTAATTGGTTCATTGTGTTGATCGTTCATTTTATAGATTGTTTTGTTTTAGCAATTTGTTTCGAAGAATTTGGCCTAAGTATTCTTTTTTTATCTGTGTTTTTTTATATGTATGTATGTATATATACATTTGTTGCCAATAGCAAGAATATTTTGTTATATATTTTAGTATTTTGATACACATTAGTATTAACTAACAGTATATTAACTTTTGTTGTATTTAAACTTGGGCCATTTTTGACGACTTCATATACAGGCTGATGTTTTATGTATATACATTAAATAAAATTTGACAATTATGTATTTAGCCTGTTATACATTTTGAGATAATTTTAATTGTAGTGACTTACATTGCTTTATATTTTTACGCTATGAAATTTACAGTCTCGTCCAAGCCTTATTAGAATATATTTACTATATATGATGAAATTTTTTCCAAACAACTTTTTTCTTCTCTATATATTTTAAATCTAAGGAATGAAACAGATTTGACTTTCATTCAACGCACAAAAGTCTTTTGACATAAATTATTTCGTCAATTTAATTAATAATCTCGAGTGTTGCAACTTGACAAATCTTTAAATCTCCTCTATTATACTAATATTGCAGATAAAAAAACCTATTAACCTTTACAATTTGTTATATAGTCAATAATTATTAAAAAAAAATCTTACTTAAGTATCTTGGTGAAATAAGAATTTATTTCATTGCCATATTATATTATTCAGTATTTCATTACTATTTCAGTAAAACTTTCTTTAGTGTTGCCAAATGTATTTATAAGAAACTCCTTGTATGTTACTCCGACTGAAACATTCATTTAAGAATCGATTCTTACAGAAAAATCGATTTTAATTAAAAAAAAAGTTTGAGTGTAGCCGAGTATCATATAAAACTAGTAAAATTTTATTTATTAATACCATATACGAAAAAGTTTTTCAATAAGTCTAACAAAAAAATTTATACGAAATTCTATTCCAAAACTGACTTGTAAAAAGTTATTTACATACTTATGCAATATGTTGTTTACAAAACTTTTTTATTTACGCCTTTTGCTTTCATTATAAATTATTAAATGTCATAACTTTTTTTAATCTATATCTTCTTGTATCTTATAATAATAGAAATAATGTACATAATCTGTATTTATTATGTTAGATAATTTTGTTGAAAAAATCCAATAACGAAGTTACCCGAGTATTACATTATTTATTTTAGTTTGTAATAAATGCCAAGATTGTAGTTTGTTGTTTTATTTAATTTTTATTTTTTTTTAAATTAAAATCCTTTCATATTTGTAATATTATTAAAAAATATAGTAAAATAGTTGTTTTATTTAGTAATATAGATAAATAGAGCAGTAAGTGATGTATTTCCTATTGCTAATATATTCTTATCATTAAAGCTGATGGTTGCTTCTAATGATATAGAAACATGAGTTTTTCATTTTAGTTTTCAGAGGAAAAGTGGCCTAATCCACAATTTTCAAATTATTTTATGTGTTAAGACTAAAATAGGTACGAACTAGACTTGGTTTTTAACCGACTTCCAAAAACGAGGTTCTATGTTCTTCTGTATGTTTGTTTTTTTTTGGACGTAGTTGTTATTTTGTATTTATTAATGTATAATAGATATAATAGTGCTTTAGAGATAATAAAATAGTTAAATTGAAAATGTAATCGTCATAGATTTATTTTATTATATTATCACGACTAACGCAAAAGTGGCATAACCCAAACATTTGGATATTACTATAGAAATGTTTAAATCCTTACCAGTATATTAAGTGCTGGCGACTCACCCTCGCTTCGCTCGGTTCGTCCCTATCTTGTTTCCCAATACCACTTTCATCCCCATTTTCACCCCTTTAAAGGATGATTTCCGGTATAAAAACTATCCTATGTCCTTCCCAGGGTCTGAAACTATCTTCTTACCAAATTTCATCTAAATCGGTTCAGTAGATCCAGAGATTACCCCCTACAACGTCACAAACTCACATTTTTACACTTTATAATATTAGTAAAGACTAAAAACCTTAAATTTGAAATTATATGATATTTTTTTTTTTTGCTATTATAAACTTATTTTAATTTTTCATGTTACGGAATCCTCGGTGTGTGAGTCAGACTTTCACGTGTTCGAATTTGTTTACATTTTTTTTAAATACGTGTATTAGCGAGAGGTGCTGCGGAATTAACTAGCCAGTCAATATTTTTAATCAAAAAAGTTTCGCTAGGCCACTTTTGTGCTGATTTAACATAAATCTAACGTTATATTCAACGTTCGATTACTGATTTAAATGTGTGTGTTCAGACCTTTCTAACGTCCCACTGCTGGGTGTGGGTCTTCCTTTAATACGAGGGGGATCAGGTCATAGTCCACCACGCTGGCCAAGTGCGGGCGGACTGAGTATGTCTTTCGAAAACTTACTAAGTTGTCTCAAACGTGCAGGTTCCCTCACGATGTTTTTCTTCACCGTAAGACAAGTGGTTATCATGTTGGAAATTATTCGCACATGAAAATATCAGAGGTGCGAGACCCGGGATATGAACCCGCTTCACACGGTTTTCCAATCGAGAGCATTACCACTGGGCTACCACTGCATTCTTTGATTTGAACGTGCTTGTAAAATTCTATATGAACAAAGATTATTTATTGTTTTATCATGAAAATTGTTAAGGGTTCGAGTCCCGATAGAAGTAATGTTTAATGTGTACCAAAACTTACAATACAATAAAAACTTAATTAGCAAAACTTACAAACGTGTGTATTTTTGTTTAATTTTTTTTGCAGAAAATATTGTGCCGGTTGCTAAGGAGAAAAATGTCCTCGTTGTATAAAATTATTAAGTTATTAATTGTTTAAATTTACTATTATAATTAAAAAATATATTTAATTTTAATTAGAAAACATACAAAAAATGTTAATTCTGCTATATCTATTTAAAAAATTGTACGTATTACCTATATACATCTTAGTTGAAAAAAAAACAACTATAAAATGCTCTAATTTTCATACGAGTAAATATAAAATATACTTTATTGTCATAATATTTATCTAGTGGCTGTTGTAATAATAATGTCCTCCCGACCGGTGTCAGCCGGCAGCCAATCTCATTGAGACTAGCTCACTGCAGGAGATATTATAATGCCGCGTTCGAGGCAGAGAGACACGATATACTTTTTCTGTCCCTTTCACTCTCATACTGCAATGGGACGGCACTCGACACTCGCGGTGAGTGACGGCGCAGGACTAATGGCTTTACGTGCTGTCTCCGCGTGAGGGAGATAGACACACGACATACTGTCTCTGTCCCTCTCACTCTCAAACTTTGATGGGACGATAAGATCAGGGGCAGGACTGTCGACTCGGCACGAATGTGAAACTCCGCCAACTCCGGGCTGCCACTGAGAATATCTTTACAAATACTTAATAACTGAACTTGTCCCGACGCAGGATTCGAACCCTGGACTCTCGGATTTGCAGTCGTACGCTAAGCCACTACAACACCGAGACATGTTGTAGTCATAATAACTAAGGCTTGAATTGAATTTAACATTATAAACTGGATAATGACTTTTATTATAAACAATTCAATCTGCGACTTGCCGATACAGAGATATGTAGTGCTCTTACTCTACTTATAATAAAATTAAATTAGTTTTAATATTATTTTTTAAGAGTTAAAATAATCGTTTAATACGAGGAAAAGCTTTTGTGTCCGTCTGTCTGTCTAAATATAACTCTTGAGCTCACGCTATATAGGTACAGAAAGTGTTTTCTGGTAGAAATCTCAATGACTTTGCAAATGGATAAATATTTTTAAACTTATTAATAAAGTTTTATAAATGAATGAATAAAGTCCTTACCAATGTCCGGTGACGGCGACCAATCTCACTGAGAGCATAGTGTCGCATGTGAGGGAGAGCGCACACTAGCACTCTCTGTCTCTTTCACTCTCATACTCTGAATACACCTAAACACCGAATACTATTCAATTATTAACAGATAAACCAAATAATACAAAAATAAATCCAAAAATGGTTGGACAGATATCAATAATAAAAAAGTAAATAGTGATATTTAGACATATTATTCGGCCGAGCATCGCTCGGCGCTTTCTGAAAAAATTAAAAAATGCCTTTTTTTCCAGAAAAAACTTTATCGTAGATATACTTACAAATCAACTTTATCTAAATATAAAATTTGATCCAAATCGTTAGAGCCGTTTCCGAGAAGACACATTTGGCAGTATCCCTAGTTTATGTGCCAGCGGTCGGGGGTCGAGTTTCGCTGGGAGCATTCATTTGTGTGATGAGCACGAATGTTTGTACTCCAGTCATGGGTGTTTATATTATCTGGTGTCCATAACACAAGCCTCGTTGCTTACCATGGAACTAGATGGTGCTGTGTGTTAATGTCCCAACATATTTATTTATATTATTATATATACAAGAATTGCCCGTTTAATATAATATGTCTATAGTATATGTACGTATAAAAGTGTAATATAGAGATTAGCAACTTACCTTTACACTTAGAAATTAGTATATGGCAATGTTCACATATAAGTAGATGTTTATTATTATTACTTAGAAGAATTCGTTACGAACCTTGTTTTTGGAAATAAATTATTTCTTTAAAACTTATTAATAACGTTCAATTTATAACATTACTAAATCCACTTTATTATAATATGTATGTATATTTATTTTAGACTTAGGTTGTTTCACCATACAAACTTTTATCCCCATTTTCACCCCCTTTCCCCAATTCCGGCATAAAAACTATCCTATGTCCTTTCCAGGGTCTCAAACTATCTTCTTACCAAATTTCATCTAAATCAGTTCAGTAGCTCCAAAGATTACCCACTAATCTTACAAACTCACTAACTTTACCTCTTTATAATATTAGTATAGATAAAAGGGTGTAATAAAACAAAAAAATGGGGTATTTAAAGATATATTGATACATTGTATTGTTCACATCAGATTGGATATGACATCAAGTGCGCGCTCATCGCATAACTACACTTATAATAATATAATTAAATTTAATTAATTAATTAAAAAAAGTCAATAAGTCCATTAATAAAAAAAATTAAGTAGAAAATAAATGCGGCATTACAGCTTCACGGTTTTTAATTTCATCTGTGATTTTGACGCCAGATTATGGCAACACTGGCTTTTAGTAGGAAATTGTAGTTTTTAATATCAATCATATAAAATAACGTTTATAAAATTATTGGTATAAATAATAATCTGTCAATCAAAGCCAGTGTTGCCATCCCCTTGATGAGATGTCAAAATTTTTTGCAGGGTTTCGAGACTTTAGTTTCTCTAGAAATTATTGCACAATAAACTCTGACATACTAAGGGTCTTCGCGGGTTTTACAGGCACAAAAATCAGATCAAATGAAATAATTGAAATAAATATATAAATTATATATGTTGAGTCGTATATAATATATTTTATTTAAGAATTTAACAAGGTTAAGACTAGAAAAGCAAAAATAATTAAATAAAATTAATTCATTTTAATCATATATATGTTTGAATTTATTGATAAATGTGAATTGATCATTATATGGGGGCCATAATATTTAAAATGGCTATCAAGAATTATTTATATAATTTTCTATCTAATTATTTTACTTTAAGCTGACATAATATTTAAGACAATATTTTATACGACTCAATACAACACACAAATATAAAGGCAAGAAATAGAGATTCAATTTTTTTAAACATTTATCTACGCATTTGGCCTTTTATCTAAGCACCAATTTTGGCATTGCTTTCAATAAATACAACCAAAATAGAAAACTGTTTGAGAAATTTCAAAATATAATTCCTCTGCTGTCAAAAAATATAGTATTATCTGTGGCTTAAATAAACCTTAAATATTTACAAATATTATCAATCTGTAACATTTTATTTTGTGAAATAAAAAAAAATACTTTCTTCATTCTAAACTTTATCGAAAAATATAACAATCTGTAGAAAAATGAAATTGATTTTTTTTACTAAGTTCCAAAAACATTTTTTTTTGTTATACAAATAAGGTAATAAATAGAACATATTATAAATATTTTAGGCGGAAAAGTTAAAATATGTCAAAAATAACAGCAGAGGCGTTTCACAGATTAAAAATAAATAACACTCGGCTCTGCCGAGACATAAAATAATACTATTTATTCCTTTTGAGATCGTCCTAGGATCAGTCTATACGAAGTCTACAATATTTGGACGTCAGTTAGTGATTTATTTTTAGGAACAACATTTATTTACTAAAAATATTAAATATTCAACAGGACCGCCATTGTTTTTTAAATATGGCAATCCGAATCGAGACGGACATTTTTATTTATATATTAATATAATTATTAAAGTTTTTTTGTGTTAATTTTGAATATACATATATATAATTCAAGTATAAATCACTATCTGTCGCCGAGTGAACTAGATAAATCGCATCACAGTAAGGCGTGGACCACACACGCCGTAACGAATAAAATTTAAAAAATGTTTAAAAAACCTAAAATTAAACCGCTTACAGGGTAAACTATACACAATGGCATCATCATCACAGATGTATATAAAAACTTACTAAAATTATAATTTAAAATCACAGGTGTCAGAACGCTTAAAAATATACGGACGCTAAAAAAAAACGCGACATTTTTGTGACGTTTTAGCGTACCCTTCACACACTGTATGTCAACCGCGCGAGTCCTTCTATCCCTACAACTTTGAACACATATTTTCATTCCTATACAGTAATATGACGTCATAGCTTCGCAAATAATACTGAGCCGTCTCAAAGAGAGCTTAAAATTAAACATAACCAAACTAAATTGACTCAAACCACACTGTACAAACTCATATAAATAATCAGTACATGAAAAAGCGGTTAAAAAAATCGTCGCTTTTTGCGATTCACGCGCGTCTACACTAACACTACACGCGCGCCCCCCGCACGCGCCGACACGAACGCGCTTTTGGGACAAAAACGCATAACACAATACCCACGTCAATGGGCGAAATTCACTATCCCTACAACTGGTGATGCGATACAAATCGCGCGTTTTTGTTGTAACTTTGCTAAAAACGCGTCCGTTTTGACGGTGAGTGTGCATGCGCCTTAGCTGTATGCGTTCGATCGAGGGCTGTTCACACACGCGCGTCGGCAGCACGCGGGGGCGCGCGGGGCTCTTGGGGGGTCTTGGGGGGCGGGGGGTCACGGGGCATTCGGGAGGTGTCGGGGGGCAACTAGGGGGTGCGAGGGGTCGGGGGTCGGCGGCGGGACGCGGGTCCGCTTTTTCACCGTACTGACGTGGTTTTAATGGTTAAGGGCAATGCTGTTTTTTTGGCTTTTTTAAATGCTCCTCGTCGATACCGGACTTCGGCACCTGGGGGGTGGAATTTTATTTGTTATAGCACACAAACATACATAATAAATATAATAGTTCAACATATATGTGTGTTCATTAAAATATTAATTAAAATGCTTAAAATTAAATATTCATGCATATATAGGGTTCGATTCTCGCTTTTTTATTATTAAAAATATATAGATACAGCAGCGCATTAAAAACCTCCCTTTTTAAAGTCGGTTAATAAAAGCAATGTTAATGAAAAAGACATCATCAAAACATAGCGATTTAAAAAGTGCGCGGGTAACTTTATTGACGTTAACCCCATGATTTTAAAGCATCTTTAATATCGATCAAAAAAAAATCAATTATAAAAAAATTACTTTCCGATTCTCCAGAATTTCTCCAAAAAAATTGCCTAATGGTTCCAATAGGTACTGAATAAATGTGTTTACCACCGTACAACATTACATTTTTATGATATATATATATATATTTAAATCGCTCACCTCAGTATACCGCTCGCCCTTAAGAGAAACAATCTTGTTATCTCTATAGCGTACCATTTTCTTGGGTTCGATTTTCGGTGCCAAAGGCTTATGCTCCTTCGTGTCCGAATTCTTATCAACGTAGGAATATCTGGAATATATTTATTTAAGCCTAAAAACAATAATAATATACTTAATGAGAACTTGACTTTTAAAAATATGCGTGCGATGTGTTTTTCTAAATTGTAAACTTGTTCTTCCATTGTAGGTGTTGTTTTTGTTTTATATTTATAGTAGCTGGGCGACTGGAGGTTTTGGGAGTTTTGGCCAAAAGTACAATTTTCTTTATTTTTTTTTAAACTAAAAATTTGAATAAATAGTTAGAAAAAAAAAACAAAAGTTGTAGGTGACTTATAACATAATATATTTAATATATAAATATGATAAATTAAATATATTATGTTATAAGAAGAAAAACTTTGTATTCGACCGGGATTTGAATCCAGACACCACCCCGATCACGATGCTTATGCCCGAGCGTGCGGTATTAGTGACCAATTTTGCGTGGAATAATGCGAAAGAAAACCGCACGAAAACTGGAAAACACGCACTTTCTCAGACATAAGACTAATCTAGATCGATTTTTCGCCCTGCGAAAACCCTCATATACCAACATTTCAGCGAAAAATTTAAGCCGTTTCTGAGATCGCCGGTAAATAGTATAAATAAAGGTATTAGGTTAGATACGAAAGAGTAAATTCAAGAAGAATACAGCTAAATTGAAAAACTATTAAAATTATTTAGGTTATCTGAATATTATTGGAATTTTTCCTTTACAAAACTTAAGACCAATATTTTTGATTAGCAATTTACTCTCGCTTCGCTCGGGTTCGTCCTTACGTTTTAATTTTTATGAGCGAAACCCTAATTCTTTTTGTAAAATAAAAGTAGCATATGTTACTTCCTATAACATCAGCTATCTACCAGCGAAAGTCCCGTCAAAGTCAGTCCAGCCGTTTCAGAGATTATCCGGAACAAACAGACAAAAAATTTAAAAATTGTGTTTTTCTTATAAGTACCGTATATAATTTCATACGCAATTTAGTAAAAACGCTGTTATTTTGACATTACAAACAGACACTTCAATTTTATTTATCAGTATAGATGTATATGTAACAAAATGTCAATCAAAAACAAAATATGTGCGCGCGTGTATAAGTGTATGTATGTGTATTGGCATGTGTGTACATTGCGGCACCTCGCGATGACGCGCGTCTCGTCTCTATACATTACACAACAAAATGTCAATCGACAGTAAAAACAAAACGCGCGCGCGCGTTTGCATACGTACACGTGTACGTGTGTGTGCGTGTGTGTGTGTGTGTGTGTGTGTGCGTGTGCGTGTGTGCGTGTACCTGGCGATGATGCGCGTCTTGAGCTCGCGGTCGTCGCAGGGCGGCGCGCGCGCGGCGGCGTGCAGCGCGGCGGGCGCCAGCGCCTGGCCGTGCTCGCGCCGGTGCAGCAGCGTGGCGGCCGCGCGCTCCGCGTCGCCGCACGCGATCGACACGCAGTGCTTTATCTGCATCCCCGTACGACACGACACACGATACACACACGTATAATAAACTAGCGTTGCCCGCGGCTCCGCCCGCGTTCAGGTGAAAAAAATTAAATTCTTAAGTTTTATATATTAGTATACTTTTACATTGCAGTTTTTTGTATTTTTTTTCTCAAAAATGAGACATTTTCCCGCGGTAAAATTATCCTATTTGTTGACCCGGATAACCAGCTATCACCAAACCGAATTTCATTAAAATCCCTCCAGTGGTTTTTCCGTGATGCAGTAACAGACAGACAAACACACAAAAATTCTAAAAACTATAGATTTGGCCTCTATATCGATAATAATGTTTATTTCAATAAGATTTTCTAAACAATATTTAATGAAGAGATTCGGCTTAGTTACAATTTTATTCTATGTATAGATAAATAAAAATAAAAAAGTCTTTTGTTTCACTAATAATAATTAATCAACTAATACATTACACTTTTTTTTGCTTATAATAAATTATTATTTTATATTCTATAAATATATACACACATATATAGAATAATCAGCGGCTCCCAAATGGTAGTCCGCAGAACTCTAGGCTTTCATGGAAGAATCATAGGAATTCCGAGTTTTGTCTGAAGTTAGTGAGTTAAATAAAACATTTTCAGACACTAAGCCTAATTTAGTGCTGTTATAAATAAATATGAAAAAAAAATCATTGATCACATTAATTATTTAGTCGAATCGGTAATAGTGTTAAAGTTAAGTGATAGTGTATATATCATAGTGCAATTGAGTTTAGACATAGTTATAGTGTAACTGAGTTATTCTATTCTAGACAAGGCTCAGACACCCATTCAATTTTTAAACCTGTTTTGGTTATTGACCGCAAACCGAAAAGCTTTTTGGTTTATGGTTTCTAATTTAGGTTCCATGCTCGAAATTAACCGGTTAAAATGGTTTTTTGTGCGTTTACAATTAGAGGATCTTTGATAATGGTGAATTGCTTAATAGAAGGATATATGTACGTTTCATACTTATGAATGAATTAACCGGCTTATTTCGGTATCGAAACCGAAATCCATCCTTTCTCTAAGAATAACCGTTAACCATTAATATTTCGGTTTACTAAACCGTTCGTTTTTGAACGAGCGATGAATTAACCATTACAATACCGAAATTAACCGTTTTTTTTAAACCGGTTTCGAGCCCTGAGAACAAATAATTTAATAATTAAAACAATGTTTAGGGTCAATGACCAAAACCGGTTTAAAAATTGTACGGGTTTCCGAGCCCTGATTATTTTTTACAATTAATGAAACGAAATAAACTTTATTCAGTTAGACTTATTATAAGCACTTTTGAATTTTAAATAAAACTATCTTTTCGGATTATTTCGCGGATTTATTTTGATTTTTGGTTCCCGACGTTTCGAATGCTTTACAGCATCCATGGTCACGGGATATCCATGTCATGGGTAATCCGAAAAGATAGTTTTATTTAATAATGTCAAACATTCGCGTAAATCTAAGAAAGCACTTTGAATTGTCAATTAATTTAAAGGTAGTGTAGTCAGTCTGTGAGGAAGCTGCCACCGGCTCGGAAAGCGGTTCTGCTGAGAAAAGCCCGAGAGAAACTCAACAGTTGCTCTTTTAAATATTATCGAATTACATTTTTATTGACTTGTATTAACATAACATACATAAAAAGCCCGCATAAAAGTCCAATACATCTCAAATAGAATTGTATATTTGTGTAGAACTGAGTTATTACAGAATGTCAATGTCAAAAATTTGCAGTAGCGTGTTTTGTTGTTTATGCTAATATTCTCGATTTTTCCATACATATCGTTTACTTCCTTCAAAGAATATGGAAAATTCACACATACACACACAAACAGACACACAAAACCAACCTCCATAGCACAAGTGTTTGGGAACATCTCGTGCAGCGCGCGACACTGCTCCGCGTACTCTTCTCCGTCGAAGAAACAGCGACGCTCGCGTTCCGTAGCACTCTCCGAACTCTCCGAGTTGGAGTGAGAACTGAAAACAATTAGTTTAGTACTTTAAAATTTGGTAAAAAAAAAATAATCTAGCGCGAATTGGACTCAGTTACCTCATATAATAATAACGTGTTCTTTTTTGAATAAAACTATCTTTTCGGATTATTTCGCGAATTTACACTGATTTTTGGTTCCCGACGTTTCGAATGCTGTACAGCAATCATGACATTCTCTTCCGTGACCATGATTGCTGTAAAGCATTCGAAACGTCGGGAACCAAAAATCAAAATCAATCCGCGAAATAAAGCGAAAAGATAGTTTTATTTAAAATGCCCAATATTCGCGTAAATCTAAGAAAGTATTATTTATTTTTTCATTAAGAGTGGATTTTTTCACGACATTGTCTGAATAATGCAGGTTGATACAAGTTTAAGATTATTATTTTTTTAATATTAGGTGAAAAAAAATTACTTAATTTATGGTAAGGTATGGTAAGCCTTACTTACTCTTTTAGGAGACAACAATTTTTCTCCGAAAATTAGGAATTTCAGGAACACTGAAAGTACTTTTTTTCAGTTAAGCAGTCAGTTTGTTCCGGATAACCTCTGAAACGGCTGGACCGATTTTGACGAGACTTTCACTGGCAGATGGCAGATGATACAAGGAGTAACTTAGGCTACTTTTATGTAAGAAAAAGAATTTCGCACAAAAAAATTAAAATCCATGAAATTGTGAAGAAAATCCGCTTACCTAGAACTCATCCACTAAAAAAATTGAGTCGACTTAAAAACAACTTACCGATTGGCCTTAGTGATGGATGGCAACATTTCACTCAGGCTCTGAAGAGTGATGCTAATTTTGTCACTTCCTGCAGAATCATCTGTAAAATTTATTATTTTTTATGAACAACATTTACTGAAATTATGGAGATTTTATTTATTTTCAGCTTTACTAAGCATTGGTAACGCTCGATTGGAAAACCGAGTGACGCGGATTCAAATCCCGGGTCTCGCACCTCTGATATTCTCATGTGCGAATCATTTCCAACATGATTACCACTTGTCTTACGGTGAAGGAAAACATTGTGAAGAAACTTGCATCATGAATGGTCTGAGACATTTTAAGTAGTTTTCTGAGGACATGTGAAGTTCGCCCAGATTTGGTTAGTTTTTTTTTGTGGGGACGTTAACACACTGCACCATCTAGTTCTATGGTAGGCTACGAGGCCTGTGTTATCGATACCAGATAGTTGATACACTACACATATATACAACTTTAAATACGTACACGTTATAAATATAAACACCCATGAATCGAGTAAAAACATTCGCGCTCAACACACAAGTAATGCCCCCAGCGGGACTCGAACCCGCGATCGCTGGCACTGCAAGTAGGGTCACTACAAACTGAGCCAAACGCTTATTGTATTTGATCTGTTCATTGAGAGAAAGCCTGTGAGTCAACGAACCTTTAAAAGGCTAAATTAATTATTATTAAGGCCGTCCATTCATCCTATTTATTATAGGCTATAAAATGTTTTTTTTATGGTATTCAGTGACAAACGAGCAGGCAGCCCATCTGATGGAAAGCGGTACCTGTCGCCTATAACACCTACTGTTCATGCACTTAGGTTTTATGTTACAAAAATACAGAACCGCAGGTGCGTTGTCACTGTGAGGACTGAGATGATATGCCTCTTGCCTGTAATTGCGCTGGCTACCTTATCCTTCAAACCGGAACACAACAATGCAATCATTGTTGCTTGGCGGGAGAAATTGATAAGGGGGTGGTACCCATCCAGTCGGGCTCCTCAGGCTTGACAGAGTCCTTCCACCGGTAAATAGATATTTTCTTAGAACTTAGAACGTTTCGAATGCTTTACAGCAAACATGGTCACGGAAAAGACTATGGTTTAGGACATCTCAAAAGTTATAGTTATTACAATAGTTAATTATTATATACTATATTATTATTAAAGAATTCGAAAAAAAAAACATTTTACTTAAAATGTCAAATATTCACGTAAATCTAAGAAAGTATTAAAAAAACATCAATCTATGGCTTTTTAATTTATGCATTAGTAAAAATATCTTGGTATATAAGTCGTCTTACCATGATTAGACATCGTATCGGACTCGTCCTGTCGAGACAACTCTGCTTCCAACTCCAAAACCCAGGAGCAGACTAGCCCAGGATCGATACTCGCAAACTTCGGTATGTATGCCGCCATCATTTCTATGAAACCTGTATATTGAAACTTATTGGAGAGAACATAATAGTATGTATGTATTTAGCCCTTTGAAACGTCCCACTGCTGAGCACGGACCTCCCCTATTTAAAAATTCCAATAGGATCTCATCAAAAGCGACATAATCCACATTGAAGCCGATAAATATTTATTGGTTTCTATGTAGCTTTTGTCACTTTTGATGAGATCCTATTGGAGTTTTTCAATAGGGTCTCTTCAATGTGAGGGGGATCAGGCCATAGTCCACCACGCTGGCCAAGTGCGGGTTGGCACAGACACAGAGCATAATTATTGTATTGCAATATTATAGAATAGCGAGTCACCCGCGTTTCGCACGGGTTAATCCCTAGAAAATAGGTACCCTAGTATTTTTAATACTTAGTATGGAGTAGATGGACTATGTAAAAAAATATATATTTAAAATATATTACATAATTAGGTATGATGAAATTCAAAATTCAAAAATTCCAAATATTTTATTCAGCATTAAAATCTATTGTTTATATCTACTTTTTGTATATTTCTTTGTGGTGTACAATAAAGCATCTATCTATCTAAATTCTTACATTTTTTTACTGAACTGTCTACTACGAGTTCGGAAAGAAGAAGCCTCAGACCTGAGAAGAACTGGCGAAAGAAACTCAGCGGGACTAATATTAACTTGTTATCTTTTTTTTAAGTAAAATTATACTTTACAATATTTCTATCAAGTTGAAGTAGCCTGGAGACGATCATTTCATTCCCAAGGTGTGCGTGCCATCTTCTATAAAATCATTTATTGTATAATAGCCTTTAGTACACAAACATTCTTTAACAATTTTTTTTAATTTGGCGATAGTTGAGTTTTATCAAGCGCGGATCCGGGGGGGGGGGGTCATGGGGGTCATGACCCCCCCCCCCAAAGCCAAATATACTTTTTAGAGAAGTTTGAAGTCTAAGAAAGGAAGGAATAAACGGATAACATTTCGATTTAAAAAAAATGGTTATTATATGTATTTTGAAGGTTATATTCCCCTAGTTTCATGAATATCAAAAAGTTTTTGCAGAAATCTATATACATATAATAAAATTGTAACTAAGTCGAATCTGTACATTAAACATTTTTTGGAAAATCTAATTGAAATAGACATTATTATCGATATAGGGTCCGAATCTATAGTTTTTAGAATTTTTGTCTGTCTGTCAAAGACATCCAACAACCCCCCCAAAATTTAACTCTGGATCCACGCCTGAGTTTTATATTCCTTACTTGAGAAATGGTTGATTCCCCATACAAACTTCAATCTCCCTTTTCACCATCTTAAAGGATGATTTCCGGGATAAAAATCCTATGTCCTTCCCAGGGTCTCAACTATCCATACCAAATTTCATTAAAATCGGTTCAGCGGATTAAGCGTGAAAAGGTAACAAACAGACAGGCAGTCATTTTCGCATTAATAATTAGTGTAGATTTGAAATGAGTAACTGTTGAGTTTCTTTTGGGCTCTTCTCAGCAGAACTGCCTTCCGAGTCGGTATTTTGTTCAGTACCAGCCCTAAGCCTTCATAGAATAGAGCGAGATTTTCTTTCAGCACCCATTGGTCGACGCTTTCACATAACATAAATTGTATTTTTAACCGACTTCCAAAAAAGAGGAGGTTCTCAATTCGTCAGTATCTTTTTTTTTCATGTATGTTCACCGATTACTCGAAGACGCCTGAACCGCTTTGGAAATATTTTTTTGTTTCAAAAGATATACTTCTTAGGTGGTCCCATTTAAATTTTATAGAAATCAGTCGATCGGTTTTTTTTAAATCAACAATAAATTCTTTTTTAAAATTGTTTAATCAAATGTTATTAAAACTTTCTTCTTACAAATTATTTGCTTATTATGTCTGCACTAACAATAGAAAAAGAAAAACTTAAAAAAAACGACTTCCAGGCACTAAAATGTAAAAAATAACTAAACGGAGGTTTTCATTTAGAATAGATACCTAATCAGATATTTTCGAAGTCGGTGCCAGCCAATGCAAAGGAAATCTAAAATATTTTGATACGTAAAATACATATTTACCTATTAGATATTCATATCAAATTTCATCAAAATCTGTCTAGTTATTTTCTCGTGATGCATTCCCCGACAAACAGAGAGATAGATAGTCAGACAACAATTCTAAAAACTTGGATTAGATTCTAGGGCTTAGAGAATAAGTAACAGAAGAGTACAAATATATTAAAGATAGATGTTGACCGTTTCTGATTGGAACAGAATTATAAGCAAATTAAAGATATTAGAAGTTTGATTCACCATCTCAATAAAGTAATTTTATGTGATATTTGTATCTATTTTTTATTTTGTATATAGTTTCAATTTCAAGAATCATTTCTAACATGACTACCACATGTTTTAAGGTGGATAAAAACATGAGCAATCTGCATGTCTGAAAGAACCTAGCAAGTTTTCGAAAGACATGTGAAGTCCCAACCCCACATGCCCAGCGTGGTGGACTATGACCATATCCCCCTCATATTGAAGGGAGGCTTATGCCCAGCAATGGGACTTTAAAAAGGGCTGAATAAGTTACAATTTTAAAGTGTAATTTTGTAGTTTTAATTGAAGATCTTTGATGAGGGCTGGTTCTAGAAATATCTATGTATATTATAAATATTTTTGTTGAATTATTATCATTTGGTTTATAATATAATAATACTATTTTTATTTTTAATATGTGAAAGGCAAGTTGGAAGAACATATGTACAGCAACAATTTTTCCCTACAAAAGTACTTTTTGAAATTAAGGATCTATCAACTGTAGACTATAGTGATACTAATACATATGGTATTTATACTTAAGATTTCCAGTGTTGATTAAGTATACTTAAAAAATATATTTAAATTATATTTTATTCATATTATTATTTATACATTGTTTCAATAGTTTATGATGATTAATAAATATCTGAAAATAATATTTAATTTAGAAAATCTTTGAAGTTTAATTAATATTGAATTATAAGTAAGATAAAAATAATTTAAATCTTTTAAATTGTTTAATTTTGAATAATAAACATTATTAGTTATTTAGAGATCATTTATAATATAATTTATATTTATTTATTCTAATTAGATGTTGTTGTTGTATTATTTAAATAATTAATATATTAGTTTAAACAAAAAAATAAGTACAGTTGTTTATGCCACATGATAGCTTTGTTAATATTATTACCTTCTACATCAAAGCAAGGATCCTGGGAGGCTTCTTCGAGGATAGAAATCACATATGAGAGTACTATGTCGTCGATTAAAGAGACATCCGCAGAAGGGATGTGTTTCTTAATAAACTGAAATAAACTCTCCTTAACTTGACACTTTTGCTGCGCTATGGCACTCATTCTACCTTAAAATAACAAATATTTTACTTGAAATTTGTTAAAACCTTATGAATACAACAATACAAAACCAAAGTTCTTTATATGCGTTACGCGTCGATTAACAAAGCGAAATGAATGCGTACTACTTTATTTATACAGCTATTAGGTGAAACTGAATACCTTTTAGTTATTCTTTATAATAAATTGATGTTTTATTAATAAATTAATTGATTTTCACTAGTAAAAACTTAGAAGTAAGAAAAGCGACGGAAAATCAATACAAATGGTGATTTTTTATAAACAACTCTTATTATTTTTATATATGGCAAGGACAACGTATGTTAATCCTGATTTATTACCTACATTAAAAGAAAATTTAAAATTAAACATACAAATAATAAGTATTTTGTTTGTATATATATATTGAAATATTTAATATTCACATTATTTTTTGCATTATGTTTTTGGGTTTTCTAATAAGTTGAGTTTTGAACGTTAAAAATGTATGACGTTCTAGTGTCAAATACAAAATTAGCGGTTTTTTGCAACGGTACACTCGTGTACATTTGGTTAAAAACTTTGTCATTTTATTTTATTTTGTCCGAGTATTAAAAAAAAATATCAATTAATTTTTTTAGGAATAACTATTTATCATGATTGGCAGTATTACAATATAAAATGATGTTGAGTAAATTATAATTGATATTTACTTATATGTATTTCATTTTAGTTATTTTTTTAGACTTGTTAATTATGTGAATATGAATGAAATTATTATTTAAATAAAGACAAAAATGTATTTCAAACATGTGACCATTGACTTTTACCTAAATCATTACTAGGGGCTATGATCCTTATTGCATTCGGGTGCATTTCTGGGTGCCTAAAAGTAGCATATGTATTGCTTTATCCTTGCAATTATACCAAGTTAAAATATAAATTACGTTCTGTAACGGTAATCGCCTACTATTCAAAACACACATTTGAAAACACTAAACTATGATTGAGAAAATATATCTTCAAAGCAGGTTTTTATTTATTGATTATTATATTTCTAAGCTAGTAAAAACACACAATAATTGTATATTTAATTATTTTTCATTGTATCTTACTACCTTATTAAAAACGCACGCACGTCGCACGTAACTTCACGTTTTTTTTAATAAAATACAGGTAAAAATCCCAAATACAAAGCCAAAGATTTAAAAATAATTTTATGAGACAATTATTGAATTTGAACACTAAAAAATAAAAGACTTGATTCTACTTGTGATCTTAATATTTTTTATGATGATCCTTACGCTTAGGAAATAAATTAGCCACGATTTTAAACATACACTACCTACACCTATTGAAGGGAGAAAAATTAAACACACATTGTAATTTTCTATTCATATATGTTCAATTAAAATTTTAAAATATAACGAATAATTATATTTTATTTTCTTATTTTTATCTAAAATAAGATAAACACAACGCCCAAATCACAACTACATGTTTTAGATAACAGTAATAATATATCTTTAAGGGCAGGTTCAGTAGTTCATAAAAACTAGAGTCAAGAGTGAAAATCTAAAATCAAAGTAAATAAAAAAAATTAGAAAACAATATTCTTAGAGATCTATTTTAAGATTATACAAAAATAGTCCAAAATGGCACAACTTAATAGGAAGGAACTTTCTTAAAATAATACCATCACAATTTGTTAGAGCTCATGAAATAATTCTATTTAAAGTGCATACTACAACTAAGAGAGTGAGAAATATAGAAGAACTGGAATTTATATATTTAATAAATATAATTGTTTCAAGTAAGTTTAATACAAAAACAACATAAATGGATCAAGTGAAAGTTAGAAGTTGAAGCAAATAACAATGACATATGTACGTCACACATACAAACGCGCACGCGCGCGCAAAGTTGATTAATTAAAACTTTGAAATCTATCAGATTCATGTGTATTTGGACTAAATAAAAACCATAAACAAAAAAAAACGTGGAAATTGTATCTAGTTACTACAATTTATTTCACTAGATTATTATTTATAATAAATAATAAATTATTCTTAGACTGATTAAGACGAATAACCTACGCATTCTAAGGCCTAATAATTAGGGTAACAAATAATATGATTAAATTTGTTAAGATTTTAAACAAATTAAGACAGAACGATGATTTTAAATAAATGGGATATTACAAATAAGAAAAATGTGCTTAAAATTTTCAATTCATTTGTTACTTGAATTATTTTGCAGTTTTTCTCACGAAATCATCTTAACGGGAAATATATATTACTTATTTAAGAAATAATTTTAAGATAGTATATGAAGATTTGTAATATTTGTAATAGGTATATTTTTTACAAGAATAAATTAAATTTAATATTGTTTGCTATCTAGGTCTTAACATTAATTAGTATTCACTTTAAATTGCTTTTTAATATAATTTATATTTAAGAATATCTTTGTAATCGCATTTACTATATAAAATACATATATATTAACAGATATAATAATTCAAACACATTAAATTATTGTAAAACTATGAGCTAACATAAATAATAAATATGTGACAGATTGCGGACATATTGCTCCATACATAATAGAATACTACAAGACTTACTTACAACCACATAGATTTTTCTCATACATACATAAAAAACATATATATATTTTACAATATTGAATAACCAATGTGAAAAGATGAAATTTTGAAATTCATATATATAAATATACTATAGTATTATTTCTATTTATAATATTTGTTGTATATCTAATTTTTATTTATTTTTAATTCTGCTATTTTTAGTAGTTAATTTTTTTTTTCATTTTTTTAGTGATTTTTATTTAATTAGATTCGCCTAAAAGTGATTTCTAAACCAGTGCTTGTAACTATTCTCATTTATATGACGTGTTCATATTTATTATAGCGTAATTGACCACAAGAGTAATTTGGCAGTTTGTGGTTTCTTTAATTTGTCATTTTTATTTTTATTATTATATATTACTATGTTTTCTGAAATATGTCCATCTCAAACAGTTTACCAATATTTAAAATAATATTTTTATTCAACGAGCATTATTTAAGTAAAGCATTTCAATAATCGGAAATTCCACTTATTACCGGGTCACAACTACAAAAAATACTTGCAACAAATTTTTATCACGATACAAGCGTATTATAATTTCTTAAAATCAATAAATATGTATGTAATTTACAAACATTTATACATATCTTATAATAAACCATGTATACGATAGTACATTTATAATATCCGACATAAAAATTCTTAAAAACAAAAATAATAAAGTTACCATCTGCTGAATAGGTTTGTAATTACTTCAGTAGAGGGTCATACAAGTATAATAAAGCGTTTTATTTTTATTTTTAATATATATCATATTTAAACATTCATTTAAGTATGAATCTCAGATATGGACATTTCTTTCTCTTAATATAAATAATGTTTTGCGTCTTTATATCACTTTTCGTATTAATATTAGATCTATTTCCCTTGATAGATATATAGAGAGATCACTGCTCTCTATGCATTGTCTGATCGAGACAATACTTGCTATCGTATTTTTTTATTAACCCAGAGCAATAACTTCACTAGACCGATATAAATATCTGTAGGAATACAAACATTTATCCCATACTTTGTCGTTTTCAAACTTCGTCTTGTATTATAACTACACATGCATTTAATTATAACAACAATGACGATAAAAATCGAAATATTACCTTATTATTACTAAATCATAGTAAATATTTAACACTTTTGTTTGTGACTATACCTTATGTCAAAATGACAGTTAATCACGTGTGCGTATGTTTTGATAAGTTTTTAGTTTAATTTTGTATTATAACGAGTTAAAAAGAATGAAAAGGTTATTATGTAAATACACTTTTAAATAAAAAAACACTTCAAGTGTTTTTTAAATAAACTTTTGAAATAAAATCACATAAATAACTAAATTTTACATTATTCTTATTAATTTTATGAATCAAACAACAGTTCATAACAGATATAGTTCTTTCTATGCTTATTTAGGTTTTAATATAATAGAATATAGTATGAATACTTTCTAGAATATTTTGATAAATTATTAAATTGACCGATAACAGTGCCATAAATATATTTTTTATTGCACATCCTTCAGTTCAATTCCAGTCTATATTAGCTATAGATTTATTAAAGAAAATCTAATAAATAACTAAATGAAAATTTAAAACACTAAAATTCTCGCCATTGAAAATAATAGCTTAATAACATATATGTCCAGAACACAACAAGAAAAAAAAGACCTGTGCAAGAATCTAACTCATGATCTTAAAATTCAGTTATTTGAATATGACAAAAAAATCAAGCAAATTATTGTAAAATAAACTATAGAATAAGATATAGAGTTTAAAATTATACGCTGGACGTCGCTTGTTGGCTGCTATGGTCAGACAGAACTGAGTTGAGGTCAGACTCGCGCAAAGTTGGTGGTGTTCCGAAGGGGAAGTCCTGGAAAATGTTAATTTGGACCAGTCACCTTTTTTATATAGTTTTAATTATTTTCAAAAATATTTATGGAAACTTATAACATTTGAATTACTATTACAGATCTCGGACGAACAAAATCAAAATTAATTTAAGGGTTTTTAGACTATAGGTATTCCTATAAATATTTACAACTTGCGGTGGCATTTCCGTAAAAATCAAAGGAGATCTTTTTTGTTACTGTATGTATGTTAATACTGTACATATACTCATAACTAGTGACTAAGTGATGGCAGGCAGCGTGAGCACGAGGGAAGGATAATTTCGCGGCATTTTCTTTAAAATCAAAACCCTATCTCAAAGAATCCTATTCTTTATTGTTTGTATTTTGTTTTGAACATGAGACGCATCACAATCCTTTGTCTAAACTAATCGTCAAAACGAAGTAAAATATTTTGTATACAATGCAAAAGATGTCAATAGTGAGCTTTAGAAGCCCACTCTCGTAAGGTTGCGTTACTGTACGTTTAATCTGCACATATAGTTAATTTCATTCATTTATTTATTCATTCACCCATTCATCCGTCCATCCATTGTTCCCATCCACGTATACTCACAACCTGCGAGGGCAGACTGCGCGGCGCGGGCGGCGCGGGCGGCGGCTGGCGCGGCGCGCGCGGCGACGCGCACTCCGCGCACTCCGCGCCCGCGCCCGCGCCCGCGCCCCGCGTCGAGCGCCGCGACCACGACTCCGGCATGCAGCTGGAAGGTTTGTCATAATCGGACTATTACTATTATTAAAGACTAGCGACTCACCACGCTTCCCTCTGGTTCATCCCTAGCTTGCTTCCCAATACCAACTTTCATCCCCATTTTCACACCCTTAAGGGATGATTTCCGGGATAAAAATCCTATACCCTTCCCAGTATCTCAATCTATCGTCTTACCATATTTCATCTAAATCGGCTCAGTAGAACCCCTACAACGTCACAAACTCACAAACTTTACCTCTTTACAATATTTGTATAGACTAGCATTGCCCGCGGGTTCGCCCGCGTTTAGATGACCAATAACCAAATTCTTAGACTTTATATATTAATATACTCTTATATTGCAGTTTTTGTATTTTTTTTCAGAAACAAGACATTTTCCCGTGGTAAAAAGTATCCTATATGTTGTCCCGGGTAACCAGCTACCATCATACCAAATTTCATTAAAATTCCTCCAGTGGTTTTCCCGTGATGCGGTAACAGACAGACAGACAAATTTTTTAAAAACTATAGATTCGGGCCCTGTATCGATAATAATGTCTATTTCAATAAGATTTTCCAAAAAAATTTGATGTACAGATTCGGCTTAGTTACAATTTTATTATATGTATAGATAGATTATGTATCTATGATTGTATAATAAATAGTATTTTACTTTTTAATATGTATGTATGTATGTTTGCATGCACTCACGCGTGGTGCACGATGTGCGCGCACGGCAGCGAGGCGAGCGGCTCGGCGCGCTCGGCCAGCGGCTCGCGGCAGCGCGCGCACGCGGGCGCGGCCCACGCGCCGGCCGCGCGCCGCTGCCGCGCCGCCGCGCTGTTGTCGCCCAGCGCCGTGTAGATGTCGGACAGGCGCAGCCGCACGCGCCGCACCAGCATCTGCGGCGGCCGGGGGAGTGATCGAACAAAATTCGGAGAGTGGAGAAAAAAACTCTCTAACATTTTCTTTATTTTTCAAAAATTGAAATCATTTATAAATTATTATATTTTGCATTTTGCAAAAAATTAATAATTAAAAAAATACTTTATCAAAACCTTATCCATTTTATGCAAAATTTCGATAATAGAGTGGCATTTTTTAATATGCCCAGGGGCGGCGTTAAGGTTGAACCCGGCCCTGCCGGATACTTGTTTAATCGGATACCGGATATCGGACGTATGGCCGGATGGTCGATTATCTGAGTACCTAGCATCTTATCAAATGATATGTCCCGACAAGTTTAGCACCACACTTTTATTACGTATGTGATCAGAGGCATTCAAGTGTTAGAGTGTTTTAGTCATTAACGAAATTAATTTTTTACTAACTCAACTTTGCAACTCCAATATATAATTAGTGACCGGTTAACTCGAACCTCGTATCCACACTAATCAAAATTTGCCAGAGTGTACATACTATATGAGGTCCACCCCCAGCACTGACCCATTAATAAGCGTTGAATACATACATACAAAATCTCACCTTAGAACCAACAGACGTGGCGACTTCCAACAACCTAGTGTTAAACTCTAAAGGTCGACAGTTACAGATGCGTCCCTGCAACCGTAGAGCTTCCAAACATCGAGCCGCTCCATCCATCGCCTCCATTTGAGCTAAACGATCCCCCAGAGACTGTCCCGCGCCCATTGCTACTTCGTAATGCCTGTTGGTTATTATAAATAAATAAGAATTTTAATTTTAAATAAAACTATCTTTTCGGATTTTTTTGCGGAATTATTTTATTTATATACAGTGGACTGTCTGTAACAACTATGTAATGATCTTTAAGATGTCTAAAACCTAAGTTTCTGACGTGACCATGATAGCTGTAAAGTGTAAAGCATACGAGATAACGAAGATGATAGCTAAAATTTATTTTAACTCAGAATATGCAAAAGAACACAATTGGTCCTTCGAGCCGCTGCCTTGCTTTGCTTTCTGCGTTAATTACAAATAATCAAAAAAGGCGACCAGTTATTTAGCCAATTTTGAACGGTTTCCATATTTGTTTAACCATTTTTAAATCATTAAACGAACGGATATCTGTGTTGGATAATAATTAGATATAACACTTTGTGTTTTAGAATAACAGTGCAATTTTAATGTCATTTTAAAATTAAAACGACTCTAGTTCTAATCTTATTAATAGATGGCGCAATCTAACAACAATAAGACAAGCAATAGTAGAATTATGTATATGAAAACAAAACATACCTAAGAGCTTTTCCATAATCACATTTCCTTCTGTACACGTCCCCTGCTATCCTCATGGCGCGCGCGTAACAGCCTTGGTCTCCTGCCACCGCCGCAAGTCGGAGCGCTTCCTAAAATGTAAAAAATATTTAATTTAATAGAATATTTACTAATATTATAAAGAGGTAAAGTTTGTGAGTTTGTGAGTTTGTGAATTTGTGAGTTTGTGACTATGTAGGGGGTAATCTCTGGATTTACTGAACCGATTTTGATGAAATTTTTAAGAAGATTGTTTGAGACCTTGCAAAGGACATAGGATACTTTTTATCCCGGAAAACATCCCTTAAGGGGGTGAAAATGAGGGTGAAAGTATGTATGGGGAATCAATCTAGGGACGAACTTGATTGTGAAGTCAACTTCGGCAGACCTACCGTAGGGGCGTCGTGGTTGAGTGCGTGATCCTGCGACGCCCCATTAAGACCGGGAAGTTCTGTTGGGTTTTAGTGGGTAGTACTGCCAGTATAGCCAGTGAGTCCCACATTACTACCTGTATGTCTACAGGTGGTATGTGTAAATACATTACCCAACGTTAAAACGTGTATGGATGGATGAACTCGTAGGTTTAATGTATTAAACATTGTGTCTACATACCGGTTAAACGCATAACCTTATTTTGGGATTCGCTGCAAACAAGAAGATTAGTACCATGGATGGGCTTTATTTGTGTCCCATTTTGTTAGACTTACTGGTGGAAAATGGAACAAAATAAATATCACAGAAAGATACGTTCTATCACATTATTTTGTAAAAAAAACGTGTTTCGATATCAGCTCGATGTCGTCAAAAATAATTATTGTAGTTTAATTTACCATAGGGTCAAAATGGACTTATTATGTGAAAAGAGTATAGAAGGTAATAGCTATTAGAAGGAAGTAGAAGAAGTAAATATGTTATGGGGAGTTCACAAAGCATGAGATAAGAAGAGAAAGTAGAAGAGTAATAAGAATAAAAATCAACTACTCACATTACAATAATCATGGGCATCCCCCAGCTCCCCGCGCGCGCGCAAGGCGGCCGCCATTTGCAACAGCGCCGTGCGGTGGTGCCTCGTGTTGAGGTCGGCGGCGCGCGGGCCGCGGCCGAGGTCGCACGCGCGCGCCGCGCACGCCACCGCGCGCTCCGTGTCGCGCAGCCGGCCGCCACAGCTCTGACAGACCTACGTACACCTGTTCGGGGATGGAATTTTAGATAATCACTATTATTATATTAAAAACAAAGTCCTCCGACGCGTATGTCTGTCCGTTCGAGATAAACACAAAAACTACTATACCGATTTTCATGCTGTTTTCACTAATGGATAGAGTGGTTCTCGAGGAAGGTTTAAGTATATAATTTGTTAAGTTTTGGAATATATTGGCTATACATTTGTTGGAGGTGTCGGAAAAAAATAAGCCGTTTAGGAGCTTTTAACGAAAACGCTGGCTAAACCCTTTGAGATATAACAAAATAATGTATGGTGAAATTGTGTATCATTCCTTAAGGGGGTAAAAATGGGGATGAAAGTTTGTATTGGGAAGCAAGCTAGAGACGAAACCGAGCGAAGTAAATCGCTAGTAAATAAAACAAGTAAGTAAGTTTATGTGTTTGTATGTTTGTTACTTCTTAATGCCGAATTGCTGAACGTTTTTAGATGTACATACATTGTTCATAGACTATTTAGAGTAATTTAAAGGCGTAGTAAGTATAAGTGTGATTTTGAAGGAACTATCATTACCATGTTACGGAATAATGCTATTAATTATTATGAAATTGTTATCGCTTATCCATTAATAATCTTTGAAAAGTAAGACCTACACAATCTAAGAATTTTCATAAGACTTTACAGGACATCACGACAAATTGTAAATGTAAGACTGTTTACTGGATATTATATGCGAATAAGAAAGAAACAAACATATAATTATTCTTATTTAATATGTCATTAATGTCAACAAGAAAAAACACGATATTGTTTATGTTATCATCATATATATGTACTATACCTATATAAAATTATGTAACAAATATGTACCTGTAACAGAAGCGTATTATCATTCTGTCCCTGCGCCACAGCCAATGCCTTCTGAAAACCGTCCATTGCCTTTGAAAAAGCGCCAAGTTCGAGACTGACAGCCGCCACGGTGAGGTGCACGCAGCCGGCCGTCGAGCCGCCGCCGCAATCGTTGTATAAGGCGTGACGTGCGTATGAGAGAGCCCTAGAAAATATTGTGATACCACAGTTTGAAAATATTGATAAGAATAATTGATTTTAGCGGAAATGCTACCAAATTCTACAGTTGTCAATAATACTAATTTTTTCAAGTAAAAGCACTGTGTTAACTTGTGGCAACCCTAATATCATTTCCCGAGTGTCATATAAAAGTAAGTATGGTAGTCGGGTGCGCCTCCCACGATACATCCTATATACCCCGCACGATTTTCCACAGCTTTGTTAGACAATTGTATGGATTAGTAGTCTGTGGTAGTAGTAACATGGAGTCTCATCATGAACATAGAAATAATAGTTAAAAAAAATGTCAATAGATACCATAATGTTTCGATTTATTATTCAACTAGCGGCTCACCCTCGCTTCGCTCGGGTTCACCTCTAGAAAAATACTAATAGAAATCTATTAGTTCCCACGAGAACCGTTCATTTTTCCGGGATAAAAAGTAACCTGTTATTTGACCGGCAATATAAGGTATCAGAATGTTAAATTTTACTAAATTAGGTGCATAAGTTGTTATGTACTAAGCTGTATAAGATACTATAGTTTTTTAACTATCCCACGAGAACTCTTTCATTTTCTGGGATAAAAAGTATCTAAGATGTTGCTCGAGGGTATAAGGTACCACCATGCAAAATCTCATTTAAATCGGTCCAATAAATTCGGAGATTAGCCCGTACAAACAGACAAACACATAGAGAAACAAAAAAAAAATGAAAAAAATCTGGATTTGTTCTATTTGTCTTCTTACATCCCCTTGACTCCGTTCTTAGCATTTTTTTGCTATGTACAGACATTCGACCTCTACTGTTTTATTATAGTATAGATTAAAACTAATACCTGACAATTCAATTTCTTTGCTATTGGCATTTAAACGTGACAATTCTACCCCAACTTCGCCGATGTCATGAAGAATAAACAGAAACTGTTGGGGATAGATAGGTTATATATAGACATGGTTTACAGCAATACCTGTCAAGTCCACCCAAGGTCTGATGAGCGCGCGCCAAGTTGAGATAGGCTTCAGCTCGCATCGGAGCCGAGTCCAGCTCCTCAGAGATACCGAGTTGGCGATTGGCAAATTCTAGAGATTCCCTGTAATTATATACCATATATATAATAATATATCTCTAATATTGAAGGGAGATCTGTGCTCAACAGTGGGACGTTAGAAATTGCTAAATACATACAATACAATTCATACATACAAGGACCAAACACCATTTTAGTAACCAAGTCAGTTTTCCTAGCCTAGTCTAGGCTCCTAGGGCTCAGATTGTAGTACTTGAATATAGGTGGTTTATATAACCTATTTATTTTGTCCAGAATCTATTTTTATATTTATAAAAATCACTTGATTCGGGTGATGGTAACCTAATAATAATGTTCTCGCTTTAAAAACCAAGTGTAAAACCAAGTGTAACCAAATTCAAAACCAGGGTTTCGCACCCTTTTATTTTTCATGTGCAAATCATTTTTAAGATGATTAGGTGCCACTCACCATTTTATGAAGCGTTGCTATCTTTGGCTAGTCCTCCTCATTGAGGGTTATGAGGCCTAATAATTATATTATTACTATTTCGGACCTATACTAAAATACATTCAGTAATTCTTAAGATTTAAGTAAGGCAGAATCTGGAAGTGCAATAAATACTTTAAATTTAGATGAATTACTTATCAGTGTCCATCTGTGCATTGGATATTTTGAGATATAATATCTAAGAGCAACTCAATCGAAGATATCTGACAACTTTACACCCAAGCAAAGCCAGTACAGCTCACTCGTTATTAACAAAAACGTCAAAAAAAATTAAGAATTGTAATAGTACCTATATTTCCCAAAGTCCATGTAAGCCTGGTACAGATGTCCGAGCAAGGCGAACTTGTCGCTGCGGTGTCGCACGCCCCGGAGCGCTGACAGCCACACCTTGACAGCCAGACGTTGTTCGTTCTGGCCGTACAGGCGTACTCCACGTTCGATCTTTGAAAATTATTACAATATTTTTAGTCTTCTAAAGAAGCCCTAAATTTAGAAAAAAAAAGAATTAAAATTCTTATTTTATTTTTCTAAATTTGGGGCGCACTATTATACCATTATATTTAGATAGAAAATACTTATTAGTTACAATATAATGCCCTAAAGTGGTCACGTTTCTGAGACATTTGACGGTAAGGGTACACATAATATGATAACGATGACAATAGTAAAAAATGAACGAAAAGTTATTAATTTGATAATGGAAACATCAACAATGTTGATATTATTTGTTTAACTGTCCATTATCCATTTGATGATGATGATGATGTTCTCCTAGCCGATTCCGGCTATGGCGGCCAATCTCATTGAGACTAGCCAACTGCGCAGGAGATATTATAGTTCAGCGCGTGTGAGAGAGCGCAGACACAACGTGCACTCTCTATTCCTGACACTCTCATACTCCGGTGGGACGACTGCTCGACACGACCGGTGAGACTTAAGGCGCAGGACCGACGGATTTACGTGCTCTCCGAGGCACGGGGTGAAACACCGCCAACTTCCCAACTCCGGGCTGTTACTGAGACTTACTATACAGAAAGACTTAATAACTAAACTTGGCCCAACCCGGGACTCGAACCCAGGACCTCCGAGTGTGCAGCCGTACATGCTAGCCACTACACCACCGAGGCAGTTGATCCATTTATACCAGTTTCATCGTGTACTTTGAAAATAATAATTAATGGCAGGAGGTTCCTACTGGTAGCTTCCAAACTTCCAAAAAAAATGTGCGAACCCCATTCCTATTATAAAAGCGAAAGTATGTTTGTTGGATGTTTTGTAGCAGATATGGGTCATCGAATTGACATGGGTCAAGGAGACTGGCAATTTATCTGCATGTTTTATATGGTGACTAATTGTAAACCGATTTGAATGTTTTTTTTTTAAATATTTTAAACCCAAGGTAAGAATAGAATTATGAGATTTAAATGACTTTGTAGACGAGAGCCATTTTTTAGCAGAAAAATTATAATTTGCGTAGAGATAGGTTATCTGATAAATCATTATCAACTCCCATTCCCATTTCCCAATTACTTGGTTTTCGCATTGTTCAAATGTTTCCCTATTTTCCTTAAATTTTCAGACTGTAAAATATATTTCTGCATCATTGCTTACACAGATGTACGTGATAAGCAAATCAAGCCTGTCTCTGCACTGCGACACGCAAAATTAACAGTGTTAACACACTTTGGGAACTCGACAATTTTTATCTAACTTCTCTCTTACTAACACGTAATTTTATTAGAATCCCATACCCAAAAAATCTAAAACTAAGCCTTTTGGTCCGTCCGTCTGTTTGTCCTGCCCTTAAAGTTCTGCATCTTTTGAACCATTATAGATAGCCAATTCCCACAGAATATGTAATACTACTAAAGATTTCCTAACAATAACATAATGAGTAATAAAAAAGTCATGTCCATGGAAAATTAATTATAATATGTAGTTGATATATTTTAATATTAAGTTTATATCATACATATTTTTATATCTGTACACTTCTGAAGAGTTTCTGGAAGAAATCTCTTAAAGAGATAAGTTATACTTTGTTGACATTCTGATACTTTATTTTGTAACTGCCTCGGTGGTGTAATGGCTAGCATGTACGGCTGCACACTCGGAGGTCCTGGGTTCGAGTCCCGGGTCGGGCCAAGTTTAGTTATTGAGTCTTTCTATATAGTAAGCCTCAGTAATAGCCCGGAGTTGCGAAGTTGGCGGTGTTTCGCCCCCGTGCCTCGGAGAACACGTAAAGTTGCGTATAACTCTTACTGGTCGTGTCGAGCAGTCGTCCCACCAGAGTATGAGAGTGACAGGAATAGAGAGTGCACGTTGTGTCTGCGCGTACACTTGTGCACTATAATATCTCCTGCACAGTTGGCTGGTCTTAATGAGATTGGCCGCCGTGGTCGGAATCGGTCAGGAGAACATCACTTTATTTTGTATAACATATTTTATGGTTCATAAATAAATAAATAAATAAAATATTAAATAAATAAATATTTTTATGATATGTAAGCTACATAGATACAAAATTAAAACAAAAGAACTTGGCACGACATCATTGTGGATGTCATGAAAGCTGCCATACCAAAGATTGCAATCCTTTGACTTATTAGAGATATTAATTAATAAATACACGTCTATATTTATATCATATTGAAATATCAATTTGCATTCAATTATAGACGGACATATGGATAGTGTTCTTGAAAGCAGCAGTTAATTATGAAGGAATATAAGAATAGAATTTCCTGATGTGACCAATCTTAATTCTGCCTTTATTAATATTATAGATGTAGACAATGGACTTAGCAATATTGTCATGAAATCGACAAAGAGAGTAAGCGAACGTGCGGCCAATATCCGTCTTTTACTCTAATTTGAATTTACAAATAGAATTTGCATAAAAATATAATATTATTGAAAATTATAATATTAAAATGGAATGCAAAATATGATAAATGGAATAAATCTATCTTTATTAATCGTATTTCAATTAATACAGAAGACTTCTGGCCGCGCATTCGTTTTGTCTCTGTCGCGCCTTCCCGCCATTTTTAGCTGACAGCTGGCAGACGCAAAGAAACAATACTAGAGTTGACCTAGTGGTCGAAACCATTATCATTTCTTTTTATCGATACCATTGACACCACTAAAACAAGAAAACCGGTTGACAAACAGAGGGTAAAAACGTACTGAAGTGCTTTATCTTTGCCATATCAGAATGGTATTTAAAATTTATTCAATCATTGAATATTATTATTATTGGATTTCTTCTATCTATACATATAATAAAATTGTAACTAAGCCGAATCTGTACATTAAATATTTTTTGGTAAATCTTATTGAAATAGACATTATTATCGATACAGAGGCCGAATCTATAGTTTTTAGAATTTTTGTCTGTCTGTCTGTCTGTTACCGCATCACAGAAAAACCACTGGAGGGATTTTGATGAAATTTGGTATGGTGATAGCTGGTTATTCGGGTCAACATAAAGGATACTTTATACCGCGGGAAAGTATCTTATTTTTGAAAAAAAATACAAAAACTGCAATGTAAGAGTATACTAATATGTAAAACCTAAGAATTTGGTTTTTGGTCATCTGAACGCGGGCGGAGCCGCGGGCAATGCTAGTTGTTAATAAAAAGGACAATCAATTCACAATTGGAGCAAGTATTACATAAAATAAACAGAAAACAGACCCAAATTGAGCCACTCCGTTCTCTTGTTAATAGGTCAAATATAAGGTATTATTAAGTAATTTTTCATTCACGAAACAAATAAGCAAATAAACTTACATATAAATATTATAGTTAAAGTGTCATAAAACATAATGATATAGATCACTTTTTATCCCGGAACGTCCATCCTTATCCTGTAGAATATTAATTAGTCTACGCGGATTTCGATATATCTACAATACAAAAGTTTTTTAAATTTCATTCTTTCTCTAGGGGAATCTTTCCTTATCCCGGAATAGAAAATATTCTATTTCATTTTTACCTTTGCCTTTTTTTAATATTTTTTTGCTTTTGCCGCAATTCAAAAAAAAACAGATTATAGATCAATCGTTTAAAAATTGAAAATTTCTTATTCTTCCTAAAAAATATTTTGGAATTCCATTCAGATTAAAATTTTATTTCTAAGTAATAATAATTATAGATTAAAAAAAATATCTTACCTTCCGCCTCGCAAGATACTGGTCCAAGCGTGATCTGCATATCCGGAAGCACTCCAGCACGCCGGCCGACGGCCTGTGAGCTGGACCGAAACGAGAGCCCCATCGTATGGCCCCATTGCGAACTTCGCTCGGATATTCCTCTGAGAACGGGAATAATTCTGGAAACATCCATTTACTACTAGCTAGCTTTTGTCAGCGGTTTTGTCTGGGGATTTCTAGTTATTTTACAACCTCTCAACAAGCTTTATAAATCAAATCAGAATATATTTTATTCAAATGGACTTTTACAAGCACTTTTGAATCGTCAGTTTTACATTTTAAATTTAAATTAAATGTCAGTGTAGTCAGTCCATGAGGAATCTAACACCGGCTTGGAAAGCAGTTTTGCTGAGAAGAACCGGCGAGAAACTCAACAGTTGCTCTTTTAAAATAATAATTGTGTACAATATTATAATGCAATAATTATCTATTTATCCTACTGTATACCCTCGTCTTATAAGAGAGCACTCACAATATGGAATTCAAGTTTTGTCTTTATCGTTAATAGTGATCTGATTCTGTTAGAACTACGATGTTTATAGCTTTAAGATTGATACTTAAATATATGTACTTCTTAGTAATATAAAATATTTATGTGACCGATAACAGACAAAACAATCTAAGAATTATAAAAAAAAACTTATGTACGCACGCAAGAAGTTATACTTCTTTGGCGTAACAGAACAAAAATAGCTAAAGATATCATCCCGTGTGTCGCAACTCTCTGTTTGTAAATGGAATACAGCTAACTTCATCATGTCGCTTTTTGGCTGTCGATGTGCGCGCGTGTCGTAAAAATTTTACTCTTATATTTTTTTCTAAGCGTCCCAAAAGAAGTATAACTTCAAAAATATGATTTTTAACGTCTAAATGTATGCCTGATACATATTAGACCGTGCACTTTCCACCTTTTTGCTTCATCATCAGATTCTGATTCACAAGCTTCCTGCCTACTTCAAGAAATCGATACATGTATCGATTTATGAGACTTGAAAATATGTTAAAATCGAGTGACATTTGATAACATGGTTGGTTTTAAAAAAAATATCTTTTCGGATTTTTTCGCGGATTTATTTTGATTTTTGGTTTCCGACGTTTCGAATGCTTTACAGCAATCATGGTCACGGAAGAGACTAATTAAAGCACTATAAAGCTTTTGAAACGTCGGGAACCAAAAATAAAAATGAATCCGCAAAAAAATCCGACAAGTTAGTCTATACTAATATTATAAAGAGGTAAAGTTTGTGAATTGTGAGTTTGTGATGTTGTAGGGTGTAATCTCTGTATCTACTGAACCGATTTAGATGAAATTTGGTAAGAAGTTAGTTTGAGAACCTGGGAAGGACATAGGATACTTTTTATCCCGGAAATCATCCCTTAAGGGGTCGAAAATGGGGATGAAAGTTTGCATGGGGAATCAACCCAGGGACGAACCCAAACAAAGCGAGAGTGAGTCGCTAGTTTTATATAAAATGCCAAATATTCGCGTAAATCTAAGAAAGTATTATTATGGTTGGTGATAAGTGTAACTTAATATTATCTAAATAGTCTTATATGTATGTATAATTTTATTTTATCAAACAGTTCTTACCAGGTTGATCTTCCAGATGGTGTCGCGATGGATCTGGCGAACTGAGTAGCCGCGTTGCCGACAGTTGGTGCGCCGGCACCCCGCTATAGAAATAGTTTATGGTTTAAGATATTTGTTTCTCTAAAATAATAAAATTCATTTCCAAGAGAAATATTTTAAAAGGTATCTTAAATAAGAAAGAGAAGACTAAAAGTATGTACGAATATATATTAAAATATTGCAAACACTTTTTACTAGGCATTTCCGGTACGATCTATGTGTGTTAAATAGTGTTGCTTTTTTTTTTTTTTTTTTTTTTCTCTTTATTTAAAGGAGCTTTATCACTCAGTGATTATGTCGCCCCCGTAATAAAAATTACATATTTTATGAACACATTCTTAATTACAATTCACACTATAAACCTATTCATGACGTTGTATGGCAAATAGCAATGTACAAAGCATCCTTGCTTGCTCCGATAAGGGGCAAGCCAAGATACTATTTAGTGTTGCTTTAAAAAAATATTTTGCAATCTAAAAAATACCTAACTTCATGCATGTTTATAGCTAATTAAATCTTTTCTACAATAGAATATTTGTAGCTTCTAATAAATAATGAAAAATATATTCCCAAAAATTTTTAACATTGATATACTAAAACTGTTTAAAATGTATAACGAACAGTCCGTAAGGTATAATATGTCATTAAAAAACAATTATCTAAATATATCCAAGTTGATAACCTCCTCATTTTGACGAAGTCGGTCAAAATTATCTATTTCGGTCGCTAAATAGTTAAACAAAGACAAAAAAGAAGGCGGTTTGGTGGAGATTAAATTAGGTTATGTCATTGTACTCTTCTGTTTCCGTTTTCGCAAAACCGTTAATTGGTGTTGGCTTTGTTACACTCTACTACATTTCAAATATCTCCAAACACAGTTAAAAAGTTTGAAAATAATTATACTATCTATACTAATATTATAAAGAGGTAAAGTTTGTGAGTTTGTGACGTTGTAGAGGGTAATGTCTGGATCTACTGAACCGATTTAGGTGAAATTTGGTAAAAAGATAGTTTGAGACCCTGGGAAGGACATAGGGTACTTTATCCCGAAAATCATCCCTTAAGGGGGTGAAAATGGGGATGAAAGTTTGTATTGGGAAGAGGGTTTGGGGAGGGTGAGTCGCTAGCTATATATAAAACGATATCCTCGCTTGGCTTAGATGCGTCCCTAATTATCTAACGGTAGCCTACATATTGTGTACTAGCTATGCCCCGCGGTTTTACCCCCGTTAAATTTGTTGGATTATAAACATCAGTTTTATAATAATGTATGGATGTTTGCCCGATTTGTTGACATTTAAGATTACGGCTCCGCTCCCTTGGGTAGTGGCATGATGATATATAGTCTCTAGCCTCCCTCAATAAACGGCCTATCTAATGCAAAAAGAATTTTTCAAATCGGATTAGTAGTTCCTGAGATTAGCGCGTTCAAACAAACAAACTCTGTCTCTTTATAATATTAGTATAGATGTATTACTGTTAGTTCAGCTCATAGTCTATCATCCAAATTTCAGCCGTTTTAGTATGAAAATGTAACAAACTTACACACATACAAACGTTCGCATTTATTGCATATTATTAATTATTTTTTATTGCACAACTGTAACTGCGAAACATTCGAATTAGAACTAGTACCTATACATATTAATATTACACAAACGGCTCACCCTCGCTTCGCTCGGGTTCGTCGCTAGGTTCGTTTTAAATAGATGTAAATAGTTATTAGCCAACGTTAGCCATAATTATTATTTTTATGATTTTTTTTATTAATTTATTCTGTTTATTAGAGACTGTTTCTAAAAAACAAAACAAATCAAAAACAAATCAAAAACCATGAAAATCGGTTCAGCAGTTATAAGTGTTGTAACAAACCCGACTTTGTTTTATATACTTATTATATAGATGAATATTTGTACATAGGCTACTTTTTACGCGCGGACATAAATAAATTAGGAGCTTATATATATTAACTTCTATGTAGAGCACCCTCGCTTCGCTAGAGTGCCTAACACTACCTAGATAGATTAGCCTAGTTAAATTTTACACGTTCACGGTTAAAATAAAATTTACATATATGTATAACCAGTGTAGCATTTACACTAAGAGCACTCTTGGCTTGTGCCAAGAGCGGCAATTTTTAGGGGCGGCAAAATTCGGAATACGGGAAAAAAAAATTCGTGTTCATCAAAAATGCTTTTTTTTATTTTCCATAAAATGAAAAATAAAAAAAAATTAACTAGTAGACACGTTTTTCGAAAAATTGATATTTAAAAAAAAATTAACTTTCGAAATTGATTCAAAATTTCGATAATAGGGCGGCATTTTTTACTATGTCCAGTGGCGGCACCAAGGTTGAATCCGGCACTGTGTATAACTATCAAATAGCTCACCCGAGGAAGTCGCGCGACTCGATAGAGTCCCATGACATGTTCCGCGGGTGAAGGCGGCAGCGTCACCTGGCTGCCGGGTGCATATCGTCCTCCTCCTGGCGCACCACGGGACTTGCTGGAATTTTTTATACGTTTATTGTTTATCGTTCCATAACTCTAAAGGGAATAATGCAACCATTATAAGATCATTTGTGCAGTCGCGGATCTATATATAGGGTTTTTTGGGTGCAGCCCAGGCCCCTTAAAATGTAACGGGCCCCCTGTTGAGAAAAATGAGTAATACTGTGAATTTATAAAATAAAATTATCCATAAAATGTTGGTCTAATAATCCTGAGATCAATTAACCTAAACCAATCAATAGCGCTATCTTAATTTCGTTTAGTACCTACCATCTATCATTATAGATTTTTTTAAAGAAAACTTTTAAAACCCCATGGAGTGTTAGCCCATAGCCCCTCAAATTCACGGTCCATCCCTGCATTTGTGTGTACGTTTGTCAAGCATACAAGTAATAATGTCGTCCAAACCGATTCCGGTTCCCTATTTCTCGGGAAATATTACGGTATACAATGGTGTACGCAGACAGAAGTACACTCTCTAATATTCTTTAATTCCCATATTCCGATGGGATGACAACTCGACACGACAAATTAGTTTAAAGGCGCAGGACCAACAGCTTAAGGCGTTTTCTGAACATACACATACATATAGTAAGAATAAACTTCGCACTTAGTATAAATTTCGTATGTCTTCGCCAACTCATTCTCATCTTTTTAGTTAGCTTTATAAGTACGCAGTCGGTTTTTTTTTATTTTTGTAAATATTTTTTTTCTATTTAGACTTAGGTATTAGTATTAACTTACCCGACTCACGCAGCGTTATAAAATATTATAATTGCCATATTGATATCACAAGTATTCTCGTCCATTGTTTACGATGGCATAATCTGTGGATAATAATAATTAAGAATATTTTTTTTGCTAGTAAAATTATTTGTCGAACAATTTGCTTAATTATTTTAATATTATATACTCGTCATATTTATTGTCTTTCTTTTATATACGTACCTATCCAGTTATTTCTGTACATTATGAAATTACTTGATCAGACTTTATCAAGGTCTAGACCAAGCTGCTAGATCTAAATGCTAAAATTTGATGGCATAGGATAAAGTTTTTTGAAATAACCTTTTCACCAAAGCGTGACCAAATATGACAAAGTTCAAATGCAAAATAATCTTTTTCTAACATTTTCTTGAAATTATACAAATCTTAAAAAGAACATTAGTCGTTCACTAAGTATTTAGTATTTTCGAAAAAATCGTATTTTAAAAAAAATAATAAAAGCACCATGCGAATATGGAGAAAATGATTTAGCAACTTTATGGGGTTATACCTAATAACTTGACCTGTAGGCTAATATTTCCACTTACTAAATAATTAATACAAAATTAATTTTCAATTAAGTAAAATGTTTAATGAATAATTATGATTAATATAATATTTTTTTTAAATTATTTCTCTGTAATAATATCGAATAAACGAATTTCCTAAAAGTAGGGTTCGAAACGATAATTATCATTGATAATTATCATTATAATTATCACGATAAATATGGGTTGATAATTATCTTTGATAAATATAATTGAAAATATTTAATTTGTAACTCTTCAAATTGTCGATCAGCTAACTGAACTCTCTCAATCAGCTCAAAAAACTCAATCAGCAAACTGAGTTAATGCAGTTGAGGAGGATGAGGATGATACTCATTAAGGAGTCTGCCCACTACACCGTCTCACATACCATGACCGTGCTATGAACGTATCAGGCACGGAAACAAGCGACACGGACTACTATGCCCACTAGAACGTATCACCCGCGTATCATCCGCGTGTCATATCCGTATAGGTCAAGTTTTCTCAGTCGTAGTAGTTCACCTGTGTTTTCGCGTGAGGCAGCCGCGTCAGGACTCAGGAAGAGCGAGTGAATATTTTTGTTACGAAAGTTATTTCCTATACCTATACGATGGCTATTAGAGAAACTTGTCCGACAGAAAATTAACAATGATAGCCTTTGTTTTAGATGAGGAAAAAGATAATAACATCAGTCAATCACGACGTTACTAGGACCCCTAAATATATAATTTAAAAGAAAATAATATTATCACTAGAAGACAAGCGACAACACGTTTATAACGGGCTTAGAACGGTCATCATACGCAGTTATAACCCGTGTGCTCACCGTTCCGCCGTCGGTTCGGCAACGTCGCATGCCTGGCACGGAGCGTATCGGCACCGGCAAAATATTCTTGCCGACAATTACTGTTAACTTTCCATGCACGGCACGCTACGGCGTTGGTTGGTGACAGAAAGTTCTTGGTCGGTGATGGAGCGGTCTAGTGGGCATAGTCTCATACTTTTCAATACAAAGAATTTTTTTTTTGCCTAACACGGTCCTAGCACGGTTATGGTATGAGACGGTATAGTGGGCAGGACTTTTAATTTAATTAAATAGTGTCTATATAGTTGGTTAAATTTATTCTGGTTTTATTTCATAGTTTGTATATGTCAAAATAATGAAGAAATAATAATAATAAAAGATTCCTTGATTGTTAAAAGTGTATAATTTATTCTAATATAAATTATGATAGGCAAGTAGTCAAATACCAATACCTACACAAGGATTGCTAAGTTTATATCTGTTTGATAATTATCGGATAATTATCTGATAATTATCAAAAGATATATTTATCTTGATAATTTCAAACCCTGCCTAAAAGGCTTCAAATTACTACCGTAAAATAATCAATTAAATTCTTGTTTATAGTTTGCTAAAAAAATATACAATTAGAAAGAATTAAATAACAATTCATTATAACGAAATAATTATAATTTAGCTGTTTAATCATATCCTGGCTATCCGCATGACCTAGATCACCTATATATCTACTAGGTAAATGTCATCCCGTCAAATTAGGTCAAAGCACCTTCGATTTTCACAACCAATCACTTGTAAAAAAACAATGAATTTAGAATTATTATACCCCCTTTTTAATATACCTACTCTATAGTTAATTTAAAAAAATAAAAATATTATTTTATCTGCTTTAAAATATTAGAACACTTCCTATTCTATTTTTAAATTTAACTTGACATTTATAATGTTTTAGTAACATAAAAGAAACGAATAATGACTATATTTCTAGCAGGTTATTAGTTTTAAAAATAGATATTAGCATAAAAAGAGGTTACAAAAAATCGTTACTTACGTCTGTCCAACGATAGAGGTTTTATATTTGTTTCTTTTTCACAAATTCATTCGTTCTTCGAATTCACAAATTTTTATGATTTTTATTTGGTGTTTTTAGTAAATATAGCTTTGTTTTTAGTTTTTTATTGTTAATTTTATAGCGCAAGTGTCCTTGCTTGCAGATCACACCCCGGCTGCTGTTTAGTGCGGGACAGAGAATTGTGTAGAGTAGTTGTTAAGTTTTCTAAGTTGAAGTGGCCGAGTTCAAGATTCGTTCGACCTTGCAATGAAAATGTTGGAAAGTATTTTTTTTTTGTGAAATTAAATTTTATTTAAACGATTTATTTATCCAGTTAAGTTATTTTTTGTTATTTGTGTTTCTAGTTTATATGTATTTAATTCTTTTAAAAATGACATTTTAAGTGATTCGAACATAGCATGAAATAAAAGAAACCATTTTACAAACTAAATATAAAAATAATAAAAACTGGCAATAAATATTGCAACATTTTTTCTCATTTTTATTTGACACGACATTACATTTCAAAAATCAACAAACATACGCGTTTTCCAATAAAAAAAAAACAAAAGCTAAAAGTCTCTAAATAAAACATTTACACTAAATATAAGATAATAAATGTATTTATAATTTATTAAAACAGCTCTTATACATTCTTTATTCCACGCAGCATCCCTTCATTTCATTCTAGCGTCTCTACGCATGCGCCTCTTAGATCGACGCCTACAACTTAGCTTTTCCTAACTAGAAATAATGTTACACGGTGTTTATTTGTAATAACAACAAAAAATTAATTATTGTTTCTTTTTTTTAATAATTAATTATTTTTCCAGTTAAGTTATACACTCGGTGTTATCCGTGTAAATATTTTATTTATTATTATTCAAATTTTATTGTACAACGCCATCTATTGACACCTTCAACCAAAATGTTTTTATAATAACATTAAAAATATGGTCTTGGTCCTCCTACTCAGGGATGCATAATGCATTAACAAAATTTATTTCTTTCGCTATATACTTATTCTTTGGATTCTTTGGATGGAAAATCGCAACAATTATTAAATGTTTTTGTTTTCATCGTCTATTTGTCTGGTCATGTCTGTGCAATAGATTAACGGACTTTCTTTAAAGGGGAAGAGGATTTAAAGGGCCTAAAATAAATATTTTTTGGTTTCTATATGACTTTTGTCGCTTTTGATGGGATCCTATTGGAGTTTTTAAATAGGGATGTTACTACTTTGTTTCCCGGGAAAATTTACAAAATATATTTAATATTAAGCAATGAATAGGAAGAATATGTTTAAGGAATGTAATGTAAGGAATCTCTTGTGTAGAAAATGTGTCTCTACATATAAATCTTTTTGGCTTTTTCTTTTTTACTATTATTATTATACTGTAGAACTACTGGACATTTATCATTGGAACTTTTTTTCTATGTTAATTTTGCCTCATTTACACAATTTAACGTCCCATTGCTGGGCAAGGAGGTCGCCTCAACCATGCGAGGGGAAAATACCTACGGGTTACACAATACGGATTGGCAGACTTAAATGTTTTTGGATAAATAAATAAATTCTGGATCATCTGGAGTGTAATTAAATAATCTGTTAGTATGACATATTTATGTTAGTAAAATCATGCATTACACGATACGCTTTTATATTCAAAGTTAAAAGAAAATATGATAAAATTATGACAAATATTAAAATTACAGAACCTGTAGTTATAAATCTTGGACATAAAAAATTCTTTTAAGTAATATTATCCGGAACTTAAAAAATCGATCTCGAAAGCGAGACACGATAAAACGTCGACACTTTCACAGCAAATTCAAAGGAAAAATATTGCCGGCATCAATTTCAATCCAAACACTAATAAATTGGCATCTCTCGACGCACACGGCTAGTTTATTAATAGCGGACATATTTTGTAAATCTCGACTTAAGAATCACCCCTCGGCTGAATTCAGTGTTGCGTACGTCGCGACGCGCGGCGCGCGGGAAAAATTAAAAAAAAAGTAAACCGTCAATTAAACGCGGGAAAGTGAAAAATAAATCAAAGCGTATTTATTGTAGAGTAAAAAAATATTTTATTATTTTTTAAATTAAAAAATAGTAAACTGTCAATGTCAAAATGAGTTACAGTGTGTATAATAGTGAATGTTGTGAGAAAGAGACAAAAGATAAGCAAATAGTTGAGTTGAAAGAGGACGAACATATACAACACGTGTTGGGCCCCAGTAGGCGGTGTTTGGCGTGGGCTTGTAAGGCTTGCAAAAGAAAAACAGCGGCCGTAGACCGGAGAAAAGCTGCTACACTACGTGAAAGACGTAGATTAAGAAAAGTATGTATTATTAATACAAATATTAATATTCTATCAAAATATGTTAAGTATATGAAAGTCCAAAATAAAACATCTAATTAGGCATTCATTGGGCAAAGTTAGAAATTAAAATACCCACATTCCACGGTTTTATTTCAATCACTAAAATCTTTTGTTCTTATAGATGAAATTAATATATGTATTGTACTATTGTTTTTAAGTAAAATACTTAATTGAATAATATTTCGTAAATAATAAAAATTGAATAAAAACTTTTTGGTTGAAAATTTACAGACGGTACCTACTTGTCGTTGTTCATGAACGCAGGAAGAACAGAGAGGAAAATTACATTTTTTAAGTAGGCAACGTCGCGGATAGAAATTAATATTACTTGTTCAAAATTCACATTTTATACATAAAAATATATTATACATGAACTGATGCAGTAAGTAAATCTACTTGTTATTTAAAATAATTTAGAAAGTTAAGGGTGGAAGATTTTTATGAATAATATGAGTATATGGGATCATATTTGAAGTATAACCTAATCGTTAAAAGCGTTGATCAAAGAAGTAGGTACCTACTAGATACACAATCCCATGCAAAAGTTCTCTTAAAACTGCCACCAATTGTGTTTAGGTAATTATTCTAGTTGAAATAAATATACAACAATGTAAATTGAACCTCAAATGCAATGCTTAGAGTTGTTTTCACAACAAAAAAATTAAAAGCGCGTTCAAATGTTCAAATGCGCGCTCATTAGTTGAGGACATTTTTTGTCGCTGATTGTGTATCTAGTACTTTTTTGACCGATGGTTAAAAGTCAAAGTAACTAAGATATCGTGTATCATACCTACATATTAGTGATGTGCTGAATGTCCGTATCCGTATCCGCGGATATCCGTAGGAAAAAAAGTCCTTATCCCTATCCGTATTCGTATTGTTTTAACTGATCTTCCATGGATCTTTTATAATGGCGAATTTAATGAGTTATACCTATGTAGAGAAAAAAAAATACCATGTATCAATTTCAAACTTAATTAATTTTTATTTATAATAGCATATTTGGCACATTCATAATTCGTTATATTAAGTTATATTTTATTTGTTAAAGGAGATTTTTTAAATTGACATAACTTTTTTAGTTATGAAGCGATTGAAATAAAACAAATACTAAATGATAAGTGAAGCTTACTTTAATACATTAGTGAAAACCGCACCTAAATCGGTTAAGCCGGAATGTTGGTAAGCGCATAACTCAAGAATGGCTGGACCAATTCGGCAAAGTTTTTTTCGTATGTTCCTTAAGGTCCACGTAAGGTTTTAATAAAGAGAAAAAATTAAAAATTAACGAAAAAAAAAATTTATATAGCTAACGCTGGCTAATAACTATTTATATATATTTAAAACGTACTCAGCGACGAATCCGAGCGAAGTGAGGGTGAGCCGCTAGTAAAAACTAAAGCTGTCATCAACTGAAACATTAAGTCAAAAAAAAATATAATTAAACATCCATTATTAAGTAATGGATGTTTAATTATAATTTAGGCAAGTTTAAAAAAATAAATTAAAATATAAGTTGGAATACTAAGAAATCTACACTAATATTATAAAGGAAAGATCATACATACATCCTACACACAGGATGTAGAGTGTATTCTTTAAAACTATTGACCCGAATCTGAAAATTGTTTCACATATAGGTAGGTTACTGCCGAGTGCTATAAGCTATTTTTAATTAAGAAAATGGGTTTCTTGTCATAAATTAAATTACTTTCATTGAAATCAGAAGAAAAGTTTCAGTAAGTAAAGATGCCTTATCGGTGACTGGCGTGCATTGACTAATCGGTTTAAAAATTAAAATAAAGAAATAAAATGTATGGTATAGCCCACCACGCTGGCCAAGTGCGGATTGGCGGATTTCACTTGTCTTTCGAATACTTGTTAGGTTATCTCAGACATGCAGGTTTCCTCACGATGTTGTTGTCAACGAAAGTTCACCGTAAGGCAAGTGGTAATCATCTTGAAAAAAAATACTGTCTTAAAGTGTAGTATTTAAACTGCAAATATAATAACCGTTCAACTTAAAATACGTCATGGAACTAAGCGCACGCGCCGATGAAAGCTCAGAAAAAAGAAAGAAAAATTATCCTAATAAAACATATCCGTATCTGCGGATATATATTTTTTTATGCTGCGGCATACAAAAACAACATATAATATAAAAACAATCGCCTCTTGTACCTTCTTCTATATTTTGTATTTTTTTTATTTTCTCTTTTTGGGTGTACAATAAAGAATATTCATTCATTCATTCATTCATTCATTCATTTATTCATTCAATATAAAGACAACCGAATTCAGTACCCTCTCCTTTTTGAAGTCGGACAAGAAGAACGTGAAACGAGAATGTTAGCGCGATACATTTAGTTTTATAAATAAGTTGTCGCATGCATCCCGGATTATGGGATCAATAGAAATTCCGGGACACAACCAGTCCTACGTATACGAGATTAGACAGAGAGTTATATGTATAGAAAAACTTTTTAACAAAAAAAAAACCGACTTCAGACAAGAGCACTAAAAAGTAAAAAATAACTGATTGGTAGGTTTCATTTACTATACATACCTAATCAAATATTTTCGAAGTCGGTGTGCTTTGGCTAAGTAATTAAAGCCTACCTATTAAATACATACCTAATCAAATATTTCCGAAATCGGTGCCAGCCCATACAAATTCTTTTTTCGTTTTTGTTATTATCAGGAAATTTTGTATAGAAGAAAATTATTAATTTTTTTTTTTACTAAAATAAGATTTTTTATTAAATCTCATGATATGAAAAGTGAATGAGTGAAATAATTTTTATCCCGGAAATCATCCCTTAAGGGGGTGAGAATGGGGATGTAAGTTTGTATAGGGAATCAATCTAGAATTATATCGCTAGTATATAGTAGGAATCCATAATATATAAAGAGGCAAAGACAATTTAGTGCCTTTTTCTTTTAGTGCCCCTTTGTCAACGGTTCTTTTTTTTGTTTTATAGCTATTAACGACCTTTAGTACTATTAATAAAAAAAATATGGTCGAACTTCGATCACTGGGCGAGCCCTAGTTTAAATTGTTTTACTTATAGAACAAAAATTATAAGCCAATCTGTATTGCACGCTTGATAACTTCACTTATATGTAAGTTTTAGGTAATGAATATTTTAAATAAAACGTCGGGAACCAAACATCAAAATAAATCCGCAAGAATTCCGAAAAAATATTTTTATTAAAATATCGCGTTTATTCTAATTATTGTCATTCCATGTTTTGTTTTGTCTAACATTTATGTCACTCAACTCACGGTGAAGGAAAATATTACGAGGGAACCTGCTGCACGTCTGAGAGAATCTAATTTTTCTTAGATTTCGAAAAACTGCAAAGCTCGCTAAACTCGCACTGGGCCAGATGAGATAGACTAGATCAGCCATACTCAACCTTTTTTTTATAGGGGCCAAAAACACGTTCCAGTCATGGTCTGTTTTCCCTTTTTTCTTTAAACTTCTAGATTGGTATCGTTTTCAAAATCGATGAACTCATCAAACAACTCTGAGTAATTACAATTTAAAACGGAAGCCACCTCTAAGATGTAACTTCAGATGGGCCAATAACAGAGGCCCGGCGGGCCGCATGCGGCCGCAGGTTGACTTTAGCTGGACTAGACTAAGGGCTTGGCCCGTGCCTAACAATGGGCAAAAGGTTAAATTATTATTATTGTTGATTATAGCCCGACATAATGAAGGTATGTACTTTATATTATAGCTATAATCTGTAGTTGTGTCTGTCACATTTAACCTAAATACACGTTAATTCAAGTAATATATCTATATAAAAAACTAGCATTGCCCGCGGCTCCGAACGCGTTCAGATGCCCAAAAACCAAATTCTTAGGTTTTACATATTAGTATACTCTTACATTGCAATTTTTGAATTTTGTCGACCCGGATAACCAGCTATCACCATACAAAATTTCATCAAAATCCCTCCCATGGTTTTTCTGTGATGCGGTAACAGGCAGACAGACAGACAAAAATTCTACAAATTAACACCTCGAGGTAAATTTCTAAGAAATTAACTAAATTTCTAAGAAATCTATTGTTAACTTTAACGCCGGCGTGTCCATGGTTGTGAAGGGATTAAAGGTTCAGCCTCTGTATCGATAATAATGTTTATTTCAATAAAATTTTCCAAAAAATATTTAAGGTACAGATTCGGCTTAGTTACAATTGTATTATATGTATAGATTAAAATACATTAAAAGTAGCATTAGAAATTTTAAATATATATGTTTTCATTTGAAAATTTAAAATAAATCGACAACACATTAAAATCTATTTAACAAATCAATCTTTATTGTTTTACTGAAATGGATACAGCATTTAACGCAACGTGTTAAGTTCATTTGACGTGACAGACTGGCGTGACAGGGATCGTTAAGAAAAGCGCTAATGGGTGTGACACTTTGAAAGTGGTATAAATGAAAACTATCTATCGTAACTTGTATCTCTGTCTGTATGTCAGTCTCTACCTACATACTTTCTACGGGCGATATCGCTAATAGTAAACTTGAAAAATAGACATATGTGAAGTGCCCATATATCATTGTTACAAAAAGTCACTTTGCAGAAGTAAAATATTAAGCATTTCATTGCGTAATTGATTGACTATAAAGAGAGTAGGTATCTAATTCGGGTGCTTTTTTATATATTTACTAGCGTTGCCCGCGGCCCCGCCCGCGTTCAGATGACCAAAAACCAAATTCTTAGGTTTTACATATTAGTATACTCACATTGTAGTTTTTGTATTTTTTTCACAAAAATGAGACATTTTTCCGCGGTAAAAAGTATCCTATATGTCGACCCGGATAGCTGGTTAGCTATCACCATACCAAATTTCATCAAACCCTTCCAGTGGTTTTTCTGTGATGCGGTAACAGACAGACAGACAGACAAAAATTCTAAAAACTATAGGTGTGG